AGGTTCTATTCAAATACATGTAAAAATCTCAACTACGGGTTCAACTATAAGCTCATTAAATAACATGTAAAAATCTCAACTACAGGTTCAACTATAGGTTCTATTCAGTTAAATGTAAAACTCTAAACTACAGGTTCAACTGTAGGTTCTATTTTCAACTAAACTGACAAACTATAGGTTCAATTATAGGTTCATTGAATAACATGTAAAACTCTCAACTACTGGTTCAACAATAGGTTCTATTCAATTAAATGTAAAACTCTAAACTACGGGTTCAAATATAGGATCTATTTTCAACTAAACTGACAAACTATAGGTTCAATTATAGGTTCATTGAATAACATGTAAAACTCTCAACTGTGGGTTTAACTATAGTTTCAATTCAATTACATGTTAAACTCTCAACTACGGGTTCAACTATAGGTTCTATTCAATTTCATGTAAAAATCTCAACTACGGGTTCAACTATAGGTTCATTGTATAACATGTAAAACTCTCAACTACGGGTTCAACTATAGGTTCTATTTTCAACTAAACTGACAAACTATAGGTTCAATTATAGGTTCATTGAATAACATGTAAAACTCTCAACTACGGGTTCAACTATAGGTTCTATTCAATTAAATGTAAAACTCTAAACTACGGGTTCAAATATAGGATCTATTTTCAACTAAACTGACAAACTATAGGTTCAATTATAGGTCCATTGAATAACATGTAAAACTCTCAACTGTGGGTTTAACTATAGTTTCAATTCAATTACATGTTAAACTCTCAACTACGGGTTCAACTATAGGTTCTATTCAATTACATGTAAAAATCTCAACTACGGGTTCAACTATAGGTTCATTGAATAACATGTAAAACTCTCAACTACGGGTTCAACTATAGGTTCTATTTTCAACTAAACTGACAAACTATAGGTTCAATTATAGGTTCATTGAATAACATGTAAAACTCTCAACTACGGGTTCAACTATAGGTTCTATTCAATTAAATGTAAAACTCTAAACTACCATGACAGGTTCAACTATAGGTTCTATTTTCAACTAAACTGACAAACTATAGATTCAATTATAGGTTCATTGAATAACATGTAAAACTCTCAACTATGGGTTTAACTATAGTTTCAATTCAATTACATGTTAAACTCTCAACTACGGATTCAACCAAAGGTTATATTCAATTACATGTAAAAATCTCAACTACTGGTTCAACTATAGGTTCATTGAATAACATGTAAAACTCTCAACTACGGGTTTAACTATAGTTTCAATTCAATTACATGTTAAACTCTCAACTACGTGTTCAACTATAGGTTCTATTTAATTACATGTTAAACTTTCAACTACGGGTTCAACTATAGGTTCAATTCAGTTACATGTAAAACTCTCAACTACAGGTTCAACTATAGGTTCAATTACTTGTAAAACTTTCAACTACAGGTTCAATTTTCTACTATATACAGCTTTAACTACAGGTTCATGGATGCAGTTTTAGAATATGAAAATATGATCAACTCGAGATGTTGGTTTCCAAAAGAAAATCTGCCTTTTCATAGTTTATTTGGTTAGGGCTCCTTAATGCTAAAAAACTGTCAGAAATGTAAAATAATAAAAATAGAATGAAAAAAATCTAACCAGGTGAATTAAGGAGCATTAGTAGGTCCCTCTATTTTCTCTAAAATGTACTACATTTCATGTTAATTCATGTAACCACGATTCCCCATACTTAAACACAGTGGGAAAAACATGGCGGAGTCATGTAAAAGCAAGACAAGAGTTACATGATTTTGCCACATTGTTCATGTTCTGCCACAGTTTGCCCCGTGTAAAAGTGGAGTAAAATCAAGAGTGCCATCTCTTGTTTTTACAACAACATGCCACACCACACATGGGGCAAAATGAAGCGAACTAAAGTGAAGTAAAGTAAGAACATGTGCCCTCTTTCGCCACGCATGTAAAAACATGGGTTTTTTCCTAAGGGCTATCATAGTGCTCATCTCATATCATAGTGCTACATGTCTCTGTGAGACTCACACTATATGCCTGTTACTTGTTGAGATTATGTGTGATTGAAAAAGTGATAAAACCCATGGTTTAAGGGATTTCATTATATCTAGAATTTCAAACCCCGCCATCATGTCAACATTACACCCCTTTGCCCTAGGCCTAAAATTAATGGAAATCAATTTATATGGAAAAGTTGAAAATTCCCCAAAAACCACAGGCAATTTTGTGAAAACAACTGGTGAAATTCACCCATTGCTGCTGCTTATGAAACCCCTGGGTAAAGAAATCATCCCAATTTATCTTGTGCCAACAACACCGTTCTTAAGTTCTGGTCTTGCACGCATAGGCCTTACTAGCTTTTAGTATAGAACCTTGTGCTAGACTTCCAAATTCAAAAAATATCGGGGCTAGCCATGCATATATTTATTAGGGGTGGGACAGTTACCCGAAACTGTTAACCTATATATCGGCTTCATATGGGCTTATTAGCCTTTTGCAGATTAGCGATATAGACATAGACAACTGGTACCATGGAATTTGGGTTCGGTATCGAAATAACGAGGCATCACTTTCGGAAAGGGACAAGGGGCTCAAAACCAGCTTAGTTTTTGTGGCTTTTCACTCCCAATGTTTCTGAATCATTACCTGTTTCCTTCCTGAAGCAGTGGTCATTACTTTTTACTTTTAAGTGATCTTAATTCAACCATCGCCATCTTGGATAATGTAGATCAATCATTTTCTCCTTGGGGTATTTCTTTGTAAGACTACAGTAAAACTTGTGTATAGTGAACATTTTTTTGCCAAGAAAAAACGTTCACTGTACGTAGGTGTTCACTAGAGAGAGGGTAATTTATACAGAAGTCAGTGGACTATGTGCGTAGGAAGGATGTCCACTAGGGACAGGTGTTCACTAGAGAGAGGTGTTCACTAAGACAGGTTTTACTGTATGTGATTTCAATCATAAACCTAAATAAATGGACCGATCCCTTGTTGTTGTTTTTTATCGGGTAGCACGTAGGTTAGGGAGCAAATCAAAAATCCAACAAAATAAACTAAGGCGGAAAAGACATAAGTTCGGTCTTACTCCCTTCTAATGGTGAAGGGATGCTCCCTGCGCACAAGTGACCTGTTCTTTCAAGATTTGTCGTTAAGTATTTTGAATTACTCTCTCAAAGAGAGAGGTTAAATTCACGAGATCTGAACTTGATCCTAAGGAGGTAGAAACCGGGCACATGAAGATCCAGATGATCACATATTTAAAGGGGGTTACGATGAAATACTAGTTATGAAAACAAACCCACTTTCAGCTTCATATGATCAGGTAGATTTTATAGATTACCATATTCACTATAAATAAGGCCTAGCATTGTGTCTTATTTTGAAACTAGCTTTTGTCCCGTTTGGAAGTTCCGATGTTCCAAAGGCTAAAATACCATCCCGTCCCGTTGTTTTTTGTTCCGTCCAAACCCTAATATTTATTGCCTCAAGCAATTCCAAATGCCACGCTAAACATTCTTTCAAACCCATTAAAGTTGCGGCTGTGTCAAATTGCAAAAATATATCATAATATATGTGCAAGAGTAGAACATAAAGATAGTCTTGGTACTAGATAATCCCAATGATGTTATTTCACATTTCTTTTTGAGGATTCGGATATTTTTCAACATTCAGATGATTGGTTAGATCGCGGAAAACAGTTTCCTGGCCTGTCAATCCAACCAAAGTCCCACACATCATAGAAACCCTTGAATCATAAAACACTTGATATTGAAATTAGAGCTGGCATCAAATGTCGGAATGGTCGATTGTCAGTCGAATGCTCTCTGTGACACCCATGTCGACACAACGCCTCTTGATCGACAGTCGGAACTCACAACATAATTAGCTATTTCCCTATGAATTAAAATCTTTGTTACTACCTGCTGTATGGTGTATTTTAGTGAAGTTTTACCGCCTACATTTTCAAATTTTCTTTTTTGTTTTGATCGACTTCCTGCTCTCTAATTAGGTCTCGGGGCCCCTCGAGATTTACCCTCGAGATTTATTTTCAATGGCTGCCCGGAAATAACAACAGAAATCGTAGTTTTATGTCTATTTATTGCTTTTTCGTCAAAGACTGATACTTGAACATGGTTTACATGTAAGTTAAATATAAAACATACAACTGAGGATGACTATTGTGCATCGTATTGCTAATTACAAGCCTAGAAAATCTAAAATTCAGACGGATTTTCTTCAAAATTTTTTTCATTTTTCGAATATCATTGGACCCGACAATGTCGATATCATTGTCGATCGAGAGCTCCGACATGTCGACATTAAAATCCTATTCGATGCCAGCTCTAATTGAAATTGTTTTGTATTGTGTGTTTTATTTCAGTTTGTTGAAAACAATATATCATTCACTAATGTATTCATACTTCAACTATTACTGCATATTTTATGGCAAAGTATTTGATCGCACTGTAGAATATTAGTCTCACACTCAGGCTCTGAAATGTGAGAATTGAATAGTAGGAGTTTGAAACTTTTGAAAATTGCTTGATAAATCTGTAAGGTCAAAAACAAGAGTGTAAAATGAAGATGGACTTTTGGTAAGTTAAGAATGGAGAACCACATTATAATATCATGTGCACTGGAATTCCCAATCCACTGTTCTGATTATTATCAGAACTGTATGTCAATAGTTGGCTCATAATTCTATGAACTGAAATGAAATGAACAAGGATGAATAGAATAAACATTTTCTAAGTCCAAATTTGTTTGTATCTGTTCATGAAACTAATTGCTGTATAGTCTTTCATTCACCTTTTGCACCAAGACCTGTTTTGAAACATCTTGAAAAAATGTGACAACCTTCTTTTCTCTTACAAGTCTCACTTATAAAAATAAAAAGTTAAGAATCAAATGAAAATTTAAAGTAAAGTACATTAATACTAAAAGCATTGTCAAAACTTTATTTCTCTTTATGTCACATTTTATATTCAGAGCTGATGAATTCCGAAGTATGTTTTCCAAATATGGTCCTGTGAGTGATGTGTACATCCCTATGGACTACTACACAAGGAGGCAGCGTGGGTTTGCATACGTACAATATCCTTTACACTCGCATCTACCAGATACAAAAACAGGGAATACGAGTAAGCATCTGGCTGAATGGTACAATCCATCATTCATGTTGTACGACAATATCGGTGGTGGAATCTTACCTTTCAGACACTACAGTTGTGCCTTTGAGGCATACATCCAAATCAAGTTTTAAAACAAACCCCAGATTCATAGATTATTTGGACCATCTCATTTAAATGTATTTTTGTTTTATTTTGATATAGATCAATCAAGTGTGAGCAACTAACACGTAAAGTCAAGTACTAGAATCAAGATAAAGTTCAAGGTTAAAGATAAAGGTCAAGTTGCAAGCTATGAAAAGTCACAGTGCTAGAGATTGGAGGGGTAAAGTCAAGAGAGTACAAGCAAACAAGACACGATTAAAGGCTCTAAAGATCAAAGATCCAAGGCTAAAGATCAAAGATTCAAGGCTAAAGATCAAAGATCAAGAAAGACCAAGTCCCAATATCAACCAAGAAATTGCATTTAAGCTTGTATTCACAGAATCCATCCAGGCTTATAGAAGATGCAAGGCTTATCTGAGTCTTAAATACAACTGGTGACCCTAGCCCCTCACCATGGGCTCAAGGGAACTTGTTGTTACATGGACTCTCACAAAGATCCTGGAATAGAGTAAAGAATCAAGGTTTCAAGCCCAAGAACAATATCCCTTAATTTGGTAACATTTTATTTCATAATACTGTATCTGAATCAAAATCTAGTCTTTTTCAGCAGATTGGTTTTATTTTCATCTTTTTTTATTATTTTTTACATGTGATTAGTATCCTAAACTAACTGCATATTCTAATTGTAAGTGTATGTTTCTTCTGTATGATGTATGTATCTATGTATATTAACTAGATGTGTGCATGTTAATGTTGTAAAGAATGTAGGAATAGCCACATAGTCACCTTTTCCTTCAACCCTCCTTAACAAGTAGCACATTTGATGACCCTCGAGATGCAGAGGATGCTATGTACAACCTGGACAGAACACGCTTCTACGGAAGGGAACTTGAGATCGAGTTTGCCAGGGGTGATAGAAAAAGTAAGATTTATATATATTGAATGTGTTCTTAATCTTTTTTTTGAGAAGTATGAACTCAAAAGGATTTTTTGGATGTTATCTAGAAAGCTGTCTGAATGCTTGTTTAGGATATTGATAAAATCTGTTTAAAACTTGCATGGTTTTTATATCCCTGACATCCTAAAAACTTGCTAGGGACTAAGTGATGCCATCACTAGCCCTCCACAATATATTATACAATAAGATGAAAAAAGTAAATTATTTTACACTTCTTTTTAAACAAGTTGAGAAAAGCTGTTCAAATGTTAGATGATTTGTCTCAATTTTAATAAGAAGGTACCAAAAAGGGATTAATTACTCATATCAGCTCAGCTATACAGATCTGATGGATTAATTGAGAAGTTTGCTCTATGTTTAGGTCCAGGTCAAATGAGGACCAAAGAGAGGGGATCGCCTGTGAGGGATAGATACAGACGCGGTTATAGAAGATCTCGCAGCAGAAGCCCAAGGTGGGTAGAAAATAAGACACTCTCCTAGTACAGCCAAAATATGGAAAATATGTTCTGAATGGAAGAATGGAACAAATACATTATCAATTGTCTTTCATGATTTGTATCGGTCAACAGTCATTCATTTCTAATCTTAGCACTGAAGCAACTTTTTGACAATAACTTTCAGCTGAAAATCTATTTGTATCCAAAAATAGAATTTGAAAAATCAGTAGTCAGTTATAGACATTATTAGTAAGGAAAATTGGAAGAAAATCACACCAAAGATGTCTGTTTTTAAAATAATGAGCAAAATATTCTGATTATCCCATTGAACAAAAATGCTGCCATTTGTACTTAAACATTTGACACTAGAATACTGCTTGGTTGAATTGTACATGTATTTATGGTAGATTGATTATGCTTTTAAGGGTGGTATTTCATGTTTAAGACAGAAGTTCAAATTTGAAATGCCATTATTTTTCAAAATAGCTTCAATATATTTCTTCATCAATTTACTTCAAATTTGAATGGTACTGCTTTAAGGCAGAATCAGGTCTAATAAAAAACCTTTTACCAAAAGATTTTGTTCAGTGGGATTTGCTCTCTATAAAGTTGCTGTTTACACAGTTACCACTTGAGTGTGTAATAATACACATTTTGCTCTGTTATATTATAATATTTTGTGAGTATCGGATACTGTTGTACATGCTAACAGCTTGGTAAGGGTATGTTATGCTTGTATTGTAGGTACAGGTCGTATTCCAGAAGTCCGGTGCGATCATCCAGGTAAACAGACTAGATGTGTTTCCGTGTGTCACATTTCAATTCAATCAGTCCTCTTGTAGGGCGTTTTAAATGAAATGAGAAAATGACATTTTTCTTAGAGAGTGGTCGAAAAATAATTGTATAAATAATTATCCCAACGAATGAAGTTCGTTAGGGATATAGTGAAGCCCTCTGTCCGTCCGTCAGTCCGTCAGTCCGTCAGTCCGTCAGTCCGTCAGTCTGTCAGTCAGTCAGTCAGTCCGTCCGTCTGTCCGAAAGATGACTTAAATACTAGTGGACAAATTTTCTTCATATTTAGTGGAAAGATGTATATTGATGAATAGTTTTACGCAAAAAATAATTTTTTCAAGATGGCCGCCGCTTTAAAAATGACGGGACTTTTTCGCAAAAATCATAAATTTTTCATTCTAAACCAAAGTAATTAATATTATTGTTTGAAATTTTAATAGTGTATTCACAACATTTATCTATTTCACATATATTCCGTGTTTTTCATCCTGACCCCCAGGGGCCATGTATGGGGGGACAGGAAAACAGAAATTTTCGCTAATTTTTAGATCTTTCTGAAGTATAGCTTTATTATACTCAAATGAAAGGCAATTAAGAGTAGATTGCAAATATTGTATCTTTTTCTGATTCAAGCCTCGTAAAATTCAAAATGGCCGTCTAATGTACGATTTCGCAATGATTTTTCGATCCCTTCAAAGTATGGCTATATTATACTCAAATTGAAGGAATTTTGGAGTAGATCACAATTATGGTATTATTTTTCAGATATGTACCTCAGAAAATTCAAAATGGCTGCTTTGCAGGAATTCGCAATTCAAAATCTAATTTTTTCATTTTCAACCAAAGTAATGAGTATAATTGATTGGAATTCGGTAATTGATATTTTGTTCGTTGGGATTTGCTACTCCGCGGAGTTGCCGTTATCTAGTTATTCCAAGAAACTAAGTTGGATAGAGATGTAATGAAACCGTCCGTTCATCTGTCTGCCTGTCCATCTGAAATAATTAATTAATCATACTCAATGTTCTAAAAGTGTGCAAGTGTTAGATACTGGCATATTGTAGGTGCACTTGGTAAGTGTATGCTATGCTTAATTTTAGGTACAGATCATATTCCAGAAGTCCAGTGCGCTCATCCAGGTAAAATGACTAGATGTGTTTTTATGTGTCACATTTTAGTTTTTTCCAAACAGTCCTCTTTGAAATAAGAAAATGGCACAAATTAGTTATTACAGGCCCAGAGAATAAATTTTAGAAGTATTTTGTAATCAATGAGTGGTGTCTGTAGATGTCTAATTCAAATCGCTTAGCCTGTCAGCCAGAATACTTATTCTTTCCTCCATGATCTTCCCTATCAGAGTGCTCCATCTTCTGTTAAGCCTCCACTGCTTTTCCTGTATATATTCCTAACCAGATTAACACGTATGAAAAAGAAAGGGAAAGGGCACATTGGCACGACGCTAAACAGTAGAGTGCTTTTTGGTTGGATTTGCTGAATCATTCAACTATTGTATAATATCGTTATTAGGAATAAAGATTTAAGTTCTATGATATGCAATATAATATGTGACCAAATGTTGGTTGACCTCAGTTGGAATAGTCTGAGGTCATATATTCGCCATAAACCATAGAATAGAGGTCTTTAATATGAATAAAGTACGCTTTTGTATCAGACATTACATATACTGGTCTCGTCAAACATATTGCATGAGAGACCATTAACACAATTGTTCTAGTTATTGTGACAGCTCATATAGTGTCATGTTAGAGTAGATTATAAGTAGTACTCCATTATACAGTAGAATCTTACATTCTATATGAAATATTATCTGTTAGAACCTGAAGTTTTGCTTTCTCATCAACTTTGCACCAATTTCCTTTTGACTTCCGTCTATATGTCTCTTGACTCACGTTTATAAGTATTTTCTGTGCGCATAACACTTTCTAGAAATTGTGTGATGTTGTGCTTGAAAATTTGCTTGAAGATAATTTTTTGCTTTCAATACATCTGTATTGGTTTAATTTATCTTGCTTTAGAAATCAAAATATTTTCTTGGATCTAAAAAGTAAATTTTAAGTTCTATTGTTAGTGTATTTGTTTCATAAAAGATATACAGGGTGTTCACAAAGTCTCTTTACAATTACAAAGTCTGTAAAGGGACTTTATTGGATACCCTGTATTTTGATGTCTAGTGTAGGTATAAGAAAGAACCAGCCCATGATGTAAGGAGGATGGAGTAGTCAGGAATCAGCATGTAGTAAGACACAAACTAGAAATTGTACACTGCACATAATTCAGGCATATTTTTGAGGTTCATATGTGATGCTCCAAGAATTTTAGGATAAATGGACTTAACAAATGGACAATAAAATGTTTATCATGTTTGCAGATTGAGATCAGAATAAACTACACATCACTCTTGATGATTTTTGTTAAAGATCAAAAGATCTCAATTGTCTCAAGTAAACCTTGTCAATCATTTTGGTTCACTATATGATTCAGGCGCCGTTCAAGATCCAGGTCTCATAGCAGGTCAAGGTCACGCAGCAGGTCACATGACCGTGATAGACGCTCAAAGAGGTAAGTTATGAACCATTGTATAAGTGAACCATCAGGGTTCGAAATTAGCGTTGCGGAAGTAACGATTCGTTCCTTCATTTCCCAAAATCGTTACCTAGCGACATGCCCAAGTAACGAAAATAGTTACTTGCTTTATGAGAAGAACTCTAAATGATCGTCAAAACAACTTCTCAAATGAAAATATGCTGACATTGCCGTGATCAAATATTTAGATTTTTTTCTTTGGCACTTTTCATACTTTTTCACTTTAGCTTTAAGCTGTAACTACTCTAAACATAAGATAAAGTGTTCACTTACCATACAGATTATTATTTTTAAGTCTAAAAAAACGGCAATTTTGAGGTAAAATCACCGTATTGTTAAGAAACATTTTGAAGTTGCTAACTTCCTGTATGAAAAAGGGAGATATCTATTGAGAAAATACTAGTGCTAAATGGATTTCACCCCCTTCAATAAAAAATTGTAATTCCCATTTTACCATGCAGATTTGAAATAAAAAATAAAATCTTGGGGAGAGAAACTCGAAAACACAACAGCTATTTGCATAAATTAATCAGCCTGACCTTTCACTTAGGAATGTTTTAGTGGGAAATTTGAATTTGAATGTTTATACCACATTTGATCTCAGGAAACTATTTTCAATACCAGGCTAGAAAGTCAAGTTCGAACCCTGACCATTGAAAGAAATTTTGAACCACAAACTAAAGATACATGATATCAGCAAAAAACCTGAAAATCAGACACATGGAGTTAGTCAACGTTAAAACGACCAAAATTCTGTCCATAAAAACATAGCATTTATCAGGATATTTCACATTTTAGTTAGGGAATTTTGATTTGAAAATAGGGAAACCATGATAGAAAATTTTCATTGTGTTTCAGATCCTACAGCAAATCTGCGTCTCGCAGTCCGAGCCGGGAACGTAAGAGTGAGGACCGCCACAGATCCAAAGAGAGGGAAAGGTCATCTAGACGCTCTCGCACACGGAGTCGCTCATAAAATTAAGTTACGTACTTGAAAGATAAAACAGTGATGAGACAGTGATGTAGATATTGGATCTGAACAAGATTTAAGTGGAAAGTACCACAGCTTTTAACAAGAATAGAATCTGGCACTTCAGATTCAATATTTTATTTTAGAACGATTTTAATTTCTGAATGGAAGAAACCGGACTCGAGTATGACAAACTTAAAGGGATTTGTTCTGGAGAATTCAATAGGATGGACTTGTACAGTGTGAAAATGGTAATTGATCAAGAAAATCCAAACATGAGGTGTAAAATAGAAATAAAAATAAGTAATTTGGATTTTGTGTATACAGTCTAACACATAGTGCAACTCAAGGTACCGTCCATTCATTTCAATGGAATATGGGTCGTTTTTCCTGTGACTATATGTGCTAGACTGTATAAGGAGTTTCATGTTGCTATACTTAGTATTTTAGACAGGCTTGAATATGATATTACAATGGCAGTTTCATTTTTTTCATTTCATTACATTATATTTATTCAATTCAAAAGTATACAGAAGCTACAGTAGTGCTGCCTAGCGCATTTTGCATTATAGGCTAGCATTTCAAGTTATACATAAAACAAAAATAAGAGAAGGCGAGTGAGTAAGTGCCAGTAAGCTTAAATGCCAACAGTAAATTAGGAAGAAATGAATTAAGTAATACTAGAGACGAATTCAACAAACTTTTCTTTTAATTTAGAATCATTTTCAAGTGAAAGGGAATTTTGAAAAATTAGAGATTCAATTTTTTCTTGTCCATTGAGTGGGGTCCACAGGTTGTGCTGTTCGAGGGATTCTTCAAGTTGTGTTCTTTGAGTAGAATGGCGCTTGCAATGCAGAATTAAGTGTTTTTGGGTTGCACTCATACCACAGACACATAGGTTAGATGTGTTAGGAAAATTATGAGCAAACTTTTGTGATTCAAAATAAAGTCCACATCTAATTCTGTTTAGGATAATTTCTTGTTTTCGAGACAAATTTAGTTTTGATGTTGTATTGAAGTCAGTGAATTTAAAAGTTTTGTTTTTGATTTTACTTTTGAACATTGAGATGGTGGGAATTGATCTATCTTCTGGGGATAACCTATTCCATTCAGAAATTAATCGCAAAACTGGTGCTTTATTAAGTCGAGAGCTCGATTTTGCCGGTATTTGGAAAGGTCTATGGGTTCTAAGAGCCCTTCTTTGCTCAGATTTATAACGGTCAAAAAGTTCAATGATGTAATCGGGTGCCATGTTTTTACAAATCTTAAACATGATAATGCGATCTTTATCTCTTCTTCTGGATTCAAGTGGCTTCCACTTTAGACAATTAAGAGTTTTTATAGTATTTGAGCCATGTAGAGCCCCTGAGCAGCTGAGTGCTGCTTTGTAATGCAGTCTGTCTAGTTTTATCAGATTTTGAGCTGTGCTAGAGCCATAAATTGAACTACAGTAATCTAAGTGTGGTAAAATAAAGGAATTATATATAAGTTCAAGGTGCTTTGACTTTAATTTGTAGGAAAGGGATTTCAGCGGGTTGAGCTGTTTTTGCACCTTGCTGGCAAGTTCATTTATGTGTATGTCAAATTTTAAGCGATGGTCAAAAATGAATCCCAAGTGTTTATGGGAAGTTTTGTATGGAATTTTATCTCCTTCAAAATAAAGCGGACTTATGTCAAAATTATCTATATTTTTAGGTTGAAATATCATATGGGCACTTTTTGATGCCTTAAATTTCATGTGCCATTTGGTAGACCATTGTTCAATTTTGTTCAAATCATGCTGCAGGTCAAAAGTTTGGTTACCATCAATATTAAAAGAAGCATAGGCTGACGTGTCATCAGCATAGATGAAGCATTCTGATCTTAGATCATCAGGAAGATCGTTTATGTAGATAAGGAAGAGGAGTGGCCCAAGGACGGATCCCTGAGGCACTCCTGTGTTGATATATCCGGAGTTAGACAAGGCAGATTTTACACCGTCTACTGTTACACAGATTTTTCTTTCTGAGAGATAGGATTTGAGGAGTGATAAGGTCATACCAGAGATTCCATAGGATTCAAGTTTATGGAGGAGCAACACATGCGGAACAGAGTCAAAAGCAGAGCTGATATCAAGGAAACAGGCATTTACACATTTCCCTTTTTCAAATTCATTAAAAATAAAATCAGTGATAGCCGTAATTTGGAGTTCGGTATTGTGACCAGCTAGGAATCCGGATTGTTTTGCAAAAAGTAATTTATTTGTAAAGATGTGTTCAGTGATTTGTGAATGCACAACTGTCTCAAAGATCTTTGAAATTCCTTGAAGTAGAGTTATGGGCCTATAATTTTCGATAGCTGTTCTCTCATTTTTTTTGTAGATTGGTATGGTGTTGCCTTCCTTCCATATAGCCGGAAATTTTCCAAGCTTGAAGATCAAATTAAATAGGTCAGCAAGCTTAACTGATAATGATGGAGAGGCTAGTTTGATCATTTCATTAGTGATATTTTCTAAGCCAGCTGCTTTGTTCTTTTTTAATGATTTTATAATTAGGGCAACATCTTCCGGTAATGTATATAGGTTGTCAATTTTGATTTGAGTTCTTCTATTGAAATGCGGAAGTGGATGGTCAAAATTATGGTCAGTATGGTATTTTGATGTGAAAAATGATAGAAACAGGTTCGCTTTTTCAAGGCTTGTAGTGGCAAGGAGATTCCCAAATTTCAAAGAGGGGAAACCACTGTAATATTTTCTATTTAAAAGTTTTTGAATTATTGCCCAGTATTTGTTGCTTCCATTATTTTCCGTCTCAAGGTTGTCACATATTTTGGAATGATAGTTTTCTTTCGCTTCGTTGATTTTTTCTTTCACTTGCTGAGCTAGGATTTTATAGTTGTCATGGTCAATCTGTTTATTCGAATTTTTGAACTTTTCATAGAATTGTGATTTTTTTCTAATCAAGTGTTTGATGTTATTGTTTATCCATGGTTGATCTTTAGAACTGAAGGTAGTTATTTTATTTGGGATGTTTTGTTCGAAAATGTTAAATATATCGCTAGTAAATGTTTCAGTTAATTTATCAATATTCTTACATTCACTATATACAATGGCAGTAGATCAAATTATTCCATATTTTTATATTTCATTTGTGTGTAAATCATCATTCAAATTGTCATTTTGATTTCTTTGAACCTAATATATGGGTGAATATGACATCACACAATTGTTGCTTTAGACTTTCTCACTTGAAGTCTATGTAACAATATTCATTCAGTATTTTAGAATGACTTCTGAGTCTTGCATTAAACCTCTGATTTGCCTCACCCTACCTCATCCTCTTACAACAGACCTGATAGGGAGGGGGGAGGGGGGGGTAGAGGTTTGATGCATAATTCAGAAAGTTACCATTGTAATGTTTATAGTGTTATAGTTGTTGGCAATTATCTATTACTGTATTAGTTCATGCATTCATTCTGTGTATAAAGTTCATGATGTTGTAAATAAATATATATGAAAACTTTGATCAAATGTATTGCTTTTATTAGAGATGGTAGTCCTATTATGGGCTGGATGTATGTAGAAGAGTGAGTCTTACTCCAGTTAGGTGGTTTACCTGGAGACCTTAAAATTACTTAAGAAATAAAGATATCAGAAATATAAAAGCATGAGTACTAACCCATACACATAATGCACGAAGGTGAAGGGTGTTTCTCAGTGAATTTATAAATTAGACTTGTTGATAGGAGCGCTCATAAAAGGACCCCTGTTTAACTTAAGTATAACGTAATAAAACTCCAAGGGATTTAGCTAGATCTGTAAAAATAAATCGAGGACTGTCGTATATTACTGGTTCAAAGTATTGATATCTGCAACAGGATATGAAACCTTAAAGGAGTCTTTAGAATGTGGGGAATTGACAATATTTAAGGATTTAAGCCTTGGACTCATGCATTGTGTGCTGAACTATTCCGTGAAGATGTTGTTTCCAAATCTTTGCATGACCCTGCAGGGGGGAATGCAAAGTTTAGGATACAGCATTTGAGTGGAATGAATCAGCCACAATGCATCAAGTCTTGGGCTTAAATTCTTTTCACACATTGCAAAATATTTTCTATAAAATCACCTAAAAGATACTAAATCACTAAAAGAACATATTTTCAATGAAACTTTTTGCAAAGGTCAAATATTGGAAAACTTAATTTCAATCTCAGTCGCTTAGCAACTGTACACAACAAATGCATTGATATATCATGCACTGTTCATTATGTGAAAACTCTGTTTGGATTGGCTGGAAATGGACACACCTTGCCTGGCTATGAGTGAATAATAAATAATTATCTCCAAAGTTGAATGACAGGCTTTTGCTCACTGGACAGTTTGAGTTTAATAATTCAAGTTTTTAAGAAAAAAAACAAATTATAGGTCACTGACTTTGTGTCTTGTTAAGCTCTTCGAAAATACAATATTTCGATTTTTGTCTCATAGAGCATCTTATAGCCTTGCCCAAGTCGGTATTTTTTACTTATCTGATCTTGAATTTTTCATAATAGAAATCAAGATAAGTAAAGAGACCGACTTGGGCAAGGCTAAGCATCCTATAGATACTACCAATCTACCCAATTGACATTAAATGACCTGAGATTATGGGTCTCCAAGGCCTGAAGGGTCACAGCAGCTCCAAATGGGCTTAAAATGCCAAATACCTAGATATAGTCACCTTCGAATGACCTTGACCCATAAAGATTGCCTTGACACAGCAGCCCTCAAAATGCCTAATACCTATAAACATTGATCTTGGAACGACCTCTGACCTTCGTAGAATAGGCACTGACCCACTTAGTATGTTGACCAAGTATGATGAGCCAAGATTTAATGGTCCAGGAGGAGATTTCAATCAGAAGGATAGAGAGAGAGAGACGGATGATGGATGAAGAGCCCGATCTTTGATATGCAATGACAACAGAATTAACTTGATTATAAAAATCAATTCAACTTATAATTTGCCATGTTTGCTGCTGAATCTCAAAAGTTTGAAAATTAAGGAGCAACAATTTTTCTGAAAATTCATATTGCGTACTCAGGTACTCTAATTTTCAAAAGTTTTGAAATGTTAAATTCTACATTGAGTCTTTTCATCTAGGTCTGACACTGAAAGATGGCGTAGGTGTGATTAACACAAACACATTCCATATTCAAAATTAGATATCTAAAATCATAAAGGTACATCTATTACTCCCTTTATATAAATCAATGATAATATCTTTGAGATAGGTAATATCATGGGCTTTCAACTAGAAGGGTATGCAACTCTATGTAATAACATGAGACCTTCAAAATGAGCAATGACATGCTTCCCTTTTATGACAATATTTCAAAAAGTATTAGATAAATGTATAATGTTTAAGTATTATTTTGAATAAAAATCAATTTTTAATATGATTTAAGCATAAAATATATTCAATATCATATAAAAGTAAACAAAAGAGACCAATAAGAATAAGAGCTATCAAGATGTTCTCTTTGAGTATTGCATTGTGGGTAATTATTCAAGAACACATTCCAATAAAAACATAATTTGTGGGAGAATGTTCACTTTCTGTATTGTCATAATTATGATGAATTCCAATTTTTATTAAATTATCAAGATGTATGTAGAAGATCATGTTTTTATTTTTGAGTTATTTCTTTTAATCATCAATAAAAAGTACAAAATAAGATTTTCTTGGAATGTGTACATTCTCCAATTTTGAAAACCCATGGCAATGTTTATGTATGAAATATGGGAAGTTGCCTACCCTTCTAGTTGAAAGCCCATGGTAATATGGTATTCAAGACAAAACATCTTTAAAAGCTATGTTATTGGAATGTAAAACTTTTAAATGGACTGTGTAAAAAAGCTCTCCGAAAATTTAAGTTGCGGTTCGATTTCCTGTCAGGTAATATTTTTGAATTATCAGCTTTTTTCGATCAAATTACCATACCTAATAAGGTATTAATTTGGAAATAACTACAAGATACATTATATCATTACTCTATGTCGTATATATATTTCAAAAAGCTATATAACCGAGCATCAAATCCGCCATGGCCGAATCATCGAAATGTCTTCATAATTTTTGACTTTGTTTTTCGATAAATTTAGAATTCAGTTGAATTTCGAAGGTATCTGTAGCTTAATATGTTTCATAAGCTTAGTGTATTCAGAATACATAACTTTGTGTCACATGCACGCACAGATAGCAGAATATTTTGGGCATATTTTTTGGCATCACCACAGTGTGATAAAGCAGGCTTACTTCTTTCATAGTTCAACATCGTTATACTCAATAATGGCTTTCTTTACTAATAGGAATTATCTTGGCCGTTATTGAGTTTAAAGGAATTCTAGTCGATTAAAATAACAAAATATTGCTTCTTGGACAATATCAAACGACTTTTATAGTGCTGATATATAATAATAAAGGGTGCGTCTGCAAACTAAACAGAGTGCTCCTACCAAAATGAATTTGCCTACATACCCCTGATTACTTCCTGCGAAAGCTATTTGGATATTGATATAATAGCTTTCCCACGGATCATTTGGACAGCTGAATGATTGTGACCTTTGAAATCGAATTAAGTCGATCCGCGGCTTACTTTTGGTCTCTAACTGTGTCTTACATCAGTATCATCAATCCGTGTGATTATTAGAGCGCTGAAATACTTCTTTTTCGATCAAGACTTGTAAATTGTTCATCGAGTGAATGTTTTTTAGACCTATTTCCAATATGGCGGTTTGCTAGGAGCGAGATACGCAACGAACGAAGTGAATTTTGAGAATTAGTTAGGTTCGGACAACCTCCGGAGATTTATGAAGATGTCTGAGCAGAAAACGCCATATTGGAATTTGGCAGTAAAAACATTCACTCGACTAACAATTACAAGTCTTGATCGAAAAGGAAGTACTTCAACGCTCCAATACTTACACGTATTGATGATACTGATGTAAGAGACAGTTAGAGACCAAAAGTAAGCCGCGGATCGACTTAATTCGAATTCAAAGGTCACTATTAATCAGCTGTTCACTTCCCCGTTTGAGAGCCATAAATTTCGAAATCTAACATGGCTCTCGAAGTGAGTAAAACCCTGAGACTCTTATCTGATAGATAGAATGCGCAAATAAAACAAAAGTTTTGCTATTATAGGTAAAAAGTTCTCTTGAAATTTCGAAGTGATTTTACCTGTTAATTATGGTCCGCCATTTTTGCGGAAGTTACACTGAAACGCAAACTCCATGAAACCAAACGAAGTCACTAGAAAAAACATGGCACACATTGTGCGCATGTGCAGCAAAGTTTAAACCAATCAGATTATTTGATTATTTTGCGCACATGAATTATTTGCTTCTGAGCACTTACAAGCTTACCACAATAAACAAACCTGGCAGAGACTACCCTTAGCCTACTTCATTTTGGTGAAATTTCAGCTCAAACTCGTGACAAATGCATATGCTGGTGTGAAGCCTTGGAGACACTCATTTTGGTAAATATGATTTATGGGGTATAGTTTCCTGCAGTTTGTGGAAGTTTGGGACATTAAATGTTAAAATTCAAGAAAATATGCCAATTAACATGATTAAACGACTAATCAATTAATATATACCAGCACTGTACATATTCTTTTCCTTACCTATTTTGTATTTTAACAATCGACACAAGTACACACACCATATTTCAGCAGATATCGGATAAATTCATAAAAATATCTTTTGATTTGATAAAATCATCGATTATAAAACAGGAAGTGCGTTCTGTGACGTCCACGTATGAATATTTCAATTATTCAGATTTTGCCGTGGATTCGATTTTAAATGCTTCTAAATAATCTTCTTATGCTTACTATGATTTCCTTTAGTAATGTTTAGACTTTAAAAACACATAACATCAAGCGATTTAACTGTTAAATGTTCATTTGTACTCGTAAAATGAGGCAACACTTACCAATTTCTAAAATGACATGTCCGTCATTGTGTCTGTTCATCCCCGCTAAAATTAAAATATAGCGAAACAAATTTGTTGTCAAATAGATTGATAATTATTATCGCAATTACTCGAGATAATAAGATCAATTTGGAGAATAACAAGTATCTCTGATTGATTTATGTAGTGTGTGTATATACGTAAAGTAGTTATTTATTGCAAACCTACTGTTTGTTAATGCAGTGCCGCAATGATGGTTAAGGTGCTGTGGTGCTTAACAGGAAATGACAAAACAATCAAGATAATCAATTGCCAAGGTTTATCTATAAAAATACACTAATAATAGCAAGGGGCGAAAAATGAAATAAGTCATAAATGTCATATAAAGGCTACTGTCGCACCAGGCTTTCACGATTACTAACCACGGTCATGGCAGGATCCTTGCGCAAATGTGCAACTTAAAAACACTTAATAACATGGTGACGGTTGTGCCATGCATAAGTCTTGCAACAAAAAGGGTCTCGACTTGTTTTTGTCCTAGAGTAGACATTTTCTAGCGAGAAATCTAAATGGTAGTTTCGATGGAAAATCACGAAGTAGCGTACTAGCATTCAAAATATTTGGTCTGGAGAATCTGAATGAACTTAATAATTGCTGAATTTTCGGTACAGAAATCACCAGAGAATTCAAATGCTATTTCATTTGTGAGTTTTTATTTTGAATAGAAAAGATTAAAGGTGCAATAATTAGTGCAGAGGGGTCATTCAACGATCATGGACCAGTGTCAAAATATATTTAAGTTTGGATATTTCATCAAGACTAACATTTATTTTTATTATCTACAAAGAAACCCCCTAGATAAACATTATTTTAGCTAATATTCCTCTTGAAACATGGTGGATCTTAAATATATAAAAGTGGAAGTCCCCTTTTTGAAGCTTTGCACTGAATTTACACTTCTTAATGCTGAAATTGATAATTTATCCATACATTTTAAGAAAATAGGTACATATGTCAAAGAAGATGTTAAACCAAATGTTGCCTTGATAGCTCAGAAAAAATGAAAAAACTTTCCTATTTTCTCTACAGTCCTTATTGCCCCTTTAAGAATACCAAAAGTTAATTGGCAATAATAGGTTAAGTTTGCATGTGACATCATTTTTTCAAATGTATTTTTTCCTTGATTTTTGGTTCGCAATTGAAAAGTTTCATGGAATAGTAGGGTGTGCGTTTATTGGAGAATGTGCATCTATTAGATAATACCATATCTGAGCACCTGTCTGGGCTCAATAAATCTCGATGTGAATGCTTTTTCCGATCCATTCTTAATCTGTCATACACTTCTGTAATGACCCTCAAAAGCAAGTCACTCCTGCAGTCTCAACTGTAGTAGCTCGCCTTCATGGCTCAGGGGAGAGCGTCTGACTTGTGACAGGAGCGTCCTGGATTTGATTCCAGTATGAGGCATTGAATTTAGCATACTCCCTTTCATGTCTAGTATATGGCTCATTGCACTACAGCTCCCCTGACAGGCATGTCCTCAGGGCATTACAGTGATATCAGCGGTCGGATTACCCTTGTGTTGATCAGGGGATTGTGTAATGACCCTCGATAGCATCATCGCTACTACAATCTCATCTGTAATGGTTAACTTTATGTCTCAGGGGTAGAGCTTCAGAATTGTGAACGGAGGGTCCCGGGTTTGATTCCTGTACGGAATATTGAATTAAGCACACTCCCTTTCATGTCTACTATCTATCTGGTTTGTAACACTACAGCTCCACGGATGCTCTCAAATCGTTACACTTCCATGTCTTATGAAATGAGAACATCACATTGTAAAAACTTTGATGTGTGAGATGTACAGGGAAGTAATGACTATAAAAATCTTTATTGGCCTACAATATTCTCACCAAAGAAGAGGTTTAAAAAATGCTAGATGATCAGAGCTGAATGAAACCCATCATTGAATTTTGAAAACAATTGTCTGGCCTGTCGGCTCTATCATCAGTGGCCAAGATGCATCAAACCATGTTTCTCCTTATCAGAAAACAAATAAAACAAATAATGTTGAAAGTGTTAAAACAAAAATTTTCATGCTGTGGCCTTAATTATATTCTTAATGATACACAATGATGATTATTATGTCATGAGATGATTATTGTGATAAATGAGATAGTTATTGTGATAAATGAGATAGTTATTGTGATAAATAATATGGTTATTGTTATAAATGAGATGGTTATTGTGATAAATGATTCATTGCTGCAACAATAATCACTGTATGATATTGAACAGTTTTTATTACATTTTTATTTCAATGGATATCTTGTAGGAAAGGAGTTACACTGAGTATCAAAATAAGAAGCCACATTTATAATTGTATAGCAAATATCACACATTGTAGAAACCACATCAAGCAAAAGCCAATTACAGTAAAACCAATCGGATGCTAAAGGGACCAGCCAAAAGTGTTCATATTAGGGAGATAACAAATTTGGGAACTAGAAAAAGTGTTCATAATTACAGAGGTATTCACATTGTAGAGGTAATCAGATTAGAGACTGGAGAGTTGTTTAGATATATGGGTTCTACTGAATTGTAGAAGCCACCCATATGCAATCATAAGGCAGGGTGTATTAATGGTACGAGTGTGTATTTTTCAAATCACGTACTGTTCATTACAAAACATATCTACAGGAAAGCAGATTTTAACACTTGAAAAAAAATGAACAAGAATGTCATCATAGACATCACAAACCAGGAAGTTGATCTCACTTAATTATGCGTGTCACTTATATGTGCCTTGTCACATAAGTATTACAAGGATCAACCGATTGAGCTGTCTATTGCAAAATACATGATAAAAATCTGTCAAATAAAAGTCAAGTATAATGTTTTTATTTAAAAAATATATACACTTTATATTTTAGGCCTCTGGGTAAACAAGCACCGATGTTTTATATTAGCTGATATCACTTCCTATTTCTGTATCATCCTTCCAACCCAGGCCTGGCTACATACTATTCAGATTGAACCCAAACTGAAACTTATTTTCTACATTTCAGTTCTACCTATGCATGTATATTTTTGAACATATGCTTTACTTTGAATTCAAAACGAAACTCCAACAAATCTAACTTAGCATTAAAAATTATATACCTGTGATTTTTGTGGTTTTACTGTCAGGGCCAACAGATAAGTAATGTTTACAAACTACTTAGTCGGATCAGGAAATGAATTTAGTTTGTGTTGAACTGTTTGAATATCATAATTTAGTTCATTTGATTTTTGATTTCAGAACTAAGCGTTCAACATGATGTGAAGGATTACATGGATTAGTAAGTCTCTCTGTCGTCCATGTGGTATATGGCATTACATACAAGTACAACCTTCCATCTGGAGTAGGGCACATACTTTGCTTGACTGGATTCCAGCAATTACAGAAACTGGTCTGTAAATCAGCCGTTGTGCATAACTGACTTGTCTGTAAAACAACCGTTACCCACATTTGAATATTATCTGGAATACAGCCATTACCCACATTTGATTGTCTGTAAAATATCCGTTACCATTTGACTGGATCACAGTTTCTTAGGAGTATGGCATTAATGCATCACCTGAATAAAGCACTGCAGTAACTCAATGTTTCTACAAGACTAATGCACATTTGCCTGTCTTGAGTTACTTCATTTATTCCAAATTTGGATTAGTAGATGAGAAACAACAAAATGTCTTCAACATTTGCTGGATATCTTCAGATAGAAATAGTGGAAAATAGTGGCTCATTTTTCCGTAAATATTTCATTCTGAATGGATCAGAGAATACGCTGACTTATTATGATGATGTACTAAAAGTGAGTTATTTTCTTTCTCCTTTGTTCCATTCCATCGACAAAAATCACTTAGCTTGAAATTTTGATTAAAAATTCTTAGAAACCTTAAAAAGAGAGTAACAGTTATTAACTTGATTGCTCAGAGCAGATTTGTATTGAAAAAAGATTTAAATTGTTTAAATGGGTATTACAATCATCTATGATTTTTGAATATAGTACATGTTATCATTAAGTTCTGTTGTCACAGAAGCACTAGCACCCATTAAATGACTATACCCTGGGTGTTGTTTCATACGAATAGTATTTAACCAAGTCATTGTGATCCCTCCTACCATGCCCTCCTTGTCCCCTCTCTCACATATAGAGATTTGGCTATAGTTCCTGAGATGTAATGTTAGACTTCTCATCAATATAACAATAGGGGAAAGTATGGATGTTGGAATCTTGGGGTCAGAGGATTTATTTAACATTGAAGTAAGTTTCTGGGTTCAGCTTTTGTAGTAATTTTCTGGGTTCAGCTTTTGTAGTTATTTTCTGGGTTCAGCTTTTGTAGTAATTTTCTGGGTTCAGTCTTTGTATTAAAGCAAATCTTCTGTTGTAGAAACTGCCTGAAGGAGCTAAACCAATAGAAACTATCAACCTGTCTTATGTTTCCATGGTGAGCCGTGCCACACAAAGGATGAAAGAAAAATACTGCTTTGGTAAGAATTACCTCATAACATACCTTTGCCGTTTTAATTCTGTTTTGTTTTGGTTCAAATCTTGGGAAGATGAGAACATGAGAACTGAAAAACACTTTCTAGGACTAGACCTCCATGTAGGTTTTCTATTATCTTGTAAAATCTTTCCACCTGTCATCTTCAAATAAATAATGGGATATTTTATCACCGACTTACAAATGATTAGATTTTAGTAATCTCATATTTTTAGTGATAACTGTAGCAGGCAAAAAGGTGTTTCTACGTGCAAACAATGAGGAAGATATGAATCTATGGCTTGATGCACTCCTGAAAGCTAGCAAACTAACGGTATGTCCCTGTTTCTAGATGATTCAAACTGATATGAAACCACTGATTGAACTTATGTGTCTGGGACGGAAAAATGTTGCCCAATAAGGCTCAGTAATGCCCAAAAGCTCCCCTCCCCCTAGTTAAGCAAACATTCTCTTTGAAAAAGTAAATTATGCTCACAACGGTATTAATTGTCCCAATGATACAATGATTTGAACATATAAAAAGACTTTGGATATTACCCTTGAAGTTGCTCCACTTGTATGTAATCAGTGCAGAGTACAACATTGCACATTATGGTACAACATTGTATACATTGTATTGTATGAAGATTTCATGGCATTGGTGTTTCTTGTTACCTTGGAGCTCCCAATACAAAATAAGTAATGAATCGCTATTGTACAGTGGTAGTTGACCTCATTTGGTTACTATATTTATAATACCCTTGTTGTTTGTAGGTGCCAAAGCAAGATGACTCAATGAAAAGACAAGTCTCCATGATTGGAAGCTACAGGACAGAAATAGCTGGAGGTGTAGTGCTGAAAATCCCAGTAGAGCAGGAGGTACATTGAATATTTGAACTGAATGTCCATGCTATTTCACTGTGTTTGGTGTATCAGAGACCTAAAGAAATGTTACATTTACCAGGCTACTTGCATAATAACATTATAACTTATAACTGGTAAAACTCAACTTATAACTGGTAAAAGCAATTGTACCTATTACACAGCAAGGTTAAATGTTACAAAGCATTTGGACAAAAAACTTTGTAACGAATGATTTTGTGCATGTGAAACACTTCAAAATCCTTGGTTACAAAGCTTTTTTGTTAAAATGCAATTTAACCTGCTGTGTATAACTCTAACCATTTTTACACATAAAATTGTTTACGTTAAGTACATTTCAAAAAAATATGTCGTGACTTTTGGACAACCTGTATGTACTGCTGTTTATCTATAGAGCGATGGAGAGAGCACATGTGACGAACTAGAAAAAAACTATGAAGCCCCAAGATCTCCAGATGGGAAACGTCTACCAGTTATAAAGGCGGGTTATTGTGTCAAACAGGGGGCACTGGTGAGATATTAAAGTTCATATGCCCATAGAATATTGTTTTTAAATATGCCCATTGATACAGAGCTGTATGGGTACCTTATCATAAAAATGAGGGTATAACCCAGGATAGCAAAATGAATAATATATTAGCAAGCCTTCCATGGATGATTCAAGTACAAGTGCATATAAACATGAGAACAATCTGGAAATTCAAATAAACATTCCATGTTGGAGACTAAAAATGGTCCATGAAATTCCAATCTCATTTTATAAAAAAATGAACTTTAAACCAATTTTAGAACATTTTTATGTTTTGTTTCAGGTGAAAAATTGGAAAAGAAGATATTTTGTACTGGATCTTACTGGACTGTCATATTTTAAAAATGAACAGTATTATAATTCGGAAAAACCACCTATTAAATGTATATATAAGTCAGAAATCTTGGATGTGCGGTCCTCTCAAGGCATCCATCCGCAGAGGGATAATTTATTTGAAGTCGTCACAGCTCAAAGAGTTTACTATGTGCAGGTAAGGGTAATGCTAGTAGAGCTATATAATTTCATTTTTATGTCACCATCACAAGCATTGACATATTGTTATTGTCTCCAACTTTTTGTGGACGGTATTCGGTGTCTGTAACAAATGGTAATGACATATTGCATGTTAATGCTATGTTTGTTGGACAATTGTGGTTTCTTTTTATGTCAGATTATTGGTTCAGATGTTTGGGTTGGTTTCCTTATGCCCAGTTGTGCTTTTCGGTTTTCTTTTTTAGATGTCTTTCAATTCTATTTGGCCCTTTTCCTTGTTACTTTTAAGTACTGTGCTGGCATATTTGAGTTAATGGATTGACTCCTGCTCAGAGAAATGCTATCCTAGAATAACTTATCTGAAAGAACAAGTACATGGCCAGTCCTATATATGAAAAACTCAACTTAAAGAACATATGGTTATTTGCCTCATACCTTCTTTATGAAACCACTTTCTTAAAGAAAACATGCTGAATAATTTCTTCAAAATTTTTCCAAATCTGGAATCAGTTGTCAGAACTGAATGTGATTGGTTCCTGATGTTGTTGTTACTAAGGATCACCATAGTACCTGCTATCATACAACATTGTTGACTATTTGCTTTCAGTGTGATACTCAAGAAGATATGGAATCATGGCTCTATATATTACGCTCAACATATTTAGGGGATGACGTTCAGGTATGTGTTATATAGTTAATTTATCCAATATACAAATGTAGTCTGGGTGATATCTATTAATTATTTCCATGTAAGTCTATGCATTTGATAGTATAAATTTCACATCTCCCAAGGTCTGTTCAATAGCAGACAGATTTGCATTTTTCTCCCATTAAATATACTTGCACAAAAAATAAGTCAATTTCAAATGTGTAATTGGATGATTGTAATGCCATGTGACTTTAATGTTCATTTGGACAAACTAGAAGATGCAAGATTGTTTTACATTTGTGGACCATTTTGATGCAGGGATGTATTATTTTAGTGCATGACTTTAGAGCTGTAATCATTATAAGTTAAAGGTATTCTATTCCTTAAAGGAACTTTACGGGTCCATGGGACGAGAGACTGTTGTTTAATAAGGTACATAAAGGTGTACAGACTATCATAGCATCATGGATTTCAATTAACAATTCTTAGCATGAAACACGGAAACAGCTTTGTGCTTTATCCAGTTACGACATCAAATCATTGTCTCATCGTGGCAGTTAACAATTGCACAAAACTGTAGGCAAGAAATTTTAAAAGCATTTTTAAAGGGGCTCATCCTATATAATGCCTGCAAAATTGTAGTAACTTTAAACTTACTGTATTGAAGGACTTAACAAAACTTCTTTGGAGAGACAAATGCATGTAAAGAATTGCTCACACCTTTCTCATGTCATAAAATTCACATGTCAATGGAGCACATGCTTTTTATTATCCTGACATTTATTTCTTTAAGTTTCCTCTTTTCAGATTTTGTCACATATTAATCCAATACTGTAAGTTAAGGGTCACTACAGTTATGTTCATGAAGAATTTCTAGCTTTGCATCAATAGAAGTTGAGCCACTTTATAACAGGCCTTTTATCATTTATGTTTATATCTTCAATTTTTATTTTCAAACATTTACAGCACTCATATCCTGGTAAGAAGAATTCATTTTGTGTCCTCAAATAAAACAGTATGTCAGAATAAGTTGTCTAATGAGTCAATGACTGATATTTGTTAGATGTCTGAATCCTTTGTAAAACTACTTATAATATTCCCCTTTGTTAAAAGCTTCGATCGTAATCTTAGTAAATCTGTTTATATTACTGAAGTGGAAATTGGACTGAGGTTAGGAGAGGGACTATAGTCTGCTCCCTCATTCAGGCTTGGGCATTTTGTACCCCAAGATGACCTGCAAAGATTTTAGTTTCATTTTTCCCTACTATATATCTAAAAAACTATAATTCCATTTCAAAATAACTATAAATTAATATTGCTGAATTTTACGAGTTTGATATGCTTACGATATAGTATGCCAGCTTTGAAACTTGCACCCATATCTCATGTTCCAAATTAACTCAGAGGTGTTAAACTTACATAAAGATGGCAGCATTGCAGTTCATGTATCTACTCGTATGTAAACAGGCTGATTACACTGCCATCTTATCACGAACATTGTTTCTATCACCCATTGGCCTATGCTAATAGTAATACTCATCATGTTTGTTCTGATTTTTGTTTCACATTCACAAATACCAGACGAACACTCCTGCCTCATACTTGTAATATTAACAATTTTAAATATCCCCTATCCCTATAATTTAGAAATGTATTAATATCTTTATTATGTCATCGCTATCTGAGCTCCTATTAATGAACTCCAAACTCTTATGAGGATTTCAGTTGCATGTGTTTTATGTCATACTGCACACTGTATGGGTTGGTGTCATGATTGCTTTCTACATTTGCGAAGTTCAAATGGGCCACTCAGGCCACATTATGAATGGCTTGGCGTTTGTTAAAAATAAGTTAAAATAGTAATGTAGTTTAAGTTGTTTCTTGTTGAACATTTTGATTATGTTATACATGTAGTCTTGCATCAAGTCCCTTATCAACCAGACCACAGACTGTATTCCACATCTGAACACCAGCCTTCAGGAATCAGGACTCCTCTACAAATTTACTCCTTCTAAAGAAAAAGAAATTCTGGGATCTTGGAGCCCTAAATACAAAGAACACATTCCTTGTGTGTTATTCAAAAGTTTTTCCTATTTTCTTAAAGGGAAGAGGGGGGGGCATGTTATAAGAGAGTTGCGACAGACTTGATGCAAGACTACTGAGTCTGTTCAAACATTATAAACTCTTTGTCAATCAATAGATGGCATAATTTCATTTGGATGAAGTTGTATTTAATATACAGGGTGTCAATAAAGTCTTTACAATTACAATACAAAGTCTATGTTATGTTTAGAGACTTTATGGACACTCTGTACTGTACATATATTTTTGCTGTGAATTTTTATTGCTGTGAATTTTAGAAAGTTCAACGAATATTTGAACAAAATGGGTTCAGAATGAATTTCACACAAAGATATTCAGTTTTTGATTGAACAGTCTGTGTTATTTAAGTTGTATTGTTATTACATGTTTATTGCTGGCTAAAGTTAAGAAAGGCATGTGATTTCAGAATAACCATACACAGACAACAGACAGTCTAGGACGCAAACCTTCCATACAAAGACCAGGCTCTACTACTACGAATGATAGGCCTGTTTCAGACAATACCACAAATGGGTCTGGGACACTCACGTCACAGAAAAGCATGTGGCTCTGAATATATATGAGTCCATTTACTCCATTATCCCACACACAAGTTCTACAATTTAAGTGATACGGCTGCTAATAGATGGCACTGTTTCACTGGATATTTGATAACATGGAACTCTCTATTCCGTAATCTGGAAAGTATAAATTAGTCATCAATAATACCAAAACAATTTTATATAATTATTCCTGAACACAAGGACTCGAAATTATTGAACAATCTGGCTACAAAGACAACTCTCCTTATCTTTAATACATTGAAATAAGTCTACAATTGGACAAAAGCACTTAAAAGTTGAATGTATGGACTGCGCATTTGTACATATTAAAGAGATGTGGGATATTCACCAGGATTTACATAGTGAGAATTTCAACTGGCTAAAATTTCAATTCTACATATCAATGAATTTGTGTACGTCGTTGGAATTACATTTCCCCTTGCTTTCGTCATGATTTTGATTTATTACTCATTTATGGGATGAAGAAAAAGTCAAATCTATGTTGCCCACCCTGCCCACCAAATTAAGCACCCACATGTTTAGGGTACATTAAGAAAAACATAGAAGGTTAAAAAACTATATCTATGAAACACTCCCACAGCCATGTGCTCTGTTCTATCATGTGTAAACATACAGTGTTCCAAGAACATTGAGAGTTGTTTTTAGTATCATTTATTGTGATGCAATATATTACTTGATTGTCAAGAATTTTTGTATACTTGTACTTGATTGTCAAGATATTTTTGTATACTTGTAATTGTACTTGGATTAATCAGTTTAATGAGGTGCCATGAAGTGATAATGAAGTTAATACAGATTTTTAAAACCATATCAAAAATATGAAGGCCATGTGTATATTGTTAAATTAAAGGTCTTTTAGAGAAGATTGCAGATAATGTAGTTTTTATGCCTGGCTTGCAAAATCCAAAATGGCCATCTAAAGACCTTCATGCAAATTAAAGGTACACAAGAGTAAATATTCAAATATTATATTGTGACATAGAACATAACCCTCTTCATGGATACAGTTAAACCTGTCAAATCCAAGCACCACCGAGACAGTCCATGTATAGCAGGTGTTCACATTTCAAGGTTTCTTTATACATTTATGGGAGTCTATGAGATATTGAGACCAAGGAAACGTGTTCACATTGAGAGGTGTTTGGATTACAGAGGTGTCCAGACTTACAGGTTTCACTGTATTTAAAATTTTGTTCCAAATGATTTAAAGTTTGAGAAACAATGTTTGTTGGGATTTGCTGCTCTGTGGAGCTGCTGTTTTCAAGTTGATGTTTGCTCAGTGAGAGGATAAACATCAAACAATCAAATAAACATACACTTTTATTATTAAATCTGTGTTGCTATGTATATAGCAAAAATAAACAAGTGTTACTGCTTCGTGATAACACCCAACCAGGAAGTTAAAAATTGTCTTGACTTTTATATAAATTTTTTCGTAGAATTTTATTTATAGATTTTAGTAATGTTAAGCTGATTTTTGAAAATTAGATTTCATAATTTTTTAGTGTACATGTAAATAATATTTGTAAATACACATACATTAGTAGACATTGAACTACTTCTAATAAAATGAATAAATGAAATAATTTTTAGTGTTACGTCAAATGTGTAGTTATTTCAATAAATGATAGTGATATAGTCAATCCCTCTTTCTATCTGTCTGTCTTGGCAGAACTCATATACTAGTGAACAGATATTCTTCATATTTGGTGGAAATATTGATAATGAATGGTAAATGGCTCAATTCAAGATATTTTTATCACACCAGTAGCGGGATATATTTGGTATAGTCTTTATGTTGGTGGTGTGAGTGTTATCATGGTGGGGCTATTTTCCCTAATGATTTCAGGAAAACCGCTTGTCAGATTTTCTTCTTGCATATAAACTAGAGGGTACCAAGTTCTACAGCTTATTATTAACTTTTGGGAGGCTATCCTATTTTTAGCAGCCATTTTAGAAGTTTTTTTTATGAATCTTGTTGTCACAATTCCATGAAAGCTCATTGACACTTCTTCATGTACATGATACCAATATCTACTGTTCATTAACTTTTGGGTTCTGTTTGGTGCTGTGATATCATTCTTGTCACGTCCCTGGTTTGAAATGGCTGCTTCTTTGAAAATGAGAACTTTTGAGAGTGTAGAAGTAAGCAATTACATATTAATTTTGATGTCTCTTCAAAGTATCACTTTGTCTACATGTATATTATATTTAAAGGCACTCATTAGAAGATCACTGATATTGAATCATTTTCTTTCTTTTTTGTCTTGGAATGTCCAAAAATAGACCAAATGTTGGACATTAATTTCAAGATCTATATAATGTATGCAAATCAAAGGTATTTAAAGTGATTATGGATATCACATTAAGACAACTTTCAAATTATGAAAACTCAATTTAGGGAATCATATTTTGTTTTTTGGGGATTTGCAACCTGTAGAGTTTCTTTTTTCAACACATTTTAAAGTTAAATTTGGACATTTCAAGGTTAAATATGGTGTCTAATATTTATTCAAATAAATATTAAAAGTTTGAATACACACATTTCTTAACATGTTTCAACATTTACTGTCTATACATAGTACTTTTGAAATTGATATGCCTTAACTGTTCTTTTAAATAAAATGTTTTACTCGGCATTAGCTATGAAACTGTTAATGGTAAAATAAAATGTAGATTATAAAAGGTTGGTCTTTTATAGGGATGTTGTCCAAATCAGTGTAGGCCCTAAGGGCTGGTCCACTGGTCATTACTAGGTTACTTTTGATATGGACCAGTTGAGTTTTTTCACTAGGTATAGGAAAATAACATTGCAACTGGTCCGTAATGCTTTTTGACCAGTGTGTTTCAGATACGTAGGGTCTACACTGGTCCAAATGCTTACAGTTGGAGAAATTAGTTGATTTTGTTATGTTATTTGGTATGGTTTAATAACCCTTCCCTCACCTCCCCCATGTGAAAAATGTTATTTCACATTTTCATGAAAGTAAATATGTCTTATGAAATATTTGTTAACCCCAAACCAATTTCTTTCCATCTATCTAGGCACCAGGAGTCTCACATGCCTAGAAATGTGCTTTCTTTAGCCTTCGGAATTAAAGTTTGATTTAAAAATACATACATTATTATTTTAGATGACTCACGGGGCAGTTTGCGGTCAGTGGATGGAATTTGTAAGAGATTCTTGCAATTTTGTTATTATAATTTGCAATAATTTACCAGATGGTGCCATTTAGTGATATTAATGCCCTATTATTTTCTTGTTAAAGAAATTTTGATATCTCTTCAAAGTATCACTTTTTTTATTTATTTACATGTAGTCTTTTTTTGTCTTGGAAAGTCCAAAAATGGCCCAAATGTTGGACATTGATATCAAGATCTATATAATGTATGCAATCAAAGGTATTTAAAAGTGATTAAGGATATCACATTTAGACAACTATCAAATTATGGAAACTCAATTTAGGGAATCCTATTTTGTTTTTTGGGATTTGCTACCTTAGTCCACCTGTGGAGTTTCTATTTTCTTAGTTTTCAACCCATTTTAAAGTTAAATTTTGACATTTCAAGGTTAATATGGTGTCTAATATCTATTCAATTAAATATAATAAGTTTGAATACACACATTTCTTAACATGTTTCAACATTTACTGTCTATACATAGTACTTTTGAAATTGATATGCCTTAGCTGTTCTTTTAAAATAAAGTGTTTTACTCAGCGTTAGTTATGAAAATGTTAATGGTAAAATAAAATGTAGATTATAAAGAGTTGATCTTTAGTAGGGATGTTGTCCAAATCAGTGTAGGCCCTAACGGCGGGGCCAGTGGTTATTACCAGGTTACTTTTGATACGGACCAGTTGATTTTTTCACTAGGTATAGGAAAATAACATTGCAACTGGTCCGTAATGCCATTTTGACCAGTGTGTTTCAGAAACGTAGGGTCTACACTGGTCCAAATGCTTACAATTGGAGAAATTAGTTGATTTTGTTATGTTATTTGGTATGGTTTAATAACCCTTCCCTCACCTCCCCCATGTGAAAATGTTATTTCACATTTTCATGAAAGTAAATATGTCTTATGAAATATTTGTTAACCCCAAACCCATTTCTTTCCATCTATCTAAGGCACCAGGAGTCTCACATGCCTAGAAATGTGCTTTCTTTAGCCTTCGGAATTAAAGTTCGATTTAAAAATACATACATTATTATTTTAGATGACTCACAGGGCAGTTTGCGGTCAGTGGATGGAATTTGTAAGAGATTCTTGCAATTTTGTTATTATAATTTGCAATAAATTACCAGATTGTGCCATTTAGTGATATTAATGCCCTATTATTTTCTTGTTAAAGCAAAAAAACATCAGAAATTGTAGTTAATTCTAACATTTTTTGAGACAAATTTCGATAAAAACAATCAACTGTTTGAAACGATGAAAAAAACATGTTTTTGTTTTTTCTGTCAGTTAGCAAAAAGTGTTGCTGAAAGCAAATTGCAATATCTGTTGACAAATATTTACCATTTAAAGTAGGCCTTTAACAATAGCCCCATGAAGGCTTCAATATACAATCATCCATATCAACTATAGGGAATATTCCCAATGGGAGTTGGTAGAGAAGGGAAAATTATTAGAATGGGTGTGTCAATTTAAATATATATATGACTCATGAAAACCACTAGTTTTGGTTCATTCATCATAGGTTATATTCTTTGGCCTTGGTCCCTTTAATCCTTCCCTTACAAAATTTGTCCTTGGTTGAATAATTTCAAGGTCATAATTTGCAAGGTCAGTATAATAAGCCCTCGTGGATACACATAAAGATGTATTTGGCAGGTGAGATGAATTATTGTCTATTTTAATCAACCTCTTATAGTTTTGTATCCTAATTTGCTGTACCTTGTAGAGATTAGGTATGATGGGCTGGAAGGGGAGGGGGGAGGGGGAGTGAGCCATTAAGGCTACAGTTAAGATATTGACTTTTCACATTAAACTATTGGTAAATCTCAGCTAAATAGATGCAGGTTTAAATGATATTTGCTAGTAGCTAGAAGAGGGGAATGAATTAATCACAAATTGTGTTTTTTATAACAGTGACTCTGCAAAATAAGTGAAGCATTTTGATTGATGTTTTAGGTTAAACACACAGAACTGGATATAAATAGGGAGTATACAGGATTCTGGCATCAAAGGACATTGACTGACTCCAATAGAGAAGAGCTAAGGGGACCTTTATATGCCTATGCGTACAGGTAAGTAAAATGGGATATTGACCTATTGTTTGATACATCATGCATACAGTTTGAAAATATAACCATACAAAGGAACAACCTTAATGCCCTGGTCACATTTGCTCCGATTTTCAGCACCGGTGCCTGGCCGATGAGTATTTTGTTCAATATACTCAATCGGCCGGGCGCTGTAGTAAAAATCGGGGCAAATGTGACCACGGCATTAGTCTTCAAAGGGAAACAAGCATGTAAAAAATTTAATCAGGAACATAAGATGATTTATCTCTGCTTCCTGCAGTTGATTCTATAAGGGAATGCAGTGATGAGGACTAATACAGAGATGTGCTGAGTAAGTTGTATATCAGTTACTATGGTAGCTTATCCTCACTTTACACTTAATAATATCCTCATTATAATATATCAATAAGCTGAGGGAGGTGTATTTTAAATATTTATATGGAATTCCCTTGAGCTGCATCAAGGTAAAAAATATCAGATGATTTGATAGAATCCTTGATAACTGCATGCCTATGATAGCATTTCGTAATTTCGCCATCTGAATTCTGCAAAACCCCTTACAAGTGACAAAGAAAACATATGTGGATCCAGAGAAAAACTTTAATCAGATTATTTATACAATATATTTCATTTGCTCTACATTGCTTCTGTAGATAGCAGTATTGGTTGACTATACATATAAATATATTGTTCACAAATAGGTTATGTTATTATGTCTTATTGATTTGCATTAGAATACTCCTGCCTTAATGCCTGGGTCACATTTGCTCCGATTCATCAGCCAGCGCCCGGCCGATTGAGTACTCTGTGTGTTCGAAACTGAATACAATTGTGAACAGGATACTCAATCGGCTGGACACCGACCGATGAATCGGAGCAAATGTGACCCAGGCATTATCCCGGTTCAGCCAAGTTGATTTTTAGCTATACCCATGTACATGTATTTGTGGTAATGCAATAAATAAATACAGGAAATGAATCAATCCAATAAAAGATATACAAATGTGCTTTTTGGCAGAATGCCTGAAAGTTGGTGTCTCCTTATGCCTTGGTCACATATGCTCCGATCCATCGACCGGCGCCCGGCTGATTGAGTGTTTTGTTCAATATTGTATTCTATTTTGAACAAGATACTCAATCGGCCGAGCGCCGCAGTGAAAATCGGAGCAAATGTGACCAAGGCATCAGGTGTAGCACTTTTATTAAATATCCCAAAATATAAATGTCATTGTCAGAAATGTTCACTATTAGATCATGGTTTGTTTTGGCATAATAATTTATTTTACATGACATTTGCATAACCTACTTTCTATGATCTTAACTATTGATTATAGAATGCTGAGTTTTTCATTATCACAATGCAGTGATAATTGACCTTATACATTGAAACCTGTATTTCTGAACACCTCTCTAATCCATACACCTGTTTGTGAACACTTTTTCTCAGTCCCAATCTTTCATTGACTCACATATTATTAAGAAAAAGCTTGAAATGTGAACACTTGTTAATACAAACACTTACAAACACATACAAAAAACTGGTATTGCAGTTGGAGCATAAACAGATCAATACATTGATAAAAACATTCTCACATTGATATAAACACACATGGTAGTTGTAATTAAATATATGTGCATGAATTAGTTGTGATCATGTCTATAATTACAATGTTAGCGTACCTGTCTCACACTACTATACCTTGCATTTGGTGTTCATGAGCAACCCATTTGGCTTATTAGTAATGATTATGTATTTATTTTTATTTGTCTGTTCCTTATGAATGGTTTATCGGTTGAAAATTAGATGCTAGTAAGGCACTTTCAAAAATATATTAAACAATTCAATTAGACAAACAAAGTATCTTATGCATTTCTAGGTGTTAGGTATAGTAGTGTGTGTCTATCAGGTTGGTTTCGTTCAACACCTGAGGCAGGAATGTTATGCTAATTATGCATATTTTACAGTCATTAATGTTTTTAGGGAACCTGTCACTTTTACAACAAAGTTTTTATCACACACTTCATATCCTAATTGAAAATTTATAAACCAGTCAACTGTATGTCTCAAAACTTTGAATAAATGTATGAATCATGCATAAATCAAGGCTAACTATATTATAGTTTGGTCAATATTTTGAAAGCTCCATTTATATATAAATACGTATATTAAGGCTATATAGGCTAATTGTGTATATGTACAGTAAATGCTAGTAAACAGTGTACAGTTTATTTTGTTGTTAAAATTGACTGGTCTTTTAAAATGGTCATAATGTATATTTCAGAAGAGGCTTAAAGCCAAATGAGTTTAGTTAAAGAGCTTCATAATTATTTAACAATTTATTTTTCTTTTTGAGGTCCATGGGAATGTGACAATCGTATCAAATTACTGCATTGTACTTAGAATTACAGCTTTGGAGTTTGGATATACAGCAATTCTTTCTTACAGATTGGATTAAGTGACCAAACAAAAGGATTTCTGCAGAAATTATACACAGGTATGTAATCCAATCAACTCAATTAATTAAACAGATTGTTTTGAAATATAACCTAACATTTTGCCAGGTATATTGTTCATATACACATCATTTTTATTGAGGCAAATAATCCATGCTTGTTTATGTTAATCCATAACATGTCATGATTACATGGGTCTAAATAGATCTTGAATTGTATATCCCTTGATATTAGTTGACCTGTAATTAGCTATCAATGCTCACTCTATATAGAATTTGGGGACCAGGTCCAGGTCAATATACCAGTGTTGTCAAAAACATAATTTATTCCATTTTCACCTATGTTGGTAGGTGAAGTGGTGGTCAGGTGGTTCAACCAAACAAATTAAATCGTTGTGATAGATTTTTCTCAAGTTAAAATCTGCCAGACTATAGATTTCTTATGAATTTTTTGTGGGCATAGAGTCATAGACTCATTTATTGACATTGTCCCTTGCTGTTCTCAAATGGCAGATTAGCCAACTTTTATAATACGTACCACTCATATACTTTAAGTGACTCATACTATTGTTTTGTGTTCATAAGTTTAACAGCATGACTTTTTTACTTCCTGGATTGTGATTGATTCTGAATACCAAGAAATATCCACTGGCATGTTTATGCACTATGATCGTGATTCTATATTTCCTATTTAGCTGTACTCTGATTCACTGTGAAATAAATTTAATTTGAGGTAAGGTTGTTTATATGGAATAACTCAAAAAAGGTTTGTTTATATGGAATAAGTAAAAAGAGGGTAGTTAATATGGAATAACTCAAAAAAGGTTTGTTTATATGGAATAACTCAAAAGAGGGTTGTTTGTATGGAATAACTCAAAAGAGGGTTGTTTGTATGGAATAACTCAAAAAAGGTTTGTTTAAATGGAATAACTCAAAAAAGGTTTGTTTAAATGGAATAACTCAAAAGAGGGTTGTTTGTATGGAATAACTCAAAAGAGGGTTGTTTATTTAGAATAACTCAAAAGAGGGTTGAATATATGGAATAACTCTGGTAAAAGGCGAGATTTTTCAAAATGGCCACCATTTTATCCTATTTTACTGTTACTCGCAAAGTAGTGGAGCGATTCTTTTGGTATGGGAATACTATAAGCATCACAGGAATTTGTCTAGAAGGAAAAAGAATTCAATAGAGCAAGCCTTAACTCAATAAGCATATAAAATTAAAAAATAAATTATCCTGCTTAAGCTACAACATTTTGATCAAGGCTAAATAATGCAGGGAATGTAAAATATATATAAATATTCATACTGCAGCACCTCATTAGATAGGTTAAAAGCACATAAATGCAATAATATGAAGAAAATTGTGTTCAAACGCCTTATTAGTGATATTTTTGTAAAAAAAAGTGAAACTGACAAGTTTTTTCGAAGACATAATCAACCTGTATTTTGATAATTTTCTACCGATTACATTTTCTTTTTCTGGCGTTATTTTGCCAGCTGTGACTAACCCGATTTTGAAGAAGATCATTCACTTACATGTTTATTGACAACTTACTTCCTATTGTTGTTGAAAATTATATAAACATTATGCACTATAATGTGCTTTATTGTTTCAATTGCCTAAGGGAGTGTTCTGTTTAAACAACTGGGGGTCAGTTCAAAGTAGGCACTTCCCAATGTGTTTTACTTTAAATTGATCAATCCCCTTTTGGATTTATTGGTACATTGTGTCATATGACACACGACAATACATTCTCTTCATTTTAAATTCCCAACTGGGAAAGACACATTGATAGAGAGGTAGAATTATTTTATTGTGGCTTATATGGAAGATCTCAAAAGGGGAATCATTTAGATGATTCGTATTCAAAAGGAAAATTATTAAGGTGGTGTATATGGTAGAACTGAAAAGAGGGTTGATTAAGGTGGCTACAGTGTATATTGTAGAACTCAAAAGATGGTTGATTAAGGTGGCTTATATGGTGAAAATGTTTCACATAGATTCCTGTGGTAAAATTACATTTCCTTAGAGACATTATATGTATGATACCAATGTGTATGGCATATTGATACATGATGCCCAGAAGTCAAGCAACAAAAAACAGGTTTCCTTCTCTTCGTATTGATGAGATGTCATCGGACACCAAAACATCACGCTGCCTTACTTCAGTTTACATATAAAAATGATTCTTCAACTTTCTTCATGTTTTTTTATATGTGACTTTTTATTTTTGTATAGATAATTCCAAATCATAAAAAAGTTACAGAGGGCCTAGTCTTTGTTTGATGAATTTATGGATTTAACTGTCAATGAATTAACTGACATTTATGTTGCCACAGTACCCTTTTAACTTGTACCATCAGATATAACATCAGCCCATACATGTACACTGTAAAATTCCAATATACAAGTATTTGCAGTCAAGAGTTCTCAGGCAGTTGTAAGGTACTTTCATTGATGCTTCATAATTAAAGTCATATTTGGAAAGCATTATGAATTATTTAATAGTTCTCTAAGGTGTACAAGTATACCCAATTGCTTCTTCCGTGCATATCATGTACTATTCCATAAATCATGTTTTTACTGTATGTATTTTCAGATTATAAGAAACAAAAGATTAGAGAAATATTAGGGAAGATAAAGTGCAAAGGAAACCATCAGAAACCAGATTGGTGATCTACAACATTCTGCAAAAATGACAAACTTTACTTGGAAGACGATTGTGTTCTTTTGCAATTTGGCAGGTTAGTAACATTAGTGCTTACATTCTCAATGTACAAATTCAATATTTTATTTGATTGATTGTACTACCTGTTCACCTTACAATGATTTTCACAGGCAACTGTTTTGATTTTTTAGATCTTTGATTCATACATTATCATAACTTTAGTTATCCCAATGAAGTTCATTAGGGCTATAGAGATAGTCCATCTCCTCGTCCGTCTGTCTCTCCAGCAGATTTTCGAGTACTAGGAGACAGATTTTCTTCACATTTAGTGAAACGATGTATATTAGTGAATAGTTTTTGGCAAAAAAGTTCATGGTTGCTGCCCCTTTGAAATTTTGGGGAATTTTTGCAAAAATTTAAGTTTTTTCATTTTCAGCTAAATACTTAACGGAGACAATACTACTCTACTATTTCCTACTCTACTATTTCCTGACTATTTCTACTATGTAATGTAAAAATTGATGAGATATTCAATAAAATATGTTTTGTTTGATGAGATTTGTTACTCAGTAAACTTCCTGTTTCATGATCTTTCAAATATGGGTTAAATTATACTCAAATTGAAGAAATTTAAGAGTAGATCACAATTTTGGCATTTTTCTGATTCATGCCTCAGATAATTTAAAATGTCTGTCTTAAATGGGAATTGTTTTTGAGATCTCTTCAAAGTATTGTTACATTATACTACATCAAATACAAACATTGTATTATCTTTTTGATTTGTGCCTTTGATACTTCTAAATGGTCACCAAAATTAGCTTAAATTGGAAATTCTGATATATCTTATGTCCTTGGTCTGTTTTTTACCATCTGCAAATCAAGGGTAGAGTAGATGGTAAATATCATACGGTAACATAAAGTACAGAGTCATGAATATTTTGTTTGTTAGAATTTGCTACTCTGTGGAGTTGCCGTTTTCTAGTTCTGGAATGCTTAGGGTCTGAAATATGCCCGTTTTTACTTGCAGCGTGTATTATGCTCTTTTTTAAAAAAAATATTTACATGAACAATTACAATATAATATTTACACACATATTAACATTGCCACCAAAATACAATTTTTTTGACGAGTGAGGGGGTCATAAAATTGAAAGAAACAACTGATGTGATACATTATCTAATTATCAGTAGAGATATGATCTTTATATAAAAGTAATGTAGCTGTTATTTGAAGAATGTAGTTTTATTTTTTTCTTTACTTTATTACTTATTACTGTTGGATTTATGTTTTGCCCTAGGGAATCAGTACAAATAAATCCTATTATATGTAATATTACTGTTTTTATTTCAACATTTTCATGCAATAATAAAAACATAACACTGAACGACCTCACAGCTGGGGAATATTGCTTCTTGAAACATATGACCTCGCGTTATAAAATCACCAATAGTTAGATATATTTTCTTGTATTAGACAGATAATCTTTTACTGGACATATTTTCATTTGTATAATTACTAGACACCTGGTGGTGAAACTAGGTACCTACTACCTACTGACATCTTGGTTATTAAAATAGAGTTACGTATTCATCTAACTATAAATGCACATGTTTGACTCTGAGGAATCCCATTTGTTCATAATTAAATGAATAGATAGATATTGCGCTAATAGACTAATTGCATTCAGTTATACCTGGGAATGACGTCAAAGTAATTATCACTGGATCTGAAATAACGTCAGATTTGAACAGTGCAGTGACATAATGAATCCTTTATTGTTGAAGTTATAAAGTACAATTAATACATTGATTGAAATTATCAAGCTTTATGCTTAAGTAAAATATAATTTTCAGTAATGATCTGTTACGTTCATCAAAGTTATTATCCCTAGATCTGTGTCTAAAACAACGTCAGATTTAAACAGTGCATCGACATGTAATAAATCCTGTATTATTGTTAAAATTATAAAGAACAATAAATATATTAATTGATTGAAATTATCAAGCTTTATGCTTAAGTAAAATATAATTTTCAGTAATGATCTGTTACGTTCATCAAAGTTATTATCCCTAGATCTGTGTCTAAAACAACGTCAGATTTAAACAGTGCATCGACATGTAATAAATCCTGTATTATTGTTAAAATTATAAAGAACAATAAATATATTAATTGATTGAAATTATCAAGCTTTATGCTTAAGTAAAATATAATTTTCAGTAATGATCTGTTACGTTCATCAAAGTAATTATCCCTAGATCTGTGTCTAAAACAACGTCAGATTTAAACAGTGCATCGGCATGTAATAAATCCTGTATTATTGTTAAAATTATAAAGAACAATAGATATATTAATTGATTGAAATTATCAAGCTTTATGCTTAAGTAAAATATAATTTTCAGTAATGATCTGTTACGTTCATCAAAGTTATTATCCCTAGATCTGTGTCTAAAACAACGTCAGATTTAAACAGTGCATCGACATGTAATAAATCCTGTATTATTGTTAAAATTATAAAGAACAATAAATATATCAATTGAAATTATCAAACTCTATGCTTAAGTAAAATATAATTTTCAGTAATGATTATGTTATCTTCGTCAAGGTAATTATCCCTGGATCTATGTCTATAAACAATGTCAGATTTTTCCAAATCATCTACAAGTTTTCAGAAGTTCAAATCTGACTTTACATTTAAGATTTGACCTTCAATGACATTTTCAAGGTAAAAAAGGTAAAAAAGGTCTTTTTTCAACCTGCTTCAAATTGACTAAATTTTTTTTTCAAAATTATCTACAAGTTCTTAAAGGTTCAAATCTGACTATAGATTTGACCTTCAATGACATTCTCAAGGTCAAAATGATTTGACCTTCAATGAGCTTCTCAAGATCAAAAAGGTCTTTTTTCAACTTGCTTCAAATTGACCAATTTTTTTTCAAAATCATCTACAGAGTTCTCAGAAATTCAAATCTGACTTAACATTGAACTAATGATATTGTGAGCAACTAGATGGTGACATTTTTTCATGTTAATGCCTTGTTAGTTGTATAAATAATCTAAGTTTCCCCTCATTCCCAATTCTTCCAGTATTCTTCCAGATTCCAGATTCTTCCAGTATACTTGATATCTCACTATTAATTTCTTTTTTGACTTTAATAGCAAGCTTTTTTGTACTCTTCTCTATGTTTACCTTATCTTCAAGATTTAATTCATCTGACATTTTTATTATGTCCCCACCACATAGTGTGGGGCCATATTGTCGGCCTAGGCGCGTCCGTCCGTCTGTTTGTCTGTCTGTCTGTCTGTCTGTCCGTCCGGCAGTTTTCTCAAAAACCGCTACAGATATCACCTTCAAATTTTCAGGGATAACTTATAAGTGCTTACAGATGTGGATGAAAAAAATTTAACTCGATACCTACTTCCTGTCGGCCATTTTAAAGTCAAATGCTAAAATCCTTGTCTGCAAAATTTAAGAAAAACGGCTTCACAGTTGCTTTTAAAACTTTAATATCTTGTTCAGCTTACTTCATTCCACATCTGATTAGGTTTTGGACCTGTTAGCTCAGTCATGTCAGCCATTTTGAATGTCTTAAGAAAAGTTAGCGCGCGATAATACTTTGTATCAAATTTAATTGTGTTTTTGAGTTTTCATACTTTAAAGTGTCTCACATATTCGATCAAAATTTGCCATGCAAACATGTTAGTCTACTTTACTGACCCCCCTTGCTGTAACAAGGAACCCAAAACACATTAAACGTAAACATAAACCAATTAGTCACTTCACTATGAAAGTGAGGGGTGTTAGTCCATGCACACAGCGTATTCTGCTAATACAATGTACATATTTGCTAACACAATATCAATGGTCAGTTACTGTGTCAACTTAGTAACCCTTGCATATCGTGCTCACTCAAGTATTGAATATTTTTATTATGATCTAAATGTTTGTGGTTTCACAAAATATGTGATATATTTTAGTTAGAAATACATTAATTAATATATTCATTCAAACAGCACTAGAATGCGGGAAGAAAGAGCAATGGTGACAAAATGCAGACAGAATTTTCTGTAAGGGTTTCAAACATTTCTGGACACAATCATACATGTACTTCATGTGTACTGTTATTTTTAGTGCTGTATTTATAGATATAATTTCACGTATTAAAATCATATTTTCCAGCAATGACTTCAAATTCGGAACCACACCCATATCACATTTTCTTCAATAACTCCAAACATGTGTAAACATTGACCATGTGCATATAAATTCAGATTTCACGAGCTCTTTTCTATTCGAGTACCTCATACACCCCTGCATGGATTTGAGTTGGATTCGCCTTTTATACGTGAGCCGACACACTCGCAAACGCTGATTGGATAAAGATTGCGAGAATCTTTAACTATTTAGTAGCTTTATAAATAATTTCAGGTGTACTTTGTTGTAAAAGCCTATGTTATTGTTAACATTGGTTATATGTGACAATTTTGTAAAAGGAAATCAGCAAAAACTCATAATCCCTTTTTATTGTCAGCCATTTTGGATTTTTTCCGTCCTAAAATCTTGTCTGTAAAGTCTTGTCTACTCGTTTTCAGGTGAACTGTTTGGTAGATCAATTTCAAATTTTCAGGGATGATTCTTAGTATGAAAATCTAGATCTGATTAGTTTTTGGGCATTCTGGGTAAATGTCAAGGTAGCCATTTTGGATTTTCCGTCTTAAAAATCTTGTCTGTAAAGTCTTGTCTACCCAATTACAGGTGAACTTTGGTAGATCAATTTCAAATTTGCAGGGATGATTCTTAGTTTGAAAATCTAGATCTGATTAGTTTTTTGACATTCTGGGTAAATGTCAAGGCAGCCATTTTGGATTTTCCATTCTAAAATCTTGTCTGTAAAGTTTTGTTTACATGTTTTCTGGTTAACTGTTTGATGGATGAATTTCAAATTTTCAGGGGTGGTTCTTAGTATGAAAATCTAGAACTAATTAATTTTTTGGCATTCTGGGTCAATTTTAAGGCGGCCATTTTGGATTTTCTGTCCTCAAATTGTGTCGGTAAAGTCTTGTCTACTTATTTTCAGGATAACCATTTGATGGGATCACCCATTGGTGGGGACATTTTGTACACATTTGTGTTCTTGTTTTAATATAGTGCAGTATATTTTTTAGTTGTTTGTGCCATGTAAATGTGTTGTTTGTTTAATCAAATGTTTATGAATCCCGACAACATATTTTTGTGTTCGTCAAGGTAATTATCCCTGGATCTATGTCTAAACAACGTCAGATTTAAACAGTGTAATGACATGTAGTGAATCCTGTATTATTGTTGAAATTATAAAGAACAATAAATATATTAATTGGATAATATTACTTTATGGTTGAATAAAATATGATTTTCAGTAATTACATGCTATGTTCGTCAAAGTGATTATCACTGGATCTAAAACGTCAGATTTGAACGGTGCAGTGACATATATAATGAATAAATCGTGTGTAACATACTTGGCCCTATAAATCTGACATCTACATCTATCGATATACTAATTAGAGCTCTATTATTGAGCAATATAATTAGCTTTTGGATAAAACATATATCATTACAAAACTTTTTACATACAGGATAATTTGAAATGATGGCCTTAGTAACCAAAAATCAAGGGTAGTTATCCCAACGAATGAAGTTCGTTAGGGATATAGTGAAGCCCTCCGTCCGTCTGTCCGTCAGTCCGTCAGTCAGTCAGTCAGTCCGTCCGTCTGTCCGGAAGATAACTCAGATACTAGTTGACAGATTTTCTTCATATTTAGTGGAAAGATGTATATTGGTGAATAGTTTTACGCAAAAAATAAAATTTTCAAGATGGCCGCTGCTTTAAAAATGACGGGACTTTTTCGCAAAAATCAAAAATTTTTCATTCTAAACCAAAGTAATTAATATTATTGTTTGAAATTTTGGTAGTGTATTCACAACATTTATCTATTTCACATATATTCCGTGTTTTTCATCCTGACCCCCAGGGACCATGTATGGGGGGACAGGAAAACAGAAATTTTCGCTAATTTTTAGATCTTTCTGAAGTATAGCTTTATTATACTCAAATGAAAGGCAATTAAGAATAGATTGCAAATATTGTATCTTTTTTCTGATTCGAGCCTCGTAAAATTCAAAATGGCCGTCTAATGTACGATTTCGCAATAATTTTTCGGGCCCTTCAAAGTATGGCTATATTATACTCAAATTGAAGGAATTTTGGAGTAGATCACAATTATGGTATTATTTTTCAGATTTGTACCTCAGAAAATTCAAAATGGCTGCTTTGCAGGAATTCGCAATTCTAAAATTTAATTTTTTCATTTTCAACCAAAGTAATGAGTATAATTGATTGGAATTCGGTAATTGATATTTTGTTCGTTGGGATTTGCTACTCCGCGGAGTTGCTGTTATCTAGTTTAAAATGATGCAAGCAGACCCCTATTAACCATGGTTAAATACATACGGTACTCAAATAAGCTATCAGATACATTATTCTATTTTATGTCAATAAACCTATTGTTGTTTTGTAGTTGTCATCTGTAACCTTGGTGTTGAGATAGGTGATTTAATTGACAGATCTAGTCACAAAGTATCTGGTAAAGTCTATGCAGTAGATAACACTCGTTTACACATCAAAGGATTCACATATGATGGCGAAGGTCCAGGTAAGAAGACCTATACATTTTCACTTTTTTAAGATTCCTAAATTGTCATATTTTGTATTTTTAATGGATTTTTGAAATGAGTAATTAAGAAATCATTGGAAATGACAGGAGAATCAGTGCAGTGTACTGCTGCTTATTTCTCAATGGTAACCTTAGTTGACTTTATTTGAATGTTAAGATGTCTCCCAGTATAATAGGTAAGCATATTGTTGCTTGATTTGTACATACAGTAAAACTTATTTAGTTCCTATCCCATCCTCTATGTTTTTAGCTCACATGGTGAGCTTTTGCAATCACTCACTTGTCCGTCTGTCTGTCCGTGCGTGCGTTCGTCCGTGCGTGTGTCCGTCCTTAGTCTTGTGCAGATACAATACAACCAATATGTTATATTTCAAAAGTCAAAAATAATGGCGCTAGCTTTGCACATATTTCTTATACCTCAATCGATTCAACACTCTCCCCTGACATTTTTTTCAATTTGCAGTCTTAATGATCTAATATGTTCTGACATTGTTCGGTTTTGAATTCTGCACATTATGGCCTAGAAACTAGCATCCTACCTCTGTTAGTATCAAAGTTATTGTGATCCAAGGAAATGTTCCCATAGACAAAGTTTCCATAGACAAAATTTTTTTCCAGTAAAATCACAACATATCACTATATGATCTTGAAATGTCAATATCTTCATTAATCATGGACCAATTCTCATGAAATATGGCTCAAAACATTAAATATTTGAATTTCTTATGATTTATTAAAGATATTTGATGAAGGGCTTCTCAGATTCCTGGTCACAGGGGGCAACTTCCTTCCACAAGAGTCCCCCTCTAACTTTTTGTGTAGGTAACATGGCCCTTAACTGTTTATGATTAAAACTGCTTCAAAATGATCAATGGAAGTGTAAAATGTGTTTTCTGCTTAAATATAGTGCCCCTTTTGTCATATTGGGTTTTTAACTTGTATCTCTAACTGAAAGCCGTTTTAAGATTATCTAAAATATTTCAACAATTTCTGTGAATCACATCGGTGAAATTTTACCCAATATCTTATTTTCAGGCATGTTTGTTTAAGTCTTGTAATTTCTTCAAAATTTAAGACTGAGAATAAATTATGGCATCAACAAAGTAAGTTGAATTTGTTGAGGGTCTCTAAATAAAAAGTAATTTATAATGTTCTTTTCTATCAAAATATCCATTACAACACATCCCATATTGAATGCAAAATGAACATTTTGGGGTGTGACACCTCCATAAATCAAACATTTTTTTTAAGTCCATTAACTTCATAAAGTAAAATTAACCTTTGTGTACAGTAGAGCACCTCCAAGAGTGGAACACTTCCGGGTCCTCTGTAAGTAGAAAACCTCAAGTTAGAGTACTATATTGTGGTACTAAGGATATTCCACTTACACTGGGTTTTAGATTTGGTCAAGTGGGTTATCATACAAATATTATCCGGCTTGACACTTATTTCAAATCTCGATTTCTCTGGAAGTCTCCAGCATTTATTAATACTTGAGACATTTGCTTTGTTTTACTGCTATACTCTAATTTGATTTTTAATTCTTCCTATTCTCCAGATGCGTTTTTCTGGATCAACAAAAAAGATGGCAGTTCAACTGTCGATGGAAGTTTTACTGTATTTTAGATTTTGTCAAATCTAGATTGTTCTGGATAATAGAGAGTCCCCGATTTCTCTGGAAGTCTCTAGCATTTATTAAGACTTGGAACATTTGCTTTGTTTTACTGGTATACTCTAACTTGATTTTTAATTCTTCCTATTCTCCAGATGCGTTTTTCTTGATCAACAAAAAAGATGGCAGTTCAACTGTCGATGGAAGTTTTACTGTATTTTAGATTTTGTCAAATCTAGATTGTTCTGGATAATAGAGAGTCCCCGATTTCTCTGGAGGTCTCTAGCATTTATTAAGACTTGGAACATTTGCTTTGTTTTACTGCTATACTCTAATCTGATTTTTAATTCTTCCTATTCTCCAGATGCGTTTTTCTGGATCAACAAAAAAGATGGCAGTTCAACTGTCGATGGAAGTTTTACTGTATTTTAGATTTTGTCAAATCTAGATTGTTCTGGATAATAGAGAGTCCCCGATTTCTCTGGAAGTCTCTAGCATTTATTAAGACTTGGAACATTTGCTTTGTTTTACTGGTATACTCTAACTTGATTTTTAATTCTTCCTATTCTCCAGATGCGTTTTTCTTGATCAACAAAAAAGATGGCAGTTCAACTGTCGATGGAAGTTTTACTGTATTTTAGATTTTGTCAAATCTACATTGTTCTGGATAATAGAGAGTCCCCGATTTCTCTGGAGGTCTCTAGCATTTATTAATACTTGAGACATTTGCTTTGTTTTACTGGTATACTCTAACTTGATTTTTAATTCTTCCTATTCTCCAGATGCGTTTTTCTGGATCAACAAAAAAGATGGCAGTTCAACTGTCGATGGAAATGGACAAAAGATGGCTGATGAAATGGGAAGGTTGGTGAATAATAATGTTACCACAATATAAACAGCAGCTTTAAAGGCCCCATATAACATTTCAACCACTTTGTATTATATTGTAGTATTACCCAATGTTACCTTTATAAGTGAACAACCAATGTCAACTCATAAACCAATGAAAATCAACTTCATGCATGGAGTGACCATTGTTTTTATAAGCATTGTAATCATGTAATCTATCCAACAATGTTATTGTATATACTCAGGGATGATTTCAAATCCAATTATATTCGGTTTACTTAATGATGGGTAAGAGAAAAGATCTTATTGAGGAAATGGACCCTGTAATCATCAATCTCAAAATATATTCATTAGGTGATAGTGATTAAAACTATAGTAAGATTATGTTAAGTTTTCTAGTTGAGTACTTATAAAAAGCTTCAGTTCAACTCTTAGAGGGTCCCTTGTAGTGCATAGACCTGCACAGGCGTAGCCAGGGGGGGGGTGCAATGGTTGCGATCCCCCCATAACCAATAGAAATATAACCATGAGATAGAAGAACAAAAGAGCTTTAAAATGCTTTTTATTTGAACCTTCTAGCTCATATTTGAAGGAATTTGCATCAATTTTTGTAAAATTCAATTGTTTATGCCACAATCGCACCCCCCTGACTGAAGTGCAACTGTAATAAACATACTTACTTCCCGATTTGCACATTTTTGATTCTTGTTTACATCATGTTAAATTCTCATTAAATTTTGTTTTCTTGCTGTAAAAATTAAATCAACTGAAGATAAAATTATTGAATCACAAATTCTATATGACAGAAGCATTCAGCTGTTTTATGGATAACATTTTTTTATTGCAAATTATAGCAAAATTGCTCATTCCTAATTCTTTGACATAGACTTTATATTTAAAACATACTATATTCCTCTATACAACCTTAAAGGTGCAATAATTAGTGCAGAGGGGCCATTCAACGATCATGGACCAGTGTCAAAATATATTTAAGTTTTGATATTTCATCAAGACTAACATCTATTTTTATTATCTACAAAGAAACCCCCTAGATAAACATTATTTTAGCTCATATTCCTCTTGAAACATGGTGGATCTTAAAAATATAAAAGTGGAAGTCCCCTTTTTGAAGCTTTGAACTGAATTTATACTTCTTAATGCTGAAATTGATCATTTATCCATATATTTTAAGAAAATAGGTATGTCAAAGAAGATGTTAAACCAAATGTTGCCTTGATAGCTCAGAAAAAATGAAAAAACTTTCCTATTTTCTCTACAGTCCTTATTGCCCCTTTAAGTTGGGCAATCAACATTGGTGGATTTTGAAACTTTAGCATATTCAGAAAACATACAAAGAAAAATTAATTTTTTTTTCAAAAAAAATGTTTGCACCCTCTAAAGTGACGTCAGTGAAAAATTTGAAAAATTGCACAAAATTTGAATATTTGAGAAATAAAAGGCTGACAACTTTTTTTCAAAATTTTTTTTTTCAAAAATCTCTAAAACGACTTTCAAAGAGTCATAGTAACATTTAAAGTTATGGTAAATTATCTTCATCTTTGATTTTCACATTTAAGCTTTGTTTTACATTATCTGACATGAATAATCTTTAGGTTTCCTGAATTACAAAACTGGTTTTGAAGTAAATAAGTTTTCCATCCCCTGAACAGGTGCCTCTGGCCAGATCACTTTGCTTGATATACAGTGGTAATTTAGTGAATACCATCCTCCGATCACAGGGCTTCAAAATCCAGAACATATTCTTCCTTTTTACCCCCTGCGATAAGCAGTTAGCATTTCCCCGATTAAGAACTCACAATCTGATTGGCTGTCGCAATACTGCGACAGAAATCATGTATAAGGCATAATTAGATCACGTGATTCAGTTTAATCGGGCGCTTCCAAATTGCTTATAGCAGGGGGAAGAAGGAGTTACGGATTCGAGACACCTGCTTAGGAGGATGAGTGAATACATGAGGCAGAAAATGCATGATCTGGTGACCAAGAGTGAATCAGAGTATACACATTGTGACTCATTTTTAATATTTTTGTGTAATAATCTCCTTTGGGGGTATGTCCATTTTTGAAGAGGAGATAAGATAAAAAGTGACGTCACAAAAATAACAACTTTTCAACAAACAATCATCAAAAGTGATTTTCACAATAATTTTGCTAATTTTAGTTTGTAATATATGTTTCATTTCCTTTTTGAGTATTTATATTGAGAAAATTATTCATTTTGTGAACAATCATGTTGATATTGCATCAATTTTAAAGATTGCTGTGACATTTTAGCCAATTATTTGCCCCCTGTGTTGCTTTAAATGATTGTTTTTATGCATATTAATTTTTATTTATGACAGCACCTCTTATAATTCATACCCAGCTATTTTCTACAGTGCAGTAATATTAATATCATTAACAAGCACTAGGTTGCATTTTTGAAAAGAGTGGCACTGAGAAATTTTCCAGTATGGATTACATCTAAAATCATGTTACAAAAGCATTAAATGTCCACTGACTATGTACCCTTTGCATTTGTTCGACTTCACTTCTTAAAAGAGAGCTTCGTCTTCACTCTTTCAAACTAAAATAAACCTGTGAACTCACTGCGCCAATCAGTGTTCGCCGGCCAAATTTGACCGACGTTCTATATATGGTCATTCCTTCTGACGTCATCGTTGAGCCCGGAATTGACCAATGACATGCGCATATTTAATTAGAACGCATTTGGCGTATGTTTCTTCAAGCTCGCTGATAGGTGGAAGAAAGGTCAGCTCATAGGTCAGATTTGATTTACTACCCAAACTGTCACCGGTACCCGTTGTGGGGGCGGGGATACTAGACTATTATATGGTCTCTACTAAGCAGAGTTTAGTTTAACTAGACTCTGCACGCAGGGTACTGACTATGATAAGTTCTTGCATAGATAGATATGCTTCATTAATTTCATTTCAATTATTGTTATATGATACCCTTTGCATTCGTTTGACTTCACTTCTTAAAAGAGAGCTTCGTCTTCACTCTTTCAAACTAAAATAAACCTGTGAACTCACCGCGCCAATCATTGTTCGTCGGCCAAATTTGACCGACGTTCTATATATGGTCATTCCTTCTGACGTCATCGTTGAGCCCGGAATTGACCAATGACATGCGCATATTTAATTAGAACGCATTTGGCGTGTTTCTTCAAGCTCGCTGATTGTTGGAAGAAAGGTCAGCGCGTAGGTCAGAAGTGATTTACTACCCAAACTGTCACCGGTACCCATCGTGGGGGCGGGGCTACTAAACTGTAATATGGTCTCTACTAGGCAGAGTGTAGTTTAACAGCTAGACTCTGCACGCAGGGTAGTTATATGACGGACATCTCGTAAAAATGAAACTCAACCTCATAAATAAAGATATTATTGTTCTTACGACATACAACATACATACAAGTCTCTGTGCTACTGGGATTGATTTTTATCTTCCAGTCCCAAGCATTATTGGAAAGGTACAATTCTTACTTTTGTAATAAATGACCTGAATGTCTTTGGTAAACACTTCAAAATGTAATCTTCTGTAATTCCAAATGATGTTTTAGATGTCCTTAATGTTAAGTGGTGTCATCCCATTTCACCATAAATTGTTGGAGTGGGTCTATATGTCTCAGCCAGGAAATAATCACATTTAACTCGATTTTTGTACTAAATGTTTGTTTTTAATTCTTTATACATGTATATTCCCATAATCCTTATTTCATATGTGAAAAAAGAATGTAATAAAAGTGATAGATGGTGTTAAAGTTCGAACCAACATTCTATTCACAAGTGATGTCAAGGTTTCCTTGCAATTTTAGTTATTTTCTTATTTACAGAGATTAAGGTCTATTGTTAGGATGTTGAACCTATAGACTAGACAAGGATTGCCATTTATAGCAAACAAGCAAACAAAATACTTAATTTTTCTATGTGTTAATTAAAAGTGATACTGATACTTGTTACTGTACCCTTTTTCAGTTTGGGCATCTTAGGTAAATATGAAAACAAAGATATCACCCTGGAGCTGCCTAGGGGGCTAGAAGTGACTGACATTAAGTATCTATCTGTGTGGTGCAAGCAGTTTGGGGTTAGTAACCTAAATATTCCTCTCTGGGGTAGACACATTAGGTAACTTACAGTCAACAACAGCAGTGCAAACTTCAATTTTTTCTGCCACTTATTTTGATGTACATTTTAATATTGTTGATTAGTATATTTTCTTTTTCGAGTGCATTTATCATAATTCAAGTTGTAATATTCGATCCCTACATCAGATGTAGTTACATTGTCTTCTTTATTTATCAGGTTAATTTTGGAGATATCATCTTCCCAGATAACGTACAGCCTCCTCAAGCGAAATCTATTGGACAGTTTTCTGAGTTGGCACACGGCCTTAGGTCAGGAGAGGTTGTCATCTTGGATGAGAAGACTCTTATGGTTAATAATTTGCACTATGATGGTCAGGGACCCGGTGAGTGAAGTACACTTTACAATGCTACAATGAGAATACAGAGAGGTTATTCACTAGGAGGGCTTGAATATGAATTTTATACTGAGATTCAATATTGATATCAAAATGCCATAATGATTAAAAGATGAAAACCCATATTTACATGTGCCATCATTGCACATGATTGTAAAAAGAAAAGAATGAATGAATAAAAATAAGAAGTAAGACCTGGCTAATTTTACCATAGACCAATTAACAGCTCTGTGATAAGTGTGGACTCATTGTTGTCACAACGCCAATGCTACTCTCATTATGGAACATTGAACTTCCTTTTATCTGTTTATCATTACTATTTAGAATAAGCTTGAAACCCTTGTTCCCATGGGCCAGATTCTTCTGCCTGCTCACCAGGTTGTAAACTTTACTGTAGAACCCTGTCCTGATTCAGTTTTAGCCAAAATTCTATAATGACACAATCTTCCTGTTTTCATGCGTGCATATATACTGGGTGTCCGGAAAGTAAAGATACAAGTGCTCTTATTTTAATAGATTTTCCTGTTGTGAGATGAGATTGGTACAGATTGTAGAATGACATTATAACAATTAATCCTGCAACTGGCATGACATATTGTATATGCATGTATATTGTGTTTTTTCTATGTATTCCAGATGCATTTTTCTTGGCTGGCACTGGAGATAGTGTGAGATATTACGATGGAATCACTAAAATACCAGATGAAACTGGCAGGTAATAGCTCATGGCTATTTTAAATTAATAAAACAAATATAAATAACAAAATGTGAATGGCAATTCCAGAAATTACCCTGTTTGATGATTTAAAGAAGGAGTTTAACATATCTCTGTAAATAATCAAAGATTCGAAAATATAAATGTGGTGGGATTTCTGAAAAACTAGGAATACCAAGCCATGCCAATAAAACAAAACTAAACATGCATATTCTAAAGAATTTCTACAGCCCTTTAGGAAGATATATTAAATTTGCCTTGGGATAATCTCAATATCTTGAACCTCGAAAAGGATAATCTATATTTATCATATCATATTGGTCAATATGATATCATGCCAATATTCTGATTAAAAGAAGGGAAGAAGTTTACTTACCTCTTTTAATAATCAAAGATTCTAGAATATGAATGTGGATGAATTTCTGAAAGAACAGGAAAATCTGGCTACAGCCAGGAAACAAAAGTGAACATACATTTTCTAAAAGAATATCTATGGATGAATTTTTCTGAACAAATAAAATGGGATTTAATACAATGAGGGTATGGGATAAATAGATCATCCTATAGTCGGTATAAAATATAGTATTATTGTCTCAGGATAATCCCGGTATCCTGAACCTCAGATACTAGGATGATCTCTATATAAATAATTGGCACTTCAGATAAAGAGGTTATTTGCTGTGAGGAATTGAATATGGGTTTCATACTTAAGGGCTAATATAATGATATTTCTCAGTCCCTTGGTCTCTTCAAAACTTATATTGAATTTCCAACCGTGAAATAAGCATTTTACTTTGATTTTGAATGAGATGAGTTTTGTTACTATTTCTATAAGAATTCTCAAATATCACATGATATCCATAAAAACTTCACATATGTATGTGTCATTTCCAAGATAGTTTAATTGATAAAGGTTAAACGTTAACATTGAAACAACTAATGTCTTTTTCTTGTTGAACATTAGGAGTACATGGGAGATGCATAATATGCACATTGGTACACTGTATGTTTATTTCAGTTTGGCAATTTTGAAGAAATACACAGGCCAAACTATTACACTGACATTACCAGATCCACTCACTGTCAAGTCCATAGATTGGGTGTCAATGTGGTGCATCCAGGCCAACCAGAACTTTGGAGATGTTAAGATGCCAGATGAATCCGAGCTCACCAATATTCCCCCTTACTTCCCTAGAATTATGATGGTAGGTTGAAACTCTTATAGCTTGTTTTTATGTACAGTTATGCAAAAACTGTACTCTCGGTAATGTTCCCTATTAACCTCTTGAATCCCAGGCTCTAAGTTGATCAGTTGAAACCAGAGATTTTTTTCATTTTTGCCACCTTTTGACATTTTACTACATACCTATACAACTTTAGATGCCCAACTTAGTAAAATTAAATGGCAGAGATCATTTCTACACGTTTTAAGACAATTTTTATGTAAATTGGATGAAAATTGTTCAAATAAGAGCAGTTTTTGTGAAACTCTTTGTGACAGATTTTCTCGTCCATCTGGGTTTCAAGGTCATTTCTGAGGTGACGAGAAATCTCGTCACTCTGGGTAGTCAAGAGGTTAAGGGTTACTTGTACTTCTTTATTTTCGACTTTCTCTATTTAATGCTTTGAGCGGCCTCCTCGAACACTGATTACCACTTTATCTACATACAATTTGGACATAACCTTACTCTCAATTAAGCACTTCTGTGATATGAGCACTTCTTATGCTCACTTGTCATGTGAGCACTTCTCATGTGAGCACTTCTCAAGTAAGAACTTAGAATGTGAGCACTTCTCATGAGAGCACTTCTCAAATAAGAACTTTGCACACAAGCACCTTGTTACATATGATCCATTTCAAAAACATTTTTTTGTAGATATATGATAATTATTGCATGCTCTATTGCCTACTTGGTACAGTTCAATGTGTAAAACACAATTGAATTTTAAATGCCTGATTTCTATCTTAAGTCTACCACGCATGCAAATTAAGCATTAGAGCTGCAGGATGAAAATCCATCAATACTATAAGTTATTGATCGATTTGAAGTTCAATACAGGATATGTTGCTTTGGAACAAACATGAGACAAAGTTGCCATATCAAATGTGACTGAAGCATAAAGCTCCTTGCTTGTTATATTTATGAGGAGTATATTTTCAATTGCTCCTCCAACAGTATCTATATATTGATGTGACAATGCATTGCTTGTTGTTTTGTAGTACATTGTTCAATAGCTGCATGACCAGTAGACCAGTACAGCCTGTTGTGATGAAGCATGTATGCAAATCCTTCGCTTCCTCCTCTATCTGTTTTATTGTATTGAATTAATTTTCTCTATCTAAATAAAATATATTGATAAAATATTTAACATGTTTAAGGGTTGTGTAGTTTTCTGTGATGTTTATTATGGTTTCTGGTAAGTATTGTCACTTCCTTGATTGATTGATAAAATAATGTAAGACAAGTCAATATATGAATTACATAGAGTAATTGTAATAGCATATCAAAAAGATAATGAAATTAAATTCTACCTCAATGTAGAGTTCTTAATGTTTCAACAGTACACAGTGATCTCCCCAGCATTAAAGCAAGTGGGCGCAGCACCCACCTGAGATTTTGAAAACAGGCTTGCACCTACCTGAAAATCCATTTGCACCCACTTGAAAATGAGAAAAATCATGAAAAATAGGCATATTTTGACCAATTTCGGTCTGAATTGTGAAAATGAGAATTTTGCACCCACTTGAGAAAAAATCCTGGGGAGACCACTGGTACAGTAATCTTTTATGTTTTAGAAGGAACTTGAGAATTGTGAACAACTGGATTCTACAGTTAACGCAGCTTGGGAGATAGATGGCGCTATGATCACAATAGACATGTCTGCAAAACTAGGTAGGCTTATGTTTAATTGTGTACCATTTAATATCATTGTTATGTCAAAACCAGAAGTGGTGAGTCTCCAACTTTTTTGTCGATGTCGCTTGGTGTTCAACATTCAGTGGTCCGCATCTGTCAGTGACGGAAGAAAAGAGATGAGGTGAAAAATATCCAAAATTGGGCTATTTAACTCAGTCAGAAATATGAACCTAAAGTTAGGTAAAACACCATAAATGATGAATGATGATTATCAAAGAACACTATGATAATGATTATGAACAATTGAATAAAACTTTGATATCAACTACCTTGATAGAGGAATGTTTCTCAAAGTATGGTGAGAAGCGACGAGGCAAGCTTGCCTTGTCTGCCTCATCCTGTGTTTGTTAGATTCCATTGATGCTATTAAACAATCTAAGATGATTGAACAAATTAAGCACAAAATTGTCTACAATTACGGTACACTGTAATTTTCTCAAAGATAAATATTTTAATTGTCACGAATATGATAGTCATCCTGATATCTAGGCATACTGTAATTTAATAGGTGTTTTGTTTAACTCGTATAACAGCTAGACTCATCAAAAGTAAAAGTTGTTTAACCTAACAAGCAAAACATCTTTAGCTGAACTGATTTCTCGCAGCAACACCTGCTCCACTTTGAGTTTTACATCAAAGATAGATGAATTGTCTCCATACAAGTGGTAAAGTTATATCAAAAAAGGAATTGGTAAAACACCCAGTACATCACCCCAATACTATAGACTACCTGAAACCATATTGCATTCCCAGTTTCGTAAATTGTAAATAGCTCCATAGAGTATTTCTCTAATAAAACCTTTCTACAAAATAACAATAGCAGTAACTATGTCTCCCTTCAAAGTATGACCAAAGGAAGCGTCACCAAATTCAAATCGCAAAGCACACACATCAAAAGGACACTGGTCAAATTGATCATTTACTTCCTAAATAAACTTAGATATGTCATCAATGTGATATCTGCTTTCATAATGTGACATGACCCTCGCAAACGAAAGAACCTCAACATCTTCCATACTTCTCCAATTTAATTAACAGACTGACATACATAAAAATGTCTTGTAGGCTCTTGTATTGACATGTTTATTTAAGATATAAAACCATCAATGTCCGCAAAAACCAACCTTCGAAGAGAAAAGTTAAATAAAAAGATATTTCAACATACTCGTAAATCTCAATTTGAACCCACAACATTACTTTACCTCAACTGCCTCAAGATAAATCATCAGATTTCTTTAAAAATGCAAAGGCTCTGGCCACAACAATAAGTATCTTTAGCAGAAAAGTAATTACTATCCAAATGTCTACCTATCAAGAAAATCCTCTGTCCATCTGTCAAGCTGTCCGTCCGGATGATAACTCAAATACAAGTGCACAGATTTCCTTCATATATGATGATCACAATTATTGTAATGTTTTTTTATGATTCATGCCTCAGAAAATCAAAATGGCTGTCTAGAGCAGGAATTTGCTATGACTTAGACCTCTCTTCAAAGGATGAATACATTATACTCTCTTAGATCTCAAACATTGTATTGTCTTTATGGTTTGTGCCTTTGAAGCTCCTAAATGGAACATCTGCCAATTTAATCAAGGGTAGAGTAGATGGTAAATATAACATTGTGACATATACAGATTCATGAATACAGTGCTTGTTGGGATTTGCTACTCTGTGGAGTTGCCAATTTCTAGTTTATCCTTGTCTTTTTACAACCTAGACCTTGGCGCAAATGATGCAGATGCTTGCCCTTGTTAACATAATTAACACTTAAATCCCTAAAATTAGTAACATATACATAGCCTTCACTCATCTCACTGGCAACAAGAACAACAACAATATCATTATTCATCAATCCTGATGTATCATTTTAATGACCTTCTATATTTTCAATAATGTCACAGGAAACTCTAAAAATTATGTCAATCACTGTTCACTGATATGCCAAAATAACATTAAGCTGTCATAGGTCAAAAATAATGTAGTACACAAGTGAAAAGTATACCTTATCTCGTATATGCTCCCCTTTTGAACACTGTGTCCTCCATAAAGGTCTAGTTACCAAGAAATCATGTATCTAATGTACTATTTTTTGTTGGTCCACTTTTTCATTGTTGATGTACCATTTTATTGATCTACCATTTCATTGTTGATGTTCTGTTTCATTGTTAATTTTCAAGTTTTATTGTTGCTTTCTCATTGTTTGAAGTACCATTTCATTGTTGATGTACTATTTTTTGTTGGTTCACTTTTTCATTGTTGATGTACCATTTTATTGATCTACCATTTCATTGTTGATGTTCTGTTTCATTGTTAATTTTCAAGTTTTATTGTTGCTATCTCATTGTTTGAATTACCATTTCATTGTTGATGTACTATTTTTTGTTGGTTCACTTTTTCATTGTTGATGTACCATTTTATGATCTACCATTTCATTGTTGATGTTCTGTTTCATTGTTAATTTACAAGTGTTATTGTTGCTATCTTATTGTTTGAAGTACCATTTCATTGTTGATGTACTATTTTTCATTGGTTCACCTTTTCATTGTTGATCTACCATTTCAATTTTGATATATTGTTTCATTGTTGATCTATTTGTCATTCTTGATGTACCATTTTATTGAGCTACCATTTTCATAGTTGATCTATTATGTCACCACCAACAAGTGGTGACATATTATGGTCTCTGTTTTTTGTGATGGCGGCGGCAGTTGGTGGTTGGGGGGTGGAGGTTGGTGGTTGATGTCTATAACAAATTCTTACAACTTCCAATAACTCAACAAAACTGTTTAGACTAACTTCAATTTTTATCTAAATCATCTACAAGTTCTCAGAAGTTCAAGAAAGGTCAAAAAGGTATTTTTCAACTTGTTTCAAATTGACCAATTTTTTTTCAAAAGCATCTACATGTACAAGTTCAAATCTGATTTTAGATTTCAGATTTGAGCAACTAGGTGATGTTGTTTTGTCATGTTAATGCCTTGTTATTCAATTGTTGATGTCCCATTTTATTCTGTTTTACAGATGAGGGTGATTACATCTCATTTGGCTTAAGCGGGAATGCAGATTCAGTAGCCATGATTAATGCTGATGTAACTGTTGGCTTCATTGATGAGGGCACGTATAAAGCTCAGGATTACTACCTCAATGCAAAGGCTGGGGTAAGTAGTCAGAAACATAATTATGGTGCTTTAATGAGATTCGTGCATGGTGTTCTTTGCCATGCTTTACAATAAAACGCCCTAAAACACTGTTCCTCATTCCCAGTAGACAGGTGTTCCTTACAGAGAGGGTCTGTTAACATTCAATGGAAAAATGTTTGGTTCTTTTGAAAACTGATCCTAGTAAACAGGCGTTTTATTTAAGGTGTTCGATCAGACAGGTTTTACTGTACTACACAATGTGAGCACAGTACACATGGTATCATGAATTAGACATCAAAATGTATAATTATACCAAATAATTATAACAAATATTGTTGTATTTTTTTCTTTATTATTATTATTTATTACTGATCTTATAATACTTAATAATGGAAGGTAGAAAGGTAGAAGCATTTAGGTTCATAGCCATACAATAAATAACACATTTTTTAAAGTCCCTGTCTAAAGTTCGAAAATATTTTTTTATCATTCATTTACTATTTGTCATGACTTTAAAAGCTATTTTAGAGATTTTTGAAAAAAAAAAATTTTTTGAAAAAAAAGTGAGCATTTCATTTCTCAAATATTCAAATTTCCCGCCATTTTTCATTCATCAAATATTTCTTAATGCATTTCAAAAAAGATTATCTCTTTAACACCAATGCAAAGATTGAACAAAGGACACACTATTTCAATAATAAAATGCCATATTTAATGGGCCACTTCAATGTTTTAGCATATCAAAAATATTTTGAAACATTAGTGATGTCACTAAGGTAGCAAAAACTTTTTGAAAAAAATTGAAATTTTTTTTGATGTAAATCTTTTCTAAATATGCTAGATTTCAATTTTAAACCAATGTTGATTGTCTAACCAGGTTAAAAGGAAGAATATATTATGTTTTAGATATCATTGTTCCATTGGTTTCTATGAGAACTAAAATTTTGAAATGCATTTTTCTCGGAACCATTTTCATGCACTGATAAGTTCATTTTTCGCTTATTTATGAACCGATTTTCTTAATTTTTCGGCAAAATACATTGGAGGATGAATGCTCTGCATTGGTATGAATTGTGGCTAATTAAAAGATATGTGTGACCTCTAAAACTTAGTTTTAAATAAATTCACAAATTTTGGAACAAAAAGTCTATCAAAATCCACTTATTGAAATTTTAAAAAAAAGTTTCACATATCACACTTTGATAACCTTGGGTAAGACTACAATATAAGCCAAAGTGGTTTAAACTTTACATGGGGACTTTAAAGGCATGATGATTTTAACATACCATTTTCTTACTGGTGCACAGTCGGATTTAACAAGCTATTCATTCATATGACCTAAATATTTGTGGACTATCATTTATGGCCACCGGGTCCAAACATGCCATGTTCTGCCATGTTGCCAAGTGGTAATATCTACAAGATGCAGTCACTTGGCATATACTTGTTAGTAACATGGCAATATTTTAGCAAGTACCTTTCTGACAACATGCTACTGGTCTAGCATGTGAAAGACAGAGCAACTGGCTCAACATGGCATGTTGAATGTGCAAGTGATAATTCAAGATTTATTCTAGATTGGAACATGTACTATTTTGGTTGGACATGGCATCTTGTTTAAGCATGTGTACATGTATCAGAATTTGTGAGTACTGCCATGTTCGCATGTTGGATGTGCATGTTGATTTATACATGTTGCATTGGCATACTTGCCATCTTATATTTGCATGTGTGCCAAGTACCTTGATTCAAGTGATCCCAAGTTCACAACTTACCAAGTACAGCATGTTGTCATGTGATAAATATGGCTACTGGCTGTAGCATGGCATGTTGGATGTCCATGTTATAATAATGTCTATTAATGCTCAACATGGTTCTACTTGCCATCTATGATCTTGTATTAGCATCTGTACCATGTACCAGAAATGTTGGTGGTGCCATGTGTGCATGTTACCAAGTTCAACAGATATAGTCATTTATTGATCCTGGCAATGATCTTAAATTCATACATTGTATATGTGTTGGATGAACATTGTGTCAATGATACATCACACTGATATTTTACATTTTCTTATGCTGTATTTAAAACTTGACTCATAACTTATATTTTTGCATTTGTCATGTTGTTTACATTTTGTATTTTGTAGTTTTTGTAGTTTAGTCTAAGTTATTTTTGTATATTGTACATTGTACTGACTAATATGTCATTGTGATGACATCTGAGTCAATAAAAGATGTATGTGATCACCGCTCCTGCCAAGTTGACCTCGTATCATTAGGGTCTGGTACACGAATGCCGCTCCTGCCAAGTGGACCCTGTATCATTAGGGTCTGGTACGCAATCGCCGCTCCTGCCAAGTTGACCTCGTATCATTAGGGTCTGGTACACGAATGCCGCTCCTGCCAAGTGGACCCTGTATCATTAGGGTCTGGTACGCAATCGTTGATCCTGCCAAGTTGACCTCGTATCATTAGGGTCTGGTACACGAATGCCGCTCCTGCCAAGTGGACCCTGTATCATTAGGGTCTGGTACACAATCGCCGCTCCTGCCAAGTTGACCTCGTATCATTAGGGTCTGGTACACGAATGCCGCTCCTGCCAAGTGGACCCTGTATCATTAGGGTCTGGTACGCGTCCTGTGTCCTCAGTGGGTAGGTCAGGGTTAGGTAATCATTTAAAACCCCATCTGGTTTAATAGGGTTGGTTAGGGTGGGTTGAGGTTACGGTTTAAACTCATTTCACTTTGCAGGAGCGGCGTTCATGTGCCAGACCCTACTGAAAGCGATCGCTGCTCCTGCCAAGTGAACCTTGTATCATTAGGGTCTGGTACATGAATGCCGCTCCTGCCAAGTGGACCCTCTATCATTAGGGTCTGGTACACGATCGCCGCTCCTGCCAAGTGGACCCTGTATCATTAGGGTCTGGTACGCGTCCTGTGTCCTCAGTGGGTAGTTCAGGGTTAGGTAATCATTTAAAACCCCATCTGGTTTAATAGGGTTGGTTAGGGTGGGTTGAGGTTACAGTTTAAACTCATTTCACTTTGCAGGAGTGGCATTCGTATGCCAGACCCTACTGATAGCGATCGCTGCTCCTGCTAAGTAGATCCTGTATCATTAGGGTCTGGTATGCAAACGCCGCTCCTGCCAAGTGGACCCTGTATCATTAGGGTCTGGTACACGAATGCAGCTCCTGCCAAGTAGATCTTCTATCATTAGGGTCTGGTATGTGAACGCTGCTCCTGCCAATTGGACCCTGTATCATTAGGGTCTAGTACGCGTCCTGTGTCCTCAGTGGGTAGGTCAGGGTTAGGTAATCATTTAAAACTACATCTGGTTTAATAGGATTGGGGTTGGTTAGGGTTAGGGTTAGGGTTAAGGTTAGAATTAAATTCTCTTTTTTATATTTTATGGAATTCATTTTTTAATTTATTTTACATTTTTGACACACATATTCATGGTCTTAGGGTTAAATTCATTTTTTGGGGTAAGGGTTAAATTCATTTTTTGAATTTTTTTTCATTTCTCGTTATCAAATTTCCCGCCATTTTTCAAATAAAAGTTGAATTTTTTTTAATGATGCGCCACTTCAATGGTTTAGCATATCAAAAATATTTTGCAACTAACGTCAGACCTGCCAACCTGAAATTGGTTTTGAACGAGGTCATGGTGAATAAAAGTTAAATGAAAGTTCATTTAGTTAAATGAAATGGGAAAACAAAAGAATATGACAAAAATTAATGAGTAATCAGGCTGATTATTAAAAGCCCATGATGTAAGTTGGCCCTGAACAAGTATTATGAGGGTTCCTTTGCTCGCTCAGTTTTTACAGAAAATATACATTTCCTTGCTGTAAAACTGAAAGTAAGAGAAAGAAGTCCAATAATCAAGGTTACTGACTGTAGATTTAGCTCAAACACGGTAGATTAAGGGAGATTTCAGTCAAAAATACGGGAGGTTTTTACGGCCATTTTCACAGGAAAAATGGATTTTTAAAAATTACGGTAGATTTTAGTAAAACTACGGTACAGGAGATAACAGTAGTTTTACGGGTTTAAACGGTATGGGAGTTTTGTTGCATTTACGGAAAAACAAAATATTTTACGGGAGATTTACATAAAAACGTATGGTCGGCAGTGACATCATTTCTTTCCAATGTCAATCTTTTCTAAATATGCAAAACTATAAAAAATATAAACCAATGTTGATTGTCTAACCTGAGATTAAAAGGAAGTATATATGTTTGAAATATTATGTACCATTGGTTTCTACGAGAACTAAGAAATTTTGAAATGCATTTTTCTCTGAACCATTTTAAAGTATGACGAGTTCATTTCTCGCCTATTTTTGAACCAATTTTCTTAATTTTTCACCAAAATCATGTGAGGATGAATGCTATGCATTGGTTTGAATTATCGCTTATTAGAATATATATGTGATCTCTAAAAGTTAGTTATAAAAGTTAGTTTTATATAAATTCATAATTAGCAATTAAAAAAAAGTTTCACATTCTTCCATATAACACTGAGTAAGACTACAGTATAAGCCAAAGTGATTTAGACCTTATATGGGGACTTAAAGTGCTATTGATTATATAAATTCATAAAGATGTGCATTTATGGTCTTTCTACAGAGCAGAAAACTCATGGGCAATGGTAAATGTTCTATATTTGCAAACTGCTAACTGTAATATTTGAATATACAGATTTTCAATTCTACATAAATACAGTTATATTCTTATTTCTACTTATTCAAGAATTCAAGATGTTTCTGACCAGGGAGCCTACTTAGTGAACTAACTGACACTCAGATTGGAACATTAATACAAGGATACTATAATGTTCACATGTGTTTAGAATTGTGTTAGAATTGTATATGATACAGTAATATGCTGTTCATAGCTTTGTAACATTAACAAGTTTATTACTTCACAATTATTCCATAGTAAAATCATCTCTACATAATAAATTATTCTCTGCAATCTATTTTTGTTTTATGAGAACATAAAGTTAGTAATCTATTATTATCATATTGAAACATTTTACATGTGTGAATTCTAAGATATAATGCAAAGGAAAAGTCAAATCCCTCATGGAATTTTTTAAAAACAGCCCTCCCCCTGCTTCCCTCCCTGGTAAAAGCTGACTACTGGCCTGAGAGTGGCAGAACACAAATGTAGTCAGTGCCCGGGAGTTAGTGGTCAGCTAACCTAGAATATTGTAGAGGATGATTTCTTCATATGCTTGCTACAAAGGTTAAACTTATTAAATTTATACCAATTTACCATTTTTTTAAATTACATTTTCCAAATTTGTGTTCATTTCATTAGTTTTACCATTCATTAAACAAGCTTTTTAGATTAAAAATATATTTTATAATTTAATTTCCCATTCCAAATAAACAAACGTGTCATTTTGGAACTTGATCCACATGCTGCACATGAGAGATGTATAGTTGAAACTTGGCAAGATGCTATTCGAACATGCAACATGGCAGCATGCCACTTGGCAACTTGGTCCACATGCTGCACATGTGAGTTGTATGGTTTAAACGTGGCAAGATGCTATCTGTACATGCAACATGGTACCATGTCACTTGGCAACTTGGTCCACATGCTGCACATGCGAGCTGTATAGTTTAAACTTGGCAAGATGCTATTTGTACATGCAACATGGTACCATGTCACTTGGCAACTTGGTCCACATGCTGCACATGCGAGATGTTCAGTTTAAACTTGGCAAGATGCTATTTCAACATGCAACATGGTAGCATGTCACTTGCTAACTTGGTCCACATGCTGCACATGCGAGATGTACAGTTTAAACTTGGCAAGATGCTATTTGAACATGCAACATGGTACCATGTCACTTGCTAACTTGGTCCACATGCTGCACATGCGAGATGTATAGTTTAAACTTGGCAAGATGCTATTTGAACATGCAACATGGCAGCATGTCACTTGCTAACTTGGTCCACATGCAGCACATGCGAGATGTATAGTTTAAACTTGGCAAGATGCTATTTGAACATGCAACATGGTAGCATGTCACTTGCTAACTTGGTCCACATGCTGCACATGCGAGATGTATAGTTTAAACTTGGCAAGATGCTATTTGAACATGCAACATGGCAGCATGTCACTTGCTAACTTGGTCCACATGCAGCACATGCGAGATATATAGTTTAAACTTGGCAAGATGCTATTTGAACATGCAACATGGTACCATGTCACTTGCTAACTTGGTCCACATGCTGCACATGCAAGATGTATAGTTTAAACTTGGCAAGATGCTATCTGTACATGCAACATGGTACCATGTCACTTGGCAACTTGGTCCACATGCTGCACATGCGAGTTGTATAGTTTAAACTTGGCAAGATGCTATTTCAACATGCAACATGGTAGCATGTCACTTGCTAACTTGGTCCACATGCTGCACATGCGAGATGTACAGTTTAAACTTGGCAAGATGCTATTTGAACATGCAACATGGTAGCATGTCACTTGCTAACTTGGTCCACATGCTGCACATGCGAGATGTACAGTTTAAACTTGGCAAGATGCTATTTGAACATGCAACATGGCAGCATGTCACTTGCTAACTTGGTCCACATGCAGCACATGCGAGATGTATAGTTTAAACTTGGCAAGATGCTATTTGAACATGCAACATGGTAGCATGTCACTTGCTAACTTGGTCCACATGCTGCACATGCGAGATGTATGTTCTGTGGACTATGAGGAAAATACATGAATATACATGAAAATACACATTTACAAGGCTCTTGTTACAGAGAGCCCCTTGTCAGTATGATTCCATATTGAATGTATAGTTCCTTACCCTAAAAGATACAATGATTTTGATGACATGCACAAGAATTATAATGTTCTTATCAAGATTTCTCTATTGTTATAGAGTAATATACATATATTGGATGTCCAAGAAATAAATCTGTATCCATCTGCCACGCCTGGTGATCATACAAAAATGATGGAGGGGGGATTAGGCGATTTCTGCAAGAAAACTCAACAAATTTGGAAGATTTATTTTTTCAAGAGAAAATTAACAACTGAATTGCCAAATGAATAGGTGCAGTGCATGGCAAAATATGTTAGTTCATCTCGTATTTTTTTGAAGTGATACCCTTCTAAGATATGAGATCTATTTAAAAAGGCGCATCATCACCAACTTGCATAAGTCAATGTTTTTGCAATAAATCGGGCAACAATGGTCTACACGACCTGTAATAAATAGGTATAAGGGACATTATTATCACAATACTAATGACATTGCTCACTTTTTAAAGTTAGTTTCCATGCGTAATACATAAAATAATCAAAATAAATAAATTCAAGTATCATGTCTTATCATGTATTATATACACGTGATCCCCCCTCCATCCGATCCCCCCTCCATCCAAAATTAATTTATTTCGATTATTTTTTGTATAACGCATGGAAACTAACTTTAATGAAGGATCCACGGTCCTGTGCTCACACAGTTTGGAACCTTCAGAGGAATGTATATCCTGACTTTCAAACAAAAATATTGATTTGGATTTGTAGTCTGGAACTTTGAGAAACTTAGATAGCACAGTTGTGTGACCTAGTTTGATGACCTTTGACCTTGAAAATTTTACTTATTCAGAGCTCAGTAAGGTCTTTTGTGATTAAGCTGACCAAAATTTACATCCAAAAATCAATTTGAAAAATCAACTTTTTTGACCTTTCGAAGGTCACTGAAGGTCAAGTAAAGGTCAAATCCTAAAACTAATGTCAGATTTGAACTCCTGGCAACTTGTAGATGATTTTCAAAAAATATTGGGCCAAATTGAAGCAAGTTGAAAAATGACTTATTTTTACTGTTTTTTGACATCTCAAGAACGGTAAAAATTTGATGCTGACATATATTGAGCAATATGTAGGGAACGCTTAAATCTAGTAATGATGTAATTCATTGCAAGAAATTATCAAGTATAAGGCAAACTTTGAGAAACTTGTCAATCACAAAACCTGCCATTGACTTTATACATGAGAAAGTTTGCTGAAAATGACAGTCCTACTTTTTGTCAAATTTTATAGAGTAAACACCAAAACCTGTAGGTCCAAGAGCTTTGAAATCTTCAGAGGACATAAGTTGCATATACAGCAACTACTAAAAGTTATTTGAAAGTTCTACTTCAACAAAGTGTCTAGTATTTACAGAAAATTTGACTTTTTGACGTCAAAATCAGCAAGTTCTCGGAAACCGGGCGAACTTGGGAAATGGCGATGATAGGTCAAATAGGCATTATGGATATGCATAAAATGAATGTGGATATGACTCAATCCGAATAGCAGTTTTAATTTGTACGGCCAAATTTTGACTGACGGACGGACCAACGGATGGACAGACGGACGCCTGGTCGATCCCATAGGCTCACTGTGTGAGCCAAAAAGTAAGCAATGTCATAAGTATTGTGATAATAACCTTTTCTAATAAATCTCATATTTTAGAAGGGTATCAGTTCCCAAAAAATACTAGATGACCTAACATATTTTGCCATGCACTGCGCCTATTCATTTGGCAATTCAGTTGTAAATTTTCTCTTGAAAAAATAAATCTTCCAAATTTGTTGAGTTTTCTTGCAGAAATCGCCAAATCCCCCCCTCCATCATTTTTGTACGATCTCCGGGCGTGTCTGCGCCTTGTTCCATTTTTGATACCAATTAAATGTTGAATATGAATTTCACTATTTTTCCCATCTAAAGCTATGGGAATGATTACAAAGTGTGTCAAGTACATGATGTCTTTTATTTTACTAAAAAAAACTGCTAAAAGTACAAGGATGGGTCCCTTGATCCTACTCCTCCTCCATTAATCAACACTTTGTATAATAAATACAATGCAATGCAATGCAAGCTGTACACTGTAAGTGTGAATATATTGGGACGACTGCGTGACATTTTTTAATGAAGAACACTCTTCAGTCTAGCGAAGGCTATAGTCTACACGTGACCTTTAAAGTCATACATCATTCCACATTTATCCATGTCATGTCAGGTCACAATGATGTCACTTTTCACATTTATATGTGTCAGGTCACAATGATGTCACTTTTCACATTTATAAATATCAGCTCACAATGATGTCACTTTTCACATTTATACATGTCATAAGTCACAATGATGTCACTTGTCACATTTATACGTGTCAGGTCACAATGATGTCACTTTTCACATTTATACGTGTCAGGTCACAATGGTGTCACTTTTCACATTTATATGTGTCAGGTCACAATGGTGTCACTTTTCACATTTATACATGTCAGCTCACAATGATGTCACTTTTCACATTTATACATGTCAAGTCACAATGATGTCACTTTTCCCATTTATACATGACAAGTCACTTTAAATAAAATGAAAATACATTCCTGACATTGTGACATCACCTATCAAATATAGGAGCTTCTATATTATCTCCCTCCTTTGTCCTTATCTCACATTTTAGAAGCATTAAATATCGTTTTGGAAACTTCTCCTTATCCCTTGCAAAGTCTGATAGTTGGCAAGTGTATTGATGGAACAACAGTTTGTTTGTCCTTGAAGGTGGCACTCTGCAGTCAAAGCCAAGTCCACAGTGACATAGTATTGTGGGATCGCACCTGAAAATATGGGAATAATTTAGACAAAGCGTATACCATTTAATAAGTACAGTAGATCAATACAGAACATAAAATGTATAAGGATTTTTCGCTAGACCATAACTGTAATTACTTATGAAACACCATGTAGTTTTCTTCCAAAAATACATATGTATTTATTCATTGTCCACACACTAATTGGTATAAACTTTTATCCAAAATCCTGCCAAATTGCCATGTTTCTAGGTGTATGGTCACCTAAATCAATACAATGTAGCAATTTTTGACATTGATTCACAGGTATCAAATGAATCAGTATAAATTTGGATGATCTTTCCAATGATATATCAGTTCCATACATTTTGGTTTTGGCTGTAGAGGGGGACAGGACTTATTTGTCACCCTGTATAGTAGACAAATAACCTCATTTCATGAATTCAAAGAGTAACATAGTGAAATCTTGATATCAAGATATCTTTGTTGCCCACTGAAATGACGTTATTAGTATTATCACCACCTATTGAAAGCTAAGTACAAACTCATCATTCGCCACCATGGCCCAGACTATGACGTCACATATTTCAAGTCAACGATAAAATATAAGCCTACTCAACTCGTGCTAATACCCGAGAACGTGCCTCACAAGGTGGTGATAATATTTGATAAAAAAATAAGGGTTATTAAAAGCAAAATAAATCCTACACACTTTAACAAATTAATTTGAATTATATATACAACTACATCATGTTATAATGATAATATAAAATAAACAATTAAATTTTCTTTCAGAGATGAGGGTTATAAACAGCAAAATGAATCCTGCCCACTTGAATGAATTTATTATTAGACTATATAATGCCTAGTGTTATATAACATCCCCTAAATAGGTGCCTCTATCACCATGTACGATATCATCACTTCTTTTTTATTAATTCATAATTTTCAAACTCATGGTGTGTGTATTGGCTTTCATGAGTTTGAATTTGTTTTATTTATGTCATGGGGATGGCACAAGTTCCTCTTTGTCAACTAGCTCATTAGAAAATTTACAGAAATCCAGGTTAATTCATAATATTTTTCGTCCAGCCATTTTTTTATTTACTGTGGGAATGTAACAAGTGGGGTCAAGGTGAATTTTATGCTCATCATTGCTACTCCAAAACATTCTATTCTATTCCATTCTATTCACAGTTTTACGCTTAGACATTTCCTGCATTTGACACTACCCTGAACACATGTCAAATTAGATGTTGCTTCATTGGTAAAAATACTGAAAATAACACATTTATAACTTTTTGAAGTCGACTTTCAAAAATGAGTAAGGCCTTTCAAAAAGTATGCAGATAATTATAAGGTATTTGTATAAAAACGATGTATAGAGGGATGTAGCTGAAGGGTATTTATAATATACCACTGTACCTTTGCATATATCATAACATTATTCTATCATGTAATGATTCTCTTAAAACATATGTATGAAAATACATCAAATGTACTGGTATAACAAAATATATTATCTTCATGAAGTACATGTTGAACATGTAATCAAAGCATGTACAAAATAACAAATATTCATAATTTTAATTAGAAAATACAATTATAAATGTATGGACTGTTTACTGTCTAAATCAGAAAAATATTTTCCTGGGCTTTAATTGATACTAGGGTTGCTGTTGGTGTATGTACCATACAGAGACATCATTCAAAAAATGTTTGATGTTATGTGGTCTTCTAGTGTTTGAATACAACTGCTTAAAATCATACATGGTCTTCCAGTCCCTGAACACAACAGTATAAGAAATGATAAACTAATTACTTTACAAAGAGTACATCAGAGGTAGCATTTGCAGATAACCACAAACACACCAAAGAGAAAGATGAAATCAACATTTCAAGCCTGAGTTATTTGATGCAACAATCCACCCAAAAAATCACAAAAATTATGTTCAAAGTCACTCAAACGTTCCAATTAAAATTATGATAAAATATAAAAAGTACAAAAGTCACATTTTATAATACATTACTTTAATACACTAAACTCGCAGGGTATTATCAAATTACAGTTTACGTAGGCACATTTAATTCGCAAGTTAAAGGGTGACGCATATCGTTTAGCAAATCGAACGCTCGTTTCTGGTGTTGCTCACCGTTTAGTATAAAAGGCCCGATCCCGGAATAATACTCAAGGGTTCACAGCTTCGAGGTCGTTGTGTCAACACCTCTAACTGTTATATAGCATAAGTATATTATAGATCGCCACACATTTATAAAAGGGTGATTTTTATTTTGACAAATCAATATCACATTTATGGGTGAAGTTTCAGGATCTTCTATTTGTGTATAATAAGGAAAAGTTGGCATCTAAATTTCCCCATAACGTAATAGCACACAGCTTGGCATATGAAATATCCTACAAATGAAACAAAGCAAGACAAACCTGTTTCGAATACAAGGATTTATATTGGCTGTTGTACATGTATTCTTTGAACGCAATCACTCTTTGGATAACGTTTTCAAAATCATTATAAACGGATTACTTTATCTCAAAGACAATTTCAATAAACTGAATTTTACAGAACTCCCCTTATTTCTTACAAATGGACTGATCCAGTTGATTCGCCTGGAGCTGCCATATTGTTTTTATACGGGATGCTAATTGGAACCCTTTAAGCAATAATTTTATCATTATCCATTTATACCACATTAGACCCCATTTATGACTCATATCATGAATTTAGTTATTCCCGGTCATCCAAAATAAAATTCTTACACATGTTTTATTGACACGTGTTATCACACGACTAATACATGCATACAGTATAAAGTGCTGTTATCAAAAAACGCCTCCATGTGTTGCATTATTTCAAATAGATAATGCAAGGGTGGGGTGGCTTGGGTAAATTGAAAAAATTTTAACTGCAATTTTCTCATTAGAAGTACATGTAATAACAACAGAATAGGTCCTAGAATAGGTTTAAAATGCGTTTTACTGATGTCCAGTTTCAATAGACTAGATTTGAGGAGAAATAATCTTGATTTACATATAATTGAATATTCAAAATTCAGTCAAAGTGATATCAACTTTGAAATCTTCATGTAAAATTATATCTAAAATGTGGTTTCAAAAATTGTTGATCAACTTTGAAAATTTAATTTTCTCTGAAAATTAGACTTGTAGGTTGGGGAGATTCCCCATTAACCCCATGCTATAAAATCACAAAAAGTGAAATATCTTTTCTTTTATTGGCCAGATAATATTTTTCTTTATTGGACATTTGTATAACATCAATTGTATCAGATACACAATGGTAATATGAAAACTGATCCATTAGAACTGATGAATATTCAAGTTTGAGAGAACTTTCTAATATATCTGTCATGTAATCTGACCCGAATAAGTCACCTGATGGTGAAACTGGTTTTTAACCTACTGGCATCCAGATTATTTGAACTTCAAATGTCTTTTCTTCTTGTATCAACAAAAATTAAATATAATCATCTTGACGCTTGACATAATATCCCAGTTTGGAAACCTAGATTGATCATGCGTTTCCTTTTCTTAGGATTATGCTTTTTATTATTAAAATATGTTTGTTGGTAGCAGTTGGACAATCTGTGTTTAAATGAAATATCAAATTTTAAAAGTAGGGGAAAACGCCCCAAATCACCATGAGTAGCTTGACTTTCAGTTTATCTTTGTATACCAAGAATCAATTTAATAAGTCCCAACTGTAGCATTTCAAGATCAAGAACATAATATTGACTTGTAATTCTAAAGGTATAACTTATGATTCTAGAGGTGCTGCTCATTTTTACAGCTATATTGGGCATTAATAGTGTTGAGGTTTTAACAAATGTTAGAGACAGATAGTGGTACTACAGTGAAACCTGTTTTAGTCTCTCTAGTGAACACTTGTCTCTATTCCACACATACTCTTTTGACTTCTGTATGCATTACCCTCTCTATATACCCTTTGCATTCGTTTGACTTCACTTCTTAAAAGAGAGCTTCGTCTTGTAGTTTAACTAGACTCTGCACGCAGGGTACTCTCTATAGTGAACACCTACCAACACTGAACATTTTTTCCCGGCAAAAAATATTCAATATACACAGGTTTTACTGTACTTTGATTATTTAAAAACAACATGATAGTACTATATTATGTACACACATTTCGTTTTCCTGCGCTAAACTGACCATGACTGAATCAAAATATATCTAAATTTGCAGTACCATTATCTTTGGTATCATCTTTTTCTTCTGATTGGTCCTCCTTGTTGAGGTATCTTATGTTGGCATGTTGCCAGGCCATGGTTGGCGATATGCCAGAGACCAATTTGGTAATCAGCCAATGAAAGTTAATGATGTAATATATTTCTACAAAATGAATGAATCATCTGCACAATGGCTATTGTACTTAAAGTACTGATATCAGAAATTCGAACATGACTGTATTCACGCTTTCTATAAACTGTCAACGAAGTCAACATTTCACCCTGGGTACATTCGCTAAGAATACCCCTGGTAATACGTGTAATGTGTGACGTTATAACAGCGGGTCGTAGTAATGGCGGACCATAATAAATATTCGAAACATTTTGGTGAGTTTTCATGTTCGAATCGACCTCAGACCAGGGGTAATATTGTCGAATACACCCCTTAGGGCTAGGCACAAAAGCTTTCGAACAGAAAACGTTTCTGCCTAGCCCTGTGGGGTGTATTCGACAATCCCTGCTCTACGGTCTATATTTCTTAATAAAATATGGATTTTTTGGTTTATACAAAATGTTGAGTTTCTGGCTTTCAAAACTAGAAAAAGTATTTATTCAAACATGCATTTTCAAATAATAGCATATGTATATGACTTCTGAAACTCTTTTATTTCATAGGAGGTTGGAATCCCGGTAGAGACAATAATTAAAATTTTAATTTAATTAAATTTTTTTTTCATTTTGAAACCACAACACATTTCTTGATACCTTCTGCATGAGACATCTATTACTTTCAAACAAAATGATTGTAGGACATAGGTTGATTTAGAATTATTGCATTCAATTCTGACAGTTGGTTGTTCTGTATTTGTTGTCCTGTTGATTTTCTCATATATTAGTGATACTGTGCCCATAATTTGGTCTCATGATATAGAGTAGACAGTGTATCCCTCTTTTGTGAAAATTTTATCCAGGTTCATTCAATAGTTATTGAGATATTAGTTACTCAATCCAGGGTATATCTTTTTTTGCACTTAGACAGATGCGTAGGGTAAATGGCCAAAATCAGGCAGCATGGTAAAAGGTTAAACTGGTTAACATATGTATATATATATTGAAAGAAATTGATAATAATAAAAAATGATATGAGTCATTAATATAATCAATTAAATGAAATGTGTGTAGGTGCCCATGACGCAAGTGAGCATAGCAATTAATAAATATATTGTATTACTCATGGGAGTATAAAAAACACAAAATACAATTTTAAAAATGTGACCCTAAATGTATGTAGCATATTGATATCTTTGTGAGTGACAAAACTTTATCATTTATGAAATAAACTTATATTTATTACACTTAGACAGATGCGTAGGGTAAATATAGATATAGAGGTTATTTACTGGGAGGGATTCAATATGGGTTTTATTCTGAGTTATGATATTTGTCGTGGGCCCAGAGGGCCAGAGGGAAATATCATATTGTCCCAAGGAATAAATCCATATTTGATCATGTCGATTCCGACCAGTAAATAAGCTTTTTATCCCATGGCATTCATATCTTTCCTCACAACATTAGTTGGATATCCATACTTGAATTTTTGTATGAAACAAAACAAGACTATATATCATTAGTCTACAGAATATGACTAAACATTCTGACATTTTGAAATATGAGAATATACAGTATCAAAACATTTACATGTTCAACAACAACAACATGTTAATTACAGGGCAATCACTTATTGCTCTGATATCTATGACGTTGATTGTCTGTGTCAGAGCATGATGATGAAATAACAATTTGGCTATGTTTAATAGGCTTACATAGCTTTGTAGTCTTACGTTTCAAAGTCTCTATTTTCAACTTTGTTTGAAAAATATCGACCAAACTGAAGGACATCAGAAGCTTTGTTTGGCAAAGATTCTCTGGAGGTGAATACCATTTTAGTGAGGGGGATTGGGAGGTGAAATATATATACGATTTTTGTGAGTGGGATCATGCCCGGTGATCGTGAAAATGGGAGGGATTGGGGAGCAGTCAATTTCTGCTAGAAAATTCAACAAATCTGGAAGATTCATTTATTCAAGAAAAATTTTACTATTGAATTGCTGTATGGATAGGTGCATGGTATGGTAAAATATGTTAGGTCTTCTGCAATTTTTTCTGAACCGATACGCTTCTAAGATATGAGATCTATTAAAAAGACGCAAGGCCACCAACGTGCACAAGTAAACGCTTTTGATATAAATCAAGCAACAATAGTCTACACAACCTGTAATAAATACTTGTAATTGACGTTATCATAACTTATAGGACTTATAGGACCCATTGCTGACTTTAAAGTCTTTAAAATAATAAGAAAATAAGGAGAAATAAAGAATTGAACCTGAAATTATAGAAAAGAAATCTGCAATTTCAAAAGCTGTTTTTTTTGAGGCAGTGGCTCACATTTTTTTGCTTAATGTTTGATTTGAAATTTTATGTGCATGTACAGAAATGTTCAAACTCCTCGATTGGTTATGACGTATAGTTCATTTTTGCTTTTTAGAAATTAGCCCACCCTGTATATAATGTAAAAACTGTTTAGTAGAACATCTCTGTTTTCAAGGTTGGGTTTTTCAAACCCATTGATAAAACACATTCAAACTTTGAATGGAACTTACTTTTTTACAAATTAACCCGTGTAACTGTAGATTTTACATGAATTTTTGATTAAAGGAATATTCCTTGCCAGACCCTTTCTCTCTTGATATGGTAGCTATAATCATATATATAGTTTCCATATTTAGCAAAACATGGGAAAATGTTTTAATATGGTCAATATTGATCATTTAAAAATCTAGTGCTTATTTCCAGTGAGCTGCCATCTTTTAAGATTTCTTGCAGGAAGTGATGTCATCAACTCTCAACTTCTATAACCTTGCCCATAACAGTATAGGAAAGTAGCACAAAATCACTTCTAGACAAGTGATCATTACTTTCTGTGCAAAAATATTTTCAGGGCTTGTCAACTTAGAATAAAAGAAGAGATTTTCAGAAGGATTAAAAAAGATACAAAGTTGAAAAAGAATATTTAGCTGGTTTTGTAATTCTTAATAGCTCCTCACCTAATGCTATATGCAAAGTTGAGAGTCGATGACATCACTTCCTGTGTGAAATTTTAAAAGATGGCAGCTTACTGGAATTGAGCATCACATTTCTAAGTGATCAAATTTGACCATATCAAAACATTTTTGCGTGTTTTGCTAAACATGGCAAGCATATATATGGTTATAGATACCATATGAGGAGAGAGATGGTTTGGCAAGGAATATTCCTTTAATAACAATGATTAGGAAATACTTAGCAAATAAGAATTCAGGAAATTGGACTAATCTCCTGTAGAGACTGATCTGTGATGCCACCTCCAAATAATACCCTCATTGATCAAGTAAAATTACAACTCTTAAAACTATCAATTACAAAAAAAACAAAAAGGGTTCCTAGATATCAATGAATCTATAATATTCAGAATGGTGATTCCCCGATTACCAATGGATCACATTAGGTTAACTCTACACAAAGGATCTTTCTGAATCTGAATTTTCACAAAATTAAGTCAGCATTTTTCAAATTGACTTGTTTGCATGGATTCTTTTTACATCACATCACAAACAAAAGTATTTAAAGTCTTCAAATCAGCCATGAATTGTTACTAATAGACATATTGAATACTTCTTATGTTGAAACCTGTGTAAGTGGAACACCTTTAGTACCTCTAAAAATTGTTCCACTTGGGAAGTGTTCCACACTAGATTCATGTCACAATAAGTCAATAGGTTTTGGGATTTTGAAAATCATTCCACTTAGAGAGGTGTACCACTTAGAGAGGTATTCTACTTAACAGTGTGTTTCGTTTCAGTAAATATAGTAAGCCACAAGATAAGCAACATTGTTATACCTTTCTTCTCTTAGTTTGCCCGCTGTGCATACTCCAGCCTTTATATGTTTTTGTTTTCCCCCACCACGAACAGCAAGGTTGACTCTTGATTCATGGCAGTATTCTCCCACAGCACAATCCTTGTAACTTTGGCACATTCGCTTCTTCATCGATGCTTCCGATAACTGAAATGTGAAGAATGTTAAGACATATACATGTACAGAAGATCGTAGAAGTCTGGTTAAAAATTAAATTTCAAAAAGCTGCAGCTAAATCAAAAACACAATATTTTATAATTCTCATTCTCATACCCCTTATCAAATGGCAAAGGCATTTTTTCATCATGTATTGTGTAACCAAAATTAGTAAAATCCCATTTTGATTTTCAGGAAAACTTGACAAGATACTTTAGGTTGTTTTGGAGAAAATAAGTGAAATAATTTCTTTTGAAAAGAGTTTGTAATACTAGTATCTTTTTACTTTCTGCTTTTATTAGTTCTGCTATAACAAAAGCATATATTTGAAATAAATATATTTAAGAAAAACTTCATTCAACTATAGAGTGGTATCCAACTATTGACAAAAGCATTTCACACAGCACAACAGAAAGCAGTTCATACAATGCAATGTCTGAATGTACAAAGTATAATAATACTTCAAACACATTAATCTAAAACTTAATGAAAGTTGGATAAAGCTTCCAATGTGTAATTTGACATTTTACAAATCAATTTCATTCAGAGCAAAACTGTTATAGAAATGTTTTGTAAATCATAATAATGGTCAATTTATGAAAATGCCTTGTATGTATATTTATAGTATATATGCATAACCACATGTCTATCTACGTACACGTTTCCTGATTTATAACATTGTATATAGTTACATAAGTTACATATTAGCAACAATTTGTTAGGTTACATCATATTGATACTATATACGTGGTCACAGAATTAAAAAAAAAAAGCTTATGTAAATCAATTAAAGTGCCTAGCCATGATACAATCGCTGACTAATCATTTTAATGATCAAAATTTGTAAAATGTCTTATGCAAGACAATCGTGTTACGAAAGTCAGCAGAGCTTTGACACGTGTAGACACGTGTATGAGAAATTACATAATGATTATTCAATTATCATGCTTACCACTATAGTCGTATAAGATGTCACAATGATGCAGGCTGCCCATAGATGTCTCCACATTATGTTACTGCCCTCATCATGTATTAGGACAATACTGGCTACATATTTTACTCCATGCTCAAAATCAATGTCGCACAAATTCTTGAAGATGTTTCCGAATTAATTTAATTCTTTGCAATCTCTGTTTATTCTAGTCATGCAGTCATTGATTACATGATAATATTTTGCAATATGCATGTATTCCTGCAATTAGTTAATTACTCACATTTTATGCAATACTATGCAATCTGTGTTTTAATAAGTTAATCCTGCACAATTTAAGCAATATAGTGTTCAATCTGTGTATATATTCCAATCAGTCTATCCATTACAGTTGTGTCCATCTGGTATGTCAATGTAGATATGAACCTATAATAAATTGAATGCAATCATCCCTGTCTGTGACCTATGAATATATAAATGCATTCAACAATCCAACATTGTCATGGTATGACTTTGCATTGAAACTATGTTGCCCTCCAAATATGTGTTAATGCTCCAAGCTATCTGTATTTTGATGCGTGTATATTGTATTTCTATTTCTATTTCAAAAAGTGATTTGGACTTGACCAGTCTACATTTGGTTTTGAGTGGCCACCCAAAGAGTTTATGTTTTCTGTATGTATGGACTACCACCAGTCCTTAATAGAGATCATTATAAATCATTTTTATCCTTTCTACCCAATATAAGGTGTATATAATTCCTTTAGAAGCTCTTTATAACTAATTTCAGCTTCATTAACTCTTTAAGGAACATTCAAGTGGTCTGTACCACATCATTTGTTTTATTTTCCTCCGACTTCGACTTCGTTCTCCTTTTTGATGTTTTAATGTTAAAATATCCAGACTGGCAACTTTGTTAATTAGTTTCAGTTTGCAGTAGATTTTAATAATGATTTTTTCTAAAAATCTCTAGTACCATTGGTCAGTTGGTACCCATACTATTTCAGTGATTTATCATTAATCATTTAATTAACCATACACTTATCAAATCTTGAAGTAAATCAAACAGATGTTGTGCTTTATCATATAATCCTTCAGGACCATCTCTACTTTGCTCATTCTACTAAGTGGGGCCTTAGTAGGTATTAGTACCATGCTCTGAACTATCCACACATGCCTTTAGTCCAAGTACCACTGTACAAACTATCTCAATGTCACTATACCACCTTGTACATATGTTCAGCCTATTGACACAGGCTCTTCAGTTAACATGGCTAATTTGATAATTTCTTTATTTTCTAACTCATTTGGTGCAAGCCGAGGATATGCACTGATATCCAAAGAGATGTCCCCCATTGATATGTTTCCCTTGTGAAATGTTTAAACAACCTAGGTTAATTCAGTGCTATTGTTACAATACCTGTCATTTTCATGTGAATCCCTTTAAAATATAAGGTTCTAATTTGTATACTATTTATTTGATTTGATTCATTTCATTGCTGTTTTTATTTATTCTTGGTGAAAAAGTATGACTTTATTTTACATGTTTTGCAAGGGGTCAGCCACCATGCTCTGACATGGTACTCGCTAAACACATAGATTTCTCTCTATCTTTACTGAGCCTATACTTGATGTTTTCTCCCTGCCCCTTTATAATATTTAAACAAACTTAATGTTGCACGGAAATGCTGCATTTTAATTAATGTTTAGATTAATGAAATGCTGGGGAATTACAATGAATTGAAGTGTAAACTTGATGTGAAGGTAAATTTAGTATAAACTTTGGGTTTTCATGACATTAGATTTTTTGAGAAAAGTAAAATGCATGTAAAGGGTAATATCCCATTACTATAAATAGATACAGATTCACTGCACTTGAAATCATTAACAGTATATTTTGTATTTTATTTAAATTAATAATAATATTTGATTATTATTGGTCTAGCTTTTAGTGAATAGTTTTAATTAGTATTGTCTTGAGACAAGACAGCCTAGTCTGTACATAGAAATGTGTCATGCTTTGATATAATTGACAGTTTAAGAAATATTTATAGGAAAGCTGAAAAGCTGTTTGAATGGGATAAAACATATTTCAAATGAGGAATTGAGATCTTGAAATTAAAGGCAGAATCAGATCTATGGGGGTGACAAAATTACAAGCAATATATCCAATTGACCTACCAATCTATTCCTTACAATATCAAATACAATATCTCCCAAAAGATCTTCGATATATTATAGATTGGTGAAGTTATTAGGGATTCAAGGTGCAAAAATGGGTGAAAATGTTTAAATTCTCCCAATTAATAAGAATGGTAACCATTCTTATACAAAAATAACACATTATATTGTAAAAATCTTTAGTTTTCCAAATAAAGTGTGCACTTCGGGGGGATTTTTAGAAAATAGACATGAAAATTGAAACAATGTTTTGTTAGGCTGCTCGCTATCTCTGATTCTCTCTTTAATCAAATGGTTTTTAATGAATTAACTTTAAACCAATGAGAAATCATACCTTTACACTATAGAACACTTTATATTTTCCCCAGAATGGATCACAGCCCCTTAGCCAGGATTTACCAAGGGGGGTTCACCTTTTAAAACATTTCAGGGGGTGTTCACTTTTGATAACGTTGGCCCATAAATGGCCAAAATCAACTGAAAAGTAATCAGAATGGTGAAAAATTGCATGATTTGGAAGGATATATTTTCTGAATATTCTCTACTTTCAATTGAAAAGAAAGCAATATTCCTGACCTATCCTAGTTTTTTTTTCTTTTTTTTGTTTATTTTGAACTAGCATATTTAATATATTACAGTATACAATACATTTACAACTAGAATTCTCCACTTTAACATGATCAATAAGAATTTGTTATCCTATCATCTGAGAAATAAATAAAGATTTTAATCTGTTTACAAGTCATCAGCTATGCAATGCTGAAGCATTCATGGCTTTAAACAAATTGTCTGTTTGTTTGTCTGGATGATAGCTCTAATACATGTTCACAGATTTGGTTCAACTTTTATAGTCTCGTGCCTTATTCATGCTTGAGAAGGAATTTTCAATATAGATGCTCAATTCAAAATTGCTGCCATTTTTCAACCAATCTTCTTAATTTTTCAACACAAACTAAATTAAGATGTACGCTATATTTACAGGTGTGTTATATTGCTTATTGATAGATGTGTGTGGCAATGGAAATTTTACCTTAAATAAATTCACAAATTTTCAAACAAAAAGTCCTTTAAATTAAGAACAACTTTTTCATTACTTTCATTAGTTATTTGAAGCATCTCCTTTTCACAAACTTAGGACCCTAAAATTAACATGGCTTTTTAATTCCAGTGCTCCAGTGGTAGAGGTGCATGTCCAGACATAACACAAGATGGCGCTGATGATGTTATGGATGTCCAGGGCAGAATGGTAGATGGTATAACATCTATAAGATACACACGTCCTTTAGGAACAGGTATTTTATCTCTTTATTTACATCTATAATAAGACACTCGTCCATAAGGAACAGATTGTGTTTTTAGATAATCTACATGTACTTTATTAACATCCCAGTTAACATCCATGAGATGTACTCATCCATAAAGAGCAGGTATTGTGTTCAATTACCCCAACAAACAACATTAATTGGTAGGGATATAGTTAAGCCCTATGCCTGTCAATCTGTCCAGAGCAAAACTCAAATACTAGTGAATTGATTTTCTTAATATTTGGTAGAAAGATGTCTATTTTGGTCAGTTGTTTTACTTAAAAAATATTCTTGCAAGAATCCATTATTGGCTGCTGCTTTGGAAATTGTGGGAATTTGTCACAAAAAGATTTTCATTTCTAACCAAAATAAAGAATATAACTGATTGAAATTTTTATAGCTTATATCCAAAAAATCAATTAGACATATATTCTTTGTTTTTGGCATGACCCCCAGGGGCTGTATACTAGGATTCAGAAAAATAGGAATTTTCATTAGTCTAGATCTTAATTTAATCTTAATAATGATTATCCTAAATGAGATCACAAATATTGTATTGACCCAAAATATTTAAATTGGTGAAAATTCTGATATACCTTTGCGTCCAATATCTTGTCTTATATTATTTGCATATAAGGGTAGAGGAGATGATAAATATTATTTTGTGACATGAAAAAATCATGAATATTTTGTTCATTTGGATTTGATACTCTGTGAAGTTGAAGATTGAAGTTTTTCGGCATTCTGGGTAGATTTCAAGTTGGCCATTTTGGAATTATCCGTCTTAAAATTGTGTCGGTAAAGTCTTGTTCACTCACTTTTAGGATAGCCGGATCAATTTCAAATTTTCAGGAATATGATTGTTAATGTGAAGATTTAGGACTGATTAGTTTTTCAGCATTATGGGTAAATGTTAAGGCAGCCATTTTGGAGTTACCATCCTAAAATCTTATCTGTAAAGTCTTGTCTTCGCATTTTCAGGTTCACGGTTTGAGGACTCAATTTCACAGAACATACAGGAGATATTTTGGCACTTGGAGCCCTTTGATCGAAGGGTTATGAAAGTCCTGTTACAAACTTATGTAAAATTGAAATTTGTTCCCCTCCCAAGTTGCATCTTAATGAACACAATCAAAGTAATTATGAGTGCCAATTTTGCCAATGTCTCAATTAATGTCTATCATAATATCAATTACCTCACACTCACATAAGCTCTCTGTTGGTCTATTTCTGTTTACAATCTGACGTTCAGACCACAATTAAGTCAAACAAAACTGCAATTTAAATCTAAATGCAATCTGATGTTCACACCACAATTAAATCAAACATTGAAACAGCAATTTAAATCTAAATGCAATCTGATGTTCACACCACAATTAAGTCAAACATTGAAACTGCAATTAAAATCTAAATGCAATAAGGGATAAATGTTACCTTTATCTTGAGGTAACCTGGTCTATTTTTACTATATTATATGTCAAATTATTACGTCACCACTGGGGATTTCACTCCAATATACCTCTTAATACCTACCTAATATGTGTCGCTCCAAAGACCCCCTTTTAGAGCATTTTCCATGTCAATTTCTACTCAAGATTGAAGGTTTCCATGTTTAATTCCTCTATTATAAAAGTCTGTTTATTCATCTCAACCTCATAAATATGTCAATGTATAATTCCTCTTGTGGACCAAATTTTCCAAAATATTAATAAAAATGGCTAAATTGGCAACTCAATACCATTTTCTGTGGAAAACTGCATGATTTTTGACCTAAAAAAGTGCTGTCTTCGACAATTTTTTGGTTGATGCCCAAAGCCAAAATTGACAATGCTGCACATACCTACCCAAATTAAATTGAGTGAACTCCTGGGATGTCACCAACAGAAGTGGTGACATATTGTTAGTCTCTAATTTTTATTATGGACAGTGTGCATGTTAATCCTTTGTATTATATTGCATTTCATACGTAGCGAAGCATTTGCATGGGAGTCATTGGAAAGGTAGGTGGATTATATCCACCTGTACAGTATTTTGGCACTTTTGATATACATGTAGCTCACTTACCATGTTTTGAACTTTGGGATTCCCAGCTGTGATTCCCATTTGACCTATTTTTCATGCATTCATTTCAATGTGATTTACATGTAAAACTATTACAATGTTAAAGCTGCTCCACATCATCTAAATTACTGATATTATGAATATATTAAATGTCTACTAACAGATTGCTAAAAATATAGTGATATTAGGTATGTAATTCATCAGTTATTGGTCATTATGACGTAAATGAGCTCTCGTTGTTGTTGAGATTAGGCCTCCCAAGGCCTATATTGACAGAATTTGAGCATATTATCGGCATGGTGACATAACCTCTAAATATTATACAAGCTTCTCGATGCTTAAGTTTTTACAGTGTAATCATGTAATGATATGCAGTAATATATCAATAGGCAAGATGCGAGTACTAATTATTTTGATTTATGTCATTAAAAATTAAAAATTCAGTAAAAGTGATATCATATTTGAAATCTACATGTAAAATCACACCTAGAAATGTGGTTTTAAAAGTGTTTATCAACTTTGAAAATTTAATTTTCTTTGGAAACATGCCTTCTAGGTCAGGGAAATTCCCCATAGACCCTATGTTAAAAAATCTTCTTTTATTACTGGACATATTTTAATTTGTATAACTATCAGATACATAAGAGTAATATGAAAATTGAACAACTAAAACTGATGAATGCTCGAGTTAAAGTTAACTTTCTAATACCCTGCCATGTTATCTACCTCAAATTAGCCAACTGGTGGTGGAAACTACCTACTTGTATCTTGGTAATCGACAAAGAAAAAGCTAATTGAAATTCTAGAAATATTTTTGATGGAGATGCAAATGTTCCTAAAATGGGAGAAATAATATCTTGAGATATTTCAGTATGAGAAAGGTTAACAGACATTCGGGTCTGAGTGCAATGAAATAAATTTATGCTGTTTAATATTACAATATTGATATCTTATATAGTCTCTCAGAAAAACACATAGGGTATGGTTTTCAGTACATTCTGTAATTATTTCGAAACAAAAATGGAATATTAGAAATAGCATAAAACAAATAAAAGATAAAAAAAATCTGTTGGAGATTTTCATCTGGTTTCAGTATTTGGGCATAACTAAAACCACTGTAAGATTTTAATGTCAAATTTTACGTTGAAACCAGCAGTTAATATTCTTTTCTGTTATCATTCAAATACCTCTTATACTTATGCTATTTCAGAATTTATTGTATTATGCAATTTCTAAATTCAATGCAAAGAGTCTTTGGAATTTTCCTATGGATATTTTATGGCAACTTAAAAAAGTGATAGTAAAATAAAAAAGAAATGAACTTTTTGCCTCACCCTGTATATATATTTACTAATTTACATTTTCTTCATTAATTTGCTATTTATCCATGAAATAACTAGTTTATCCTTAATTTACTCTTTATTCATTATTTTACTGTTTTATTCTTTAATTTGCTATTCATCTATTGGATTTTATACATTAATTGTCATTTCATAATAACTTACTATTTCAGTCATTTTTACTATTTTATATATTTATTTACCAGGTGACAGCAAGGATCGTAACATTACTTTGGGTACAGAAATGGCTGTAGTGTGGGGAATAGGCAGACTTGGTCTTAACAAGCTGGTTACTTACCACAGCAAAAAGACAGCAGGTAATAATTGGTAAAAAGGAGTATAATAACTTAATGAACCAAGAATCCATCTTTCTCTATGGATTATTTTTTGAGAAATTAATATTTCGCATATAATGTGAAGTAGCAGGTTGTTTTGAAAAATGTTTATCAACTATGAACTATGTTCCATGAAAATTTGAACTTTTAGTTTTCCATGAAAATGTGATTTTTAGAGTAGATTCCCCATAGACCCAATGCAATAAAATCATAAAAAAGTGAAATATCTTTCCTTGTATTGAACAACGTTATAATTTCATTTTACTGAACACATTTTAGTAGCTATCACAGTACAATATATTTCATGTGTAGAAAATATATATTTATAAGTATAGTATACAAATAGTGACTGCCATTGAGGGAAATAGTGCAAAATATTTTCCTCAAGGGAATATCCTGTCCACTGACATGTTCCCGAGGCTGCAGGCCGAGGGAACAAGTCAGTGGACAGGATATTCCCGAGAGGAAAATTTTTACACTATTTCCCGAAAATGTGGCAGTCACTATTTGTTTTATTATATACCTGATAAGTACTCTGTAAACAAAAACAAAATGAGAAGTCTTTTCATTTCAATATCAAATGTTCACAGGTTCTTATTGGCATTTAAAGGCATTTTACCTTTCAACTCCTATAATCTCAGATTTGGGGGAAGATAAAATGTACTATTGACTGGTCACATGACCTAACTGGTGATTAGTACAATTCATCTTCCCTGAAAGCAGGGATTTAGGACTTTCCAGGGAATTAGTTCATCTATTCCATGTCATGTGACCATGAATAAGCCAATGAGCATCTAGAATACATTTGAGGTATATAATAATACTATATATAGTACTCCGTATTTTTTAGATCTTATTTTGGACCATAATGTTTGAGTTGAGTTATATTTTCTGGATGTTGAATGAAATTAAATTCAAACAATGTAATTTGTTTTCAGAATTAAAGAAGGTTAATTTTGGAAGGACTGCAATGCGTAACTGCCCAAATCTTAATACTGGAAATGATGGGCCTGCTCCAACCCCTTGGAAGAAAATTGAACTATTTGGAGCAATGAATAATACATTTACTGCCAAAATTGGACCAACTGGAGGAAAACAGGGGTACGAGGCTCTCACTGGTAAGTCCAACTTATGTACATTGATCCTATTATTACCCTTACATACCATTAACCATTATAGATCATTGTTTCTATTTCAGGATGGCTATCATATGGAATACCCTTTCATACCATTACCATTATAGATCATTGTTCACCATTTCAGGATGGCTATCATATGGAATACCCTTTCATACCATTACCATTATAGATCATTGTTTGCCATTTCAGGATGGCCATCATATGGAATACCCTTTCATGCCATTACCATTATAGATCATTGTTCGCCATTTCAGGATGGCTATCATATGGAATATCCTTACATAGCATTACCATTGTAGATCATTGTTCGCCATTTCAGGATGGCTATCATATGGAATACCCTTTCATACCATTATCATTATAGATCATTGTTCACCATTTCAGGATGGCTATTATATGGAATACCCTTTCATACCATTACCATTATAGATCATTGTTCGCCATTTCAGGATGCCTATCATATGGAATACCCTTTCATACTATTACCATTATAGATCATTGTTCACCATTTCAGGATGGCTATCATATGGAATACCCTTTCATACCATACCATTATAGATCATTGTTCACCATTACAGGATGGCTATCATATGGAATATCCTTACATAGCATTACCATTATAGATCATTGTTCCCCATTTCAGGATGCCTATCATATGGAATACCCTTTCATACCATTACCATTATAGATCATTGTTCACCATTTCAGGATGGCTATCATATGGAATACCCTTTCATACCATTACCATTATAGATCATTGTTCGCCATTTCAGGATGCCTATCATATGGAATATCCTTACATACCATTACCATTATAGATTATTGTTCGCCATTTCAGGATGCCTATCATATGGAATACCCTTTCATACCATTACCATTATAGATCATTGTTCACCATTTCAGGATGGCTATCATATGGAATACCCTTTCATACCATTACCATTATAGATCATTGTTCGCCATTTCAGGATGCCTATCATATGGAATACCCTTTCATACTATTACCATTATAGATCATTGTTCACCATTTCAGGATGGCTATCATATGGAATATCCTTACATAGCATTACCATTATAGATCATTGTTCCCCATTTCAGGATTGCTATCATATGGAATACCCTTACATACCATTACCATTATAGACCAGTGTTTCCATTTCAGGATGGCTATCATATAGAATACCCTTACATAGCATTACCATTATAGATCATTGTTCACCATTTCAGGATGGCTATCATATGGAATACCCTTTCATACCATTACCATTATAGATCATTGTTCGCCATTTCAGGATGGCTATCATATGGAATATCCTTACATACCATTACCATTATAGATCATTGTTTGCCATTTCAGGATGGCTATCATATGGAATACCCTTTCATACCATTACCATTATAGATCATTGTTTCTATTTCAGGATGGCTATCATATGGAATACCCTTACATACCATTACCATTATAGATCATTGTTCACCATTTCAGGATTGCTATCATATGGAATACCCTTTCATACCATTACCATTATAGATCATTGTTTCTATTTCAGGATGGCTATCATATGGAATACCCTTACATACCATTACCATTATAGATCATTGTTCACCATTTCAGGATTGCTATCATATGGAATACCCTTTCATACCATTACCATTATAGATCATTGTTTCTATTTCAGGATGGCTATCATATGGAATACCCTTACATACCATTACCATTATAGATCATTGTTTCTATTTCAGGATGGCTATCATATGGAATACCCTTACATACCATTACCATTATAGATCATTGTTTCTATTTCAGGATGGCTATCATATGGAATACCCTTTCATACCATTACCATTATAGATCATTGTTTCTATTTCAGGATGGCTATCATATGGAATACCCTTACATACCATTACCATTATAGATCATTGTTTCTATTTCAGGATGGCTATCATATGGAATACCCTTTCATACCATTACCATTATAGATCATTGTTTCTATTTCAGGATGGCTATCATATGGAATACCCTTACATACCATTACCATTATAGATCATTGTTTCTATTTCAGGATGGCTATCATATGGAATACCCTTACATACCATTACCATTATAGATCATTGTTCACCATTTTAGGATTGCTATCATATGGAATACCCTTACATACCATTACCATTATAGATCATTGTTTCTATTTCAGGATGCCTATCATATGGAATACCCTTACATACCATTACCATTATAGATCATTGTTCATCATTTCAGGATGGCTATCATATGGAATACCCTTACATACCATTACCATTATAGATCATTGTTCATAATTTCAGGATGCCTATCGTATGGAATACCCTTACATACCATTACCATTATAGATCATTGTTTCTATTTCAGGATGGCTATCATATGGAATACCCTTACATACCATTACCATTATAGATCATTGTTTCTATTTCAGGATGGCTATCATATGGAATACCCTTACATACCATTACCATTATAGATCATTGTTTCTATTTCAGGATGGCTATCATATGGATAAACTTTTCATACCATTACCATTATAGATCATTGTTCGCCATTTCAGGATGGCTATCATATGGAATACCCTTACATACCATTACCATTATAGATCATTGTTTCTATTTCAGGATGGCTATCATATGGAATACCCTTACATACCATTACCATTATAGATCATTGTTTCTATTTCAGGATGGCTATCATATGGATAAACTTTTCATACCATTACCATTATAGATCATTGTTCGCCATTTCAGGATGGCTATCATATGGAATACCCTTACATACCATTACCATTATAGATCATTGTTCACTATTTCAGGACGACCATCATGGGGAATAGCTTGGTACATAAACAACATTCTGATTCCTGAAGTGTATGTTGTACGCAATACCACATATAAGTTTATCATAAATGGGGGAAATGATCCTGTGAATTCAGCCAAGAATCATCCCTTCTACCTGACTAGTAGCCCAGATGGTGGATACATTCAACTGGGTGCTGATGAAAGAAAGGTACAGTAGGTCTAATCACTTTAGTTGCTGCAGAGAAAAATTAAATTGCTGAGTTCCAAATGTTTTACATTTTAAGTCCAAAAAGAGAAAAGGTTTAAAAGCATTTGAGAGATATACATGGGAAAACAATTTTGCCATGATAAATTGAGTGAAGTAATCAAAATTGGAAAAAGAGAAAATGTTGAGTCAACTTCAATAGACTATTTGCTAAATACGTACATGGTAGCAAGTGTGTTGGTAGAGCCAGAATACACATACAAATATCACTACTCAGAAAAAATATCACACGAGGCAGAGCCCTCGAGGTGATATTTCACATAATATTCACATTTCACACACCCCATCATGTAATAATGCTATATTATACAAATAATGACTGCCATTGAGGGAAATAGTGCAAAATATGTCAGTGGACAGGATATTCCTGAGGGGAAAATTTTTACACTATTTCCCGAAAATGTGGCAATCACTATTTGTTTTATTATATACCCAATATGTACTCTGTAAACAAAAACAAAATGAGAAATCTTTTCATTTCAACTTTTAATGTTGACAGGTTCTTATTGGAATTTAAAGGTATTTTGTCTTTCAACTCCTATATTCTCAGCTATCAGGGAAGATAAAACATACTAATAACTGGTCACATGACCTAACTGTGGATTAGTACATTTCATCTTCTCTGATAGCAGGGATTTTAGGGAATTAGTTCATCTATTTCATATCATGTGACCAGAAAAAATAAAAATAATTCAGAAAAAATTTTATGATACAAATAGGTATTGATGGTCGTGATAAAATATGAATTTTTTCCTTGAGAAAATATGACATTGGCCTCTGAAAATATCATATTGACACTTGGGCTATCACCCTCGGTCAATATGATATTTTCCTTGGCCAATATCATATTTTCACTCAGAATAAAATTGATATTCCATCCCTCCCATTAAATAACCTCTTAGTCTATATATTGATAGGACGGAGATGCCTTGACACGGTCTTTCAAACCAAACTATAATCCCACACTTTTAATAACACAGTGTTTATTACACTACTTATGATATTTTTATCACAATATTTATATATTGTTTGTCAAATCATACCATTTCATAATATTTCTGAGGACAATTACAAAACAACAAGTTCAATTGCAAAACGACATCCCTCAATTCCAAAATGATGATGCTATTGTTTGAATGATTCACAATTTACATACACCATTCCTCATAGATATGGAATGTTTTCTAAATTACCATTGATTTCAACACCCTCTCATATATTATATTAATGAAGGTGGATTTTCCAAATATTTTTTCATAGATGGTCAGGAAAAATAAACTAGACATATTTGTTATTAACAACAACATTATTCGTTTCCCATGAATTCATTCAGAATTTATTGAAATCTTCTTAAAATCACTTGAAATATTCTGCTAAAAGAGCATCTTCTTCAGACTAATCAAGGTTTTCTGGAATACCCTTTTAACTGAACATTTTAGATCAATCATTCTTGCACACACTAAAACCTGTAAAGTGGATCACCTCAAGAAGTGGAACACCTCTGTTAGTGGAACACTTTTCAGGAACCAAAGGTGTTCCACTTGGACAGATTTTACTGTACTTTCATAACATTAAAACTTGTAATTCATTGTATATAGTAAAGACAATATACTGTTTTTGTGAAGTGCCCAATATTCCATATATTTGACCAACAGTGTATTGGTTATGCCCTTGTCCTTGAATTGACCATTTCAGTTATATGTAATAGGCATAAGCAGTAGGGGATGTTACTTACAATTAGGATAGTTGTTGACAAGAAGATGCTATGAATGCCTGGAGGTCCATCATGTTTTCATAATTGTTGTTATATGATTACTTTACATTGGTGTTTTTATTAAATGTTGAACTTATTCTGAAAATATTTACAAATAACGTTCATGAAATCAAAATTTTTACAGTCAATATATATAAATATATTATATGAATAGGGATGTGAATAAAAGAATGTACAATGTAGGTAGTTTTAGTTACCATGGTGATGATTTAAGGGGTTGCATATAGATAAATGTTCAATGTCTAATTCTTTGTTCTAGCAAGTGGCATCATTTTTCATATAATTCTGGATTTACTCCTAGACCTAAAACTCGATATTCGACCTTGACCTTGATCGATGAAAACATTGAAAATGTCATTATTTTCTATATTATAAGTGACTATGAATTCATAATCAGCAATCCAAAATATTTGAACTAATATTTTGATCACTTCTTGTGCATTTGAAATTTTTTATTTGGAAATAAGACCAAAACTCACAATCAAAATTCTGAAGTGAAAAATGGCGGCTATTTGATTTCGAATTTTGCAATCATGGCATGTCTCCATATATGGCAGAATATCGAGATGGAACCCTATCCTCCTTGTTCACAGGTTCTCAATCTGTTATACCACACTGAGAGAATTTCACAAAGAGCTTATAAAACATCTTTTAATGAAAAGGCATGATAAATTAGAGTTTTTGTGAAAACCTAACCAAGGTGTTAACTCTTGACAAGTCCATTTATAAAGGTTGCACGTTTTTAAGGTAGCGTGCAGGAAGCATCCACATGATACTGCTTATTTACAATCACTTAATGATTTTTATACGATTTTTAGGAGGAAAGAGTATTTGCTGGTGTGGAAGATGGGAATGCCACTGCTGGTGAGTACTTGAATTCCACTCTTAAAATTTTCAAGTTTCACCAATATGCTTATAGTCGCTCATCCCCTATCAAAAAGTGCTATTTCTCCACATGTTGTACTAAGCTATAGTATTGACTGTGTAGATACTATACATGAGTCATTCTTTTAATTGTCTGTCATACATCTTTATGTTTATGCTTAAACGTTAACAGATGACGTTAACTAATGAGAGGTGACATGATGGATATTCGACCTTTAACAGATGAGGTTATTCAAAACAAAACAGTTTAACTTTAAATAAACAGAATAGCACAAACAATCTTTATTCTTCTCTTTAAGCTGGGAGCTTGTGTCAGTACAAGGAAAGTGCGGGTATAAAGCCAAGTTATGCAACCTTTGACGAGTACTTTGATAACCTGCAGGAATTATGTGATGAGCCCAAGGAGCCAGCTGTCTTTGAGTGGACTCCTGATGCTGACACCCCTGATGTAGTATACTACCAGGTAAAGTCTAAAACTCAGATCACATTTGTGGCTATACAATGCATTCTGAATCTGATACTCATAGCATCTCTCTGTTTCACATGTCTCAGGGCTGGGAAGAGATGAGATGTCATGGTTTATCATGATGCTAAACATATACCTGATGCCTACCAGGTAAGGTCCTAAACACAAGTCACATTTGTGGCTATACACTGTACATGTACCTGTGCCCACAAGGTACCATTCAAAACACAAGTCACACTGTACATATACCTGATGCCTACCAGGTACAGTTAAAGAAAAATTCACATTTATACATGTATACAAATTCTTCCAAGCCTATCTTTACATTATGTTTTGGGGTCCCAATTATCTACCTGTATATGCTGTCATAATAATAATCTTATCAAAACCACAGTTGACTTCATATTGAGTTTGAGATAAAATATTAAGATTTGTTATATTCATTTTACATGAGAAACTGAAGGTCAAGTAGTTTATAGATATTAATATCCTGTTCATATACACGTATCAATAACAAAAATAAAAATTAATTCTTCCACCTACTGATAATTAATGTTGATGAACAATAACCATAATAATGATTTTGTGTTTATACTGCAAGATCATTAGGAATAGAACTTATGTGCGTACATAAAGCTTAGTGTGTTTTGTCGTTAGTTGCTACATGTATGGTGATTTATAGGATGAATGTGGTTAAGAAGGGGAACACTCATATTGTACCACAAACCTTTATTTTGTTTATTTCATATTAATGTAAAGTATTCCGAAAATAGATGCTGGATACATACAACAAAATAAAAGAACTATAAAAAGTTTAGAAAAACAGTTGCTAGTTATTGAAAATAATTCTCCGACACTCCATATATTTGTAAACTCTTATTCCAGTGCTTCACCCACAAATATCTGGGCTGGAAGATGCGAGTAGTTGATGAAATGCCCACCAGCAGTTCAAGTACTACAGTGGCAGCCATGATAACACTGTTGCTCAACTATCTGATGACCCGACTTCTTAGGTAGTTATTCATAGCAGGAGGACTGTAATGCAAAATAACACAGACAATATTTGTATCATATACAAAGCAATGAAATAGAAATCATTGGTACTCTAAAAAGTATATATTTTAATTACATGTCTTTATCAGGGGCGTAGCCAGCTTTTAGCGGGGGGGGGGTGCGATCGCCAATTTTTTCTGTTCAGTCAGGGGGGTGCGATTGACTGATTTCTTTTCAGTTTTCCGTCAAGGGAGTGTGACCGTGGCATAAGCAAGGCAAAAATTGTTTTGAATTTTACAAAAATTGATGCAACATCCTTAAAAATTCAGCTAGAAGCTTCAAATAAAAAGTATTTTAAAGCTCTTTTCTTCTATCTACTGGTTGTATTTTTAGGGTGGTTATGGGGGTGCAATCGCATCCATCGAATTTTGCAATACTAAAGGTGTCTACATTGTATTATACATATGATTTTTTATACGACTAAAAGAATTCCACTTCAGATATATATGTGCTCATTTAAATATATTCGTTTTGTCATCGTTGATGCCCTCATTTGTTGACAAATATATGTGCATAAATGCCCTCTCAAATTTAGGTTAAATTCTTGGCCATTTATTTTGGGCATTCTGTAATGTAATTTGTAGTAGTCAGTAGTGCATAAAATGTATTTTACTACAAGTAGTTGTATAAATCATTTTACCATATTGAATTACAAGTATGTGTATTTCCATGGGCTTTTTAGTCTAGTTGAAAGCCCATGGTATTTCTAATGTCAATAGAGTATATATAAAGTACTGCAAGCTATCGCGTCCAGTGGCGGATCCAGAAATTAAGAAGGGGGGTGCCCAAATTTTGAGTCTGGGAAAAAATTTCCTTGTGCGGAAAAAAATTTTGGGCCCCTAAAATCAAAAATCTAAGGGGGTGACAAAATTGCGAGCAATATGTATAATTTGACCTCCCAATGTATCCTTCACAAGCTCAAATATATCTCCCAAACGATCCATAATATGTTATCAAAGTTATTTAAGTTTGTTTTCACGAATGCAACTTTCAACTAGTGGCTACCGAGTTGATTGCAATTTGGTGCCAAACTCATTTAAATATGAATAGTACCATGGGCTTTCAACAGATATCTTGAAAGCCCATGATAGTACCTGCCGTGTATTATGGTGTAAAAGAAATTATGGTCCCCTGGGGATTATGGTCCCCTTTACTTACGGCCCTTACTGGCCCTGACTGTGGATAAATAATAAGGAAAATAATTGTGATTAGGTCACCATATAAATCAATAGAGAGTAGGACCAAAATTTGATAGGACCACCTACCCTTTTACACCGGTAGCCGCAAGTTATATCGCGTCAAACCCAATCCCTTACCTAAATAACGGTTATTCTGCCTATTTAGCAGCAAGTAACAATGACCTACGATATGTTTGCTAATTATCCCACCGAACGAAGTTCGAGGGGGATATAGAAAAGCCGTTCGTCCATCCGTCCGTTCGTCCGTCCGTTCGTCCGTCCGTCCGTTCGTGTGTCTGGGCAATAACTCAAATACCTGTTGACGGATTTCATTCAAATTTTATAGGCTTATGCCTTATGGGTGTAGGACCTCTGCTCAAGAAGGAATTTTCGATATGGCCGCTAAATTAAAAATGGCGGCCATTTTTCGGAAAAAATATAATCTTTAATAACTCAAATACTAGTGGATGAATTTGGTTCAAATTTTATATGCTGTTGCCTTGGTACAAAGGAGCCTTGCTTAAGAAAGGATTTTCAAGATGGCAGCTAAATTTCAAAATGGCGGCCATTTTTCATAAAAACAACATTATCTTTGATATCTCAAATACCATTGAATGTATTAGGTTTAAATTTTAGATGCTGATGCCTAGGGACATAGGAGCTCTGCTCAAGAAAGGATTTTCAAGATGGCAGCTAAATTTCAAAATGGCGGCCATTTTTATAAAAAAACATTATCTTTGATAACTCAATTACCATTGAATGGATTTGGTTCAAATTTTACATGATGATGCCTAGGGACATAGGAGCTCTGCTCGAGAAGGGATTTTCAAGGTGGTAGCTAAATTTCAAAATGGCCACCATTTTTCATAAAAGAACGTAACCTTTGATAACTCAAATACCAGTTGACGGATTTATTTTCAAATTCTATATGCTGATGCCTAGAGACAAAGAAGTTCTGCTCAAAAATAAATTAGTGGATGGATTTGGTTCCAATTTTATATGCTGATGTTTAGGGAAAAAGGAGATCTGCTTCAGAAGAAATTTCAAAGGCAATAGCTGAATTTCAAAATGGCTGCTATTTTTCATTAAAAAAGTAATCTTTGATAACCCAGATACCATTGGACGGACATTCTCTGCTAAAGAAGAAATCTAAAGATGACAGCTGAATTTCAAAATGGCAACCATGTTTCATAAAGACATAATCTTTGATAATTCAAATACCAGTGGATGAATTTGGCTCAATTTTTTTATCAAAACATGTTTTGTTCGGTGGGATTTGCTACTCCGTGGAGTTGCTGATTTCTAGTTCAACCGAGTTGTTATAATTGATCATTACAGTTGCATTAAAATCATGCGATCACTGTTCGTCAACTTCAAAATGGCGGTTTAATTTATGAAAATTAACATGTTAATCTGGTAGCCAACAGCCGAAAGTTCCATCCGCGAATTCAAGCTAGGATTCACATACAAAAATGGAGGGAAAATGTTTAAATCCTCCCAAAAAATAAAAATGGTTTTGGCACTTACATGAAGGAATATGTGAAGTGATGCATTCTTGCTTGAACTAGTGTACATACATTTTACTCTAATGCTTTACATTTGTGAATATGAAAAATAATAAAATGTTTTATACAATGACACAATATCTTGTGTTTGTTTTAAAATACTATATCTAGTAGTTGAGTCAATTAGCAGTGAAATTGAACACTCTATAGTAGCCGAGACAACAGAAGTCCCAAGTCTGTATATGTACTCTCATTTCTTCACTTTTATGAATTAAGTCACAATATTTTGCATGCATATTCCTTGGAGAAATCCTAACATGGAATTTCATTGGTTTTGATTATAATTTATTTGTTAAAAATAGGGAAACATTTAATTTTGATTGGTCTATAACCAAAATTTGCCATTTTGTAACAAATGCAACATTTTGACGAAATTAATAAAAGTCTCTGCTTTTGGTGAAATAACTCCAAAATGACCAAATGTTTTCTTATTCAGCACAAATGTAACTGTTTTACGAAGTTGAGACATTTCCGAGAAAAAATGGTATGCAGAAACATGATATTTTAAATAAAATGGGGCCAAAAATGACCCATGAAGATGCCTGCATTATTTGAGATTTTAGCATGTTTCAATGGCCTGAAAAATGGATGGGGTAGGGGAGTGGCATACCTTTGAGCTTATTCCAGTTACCATTTTAATCAAATGAATGATGACATATTTGGTATCATCTAAAAGCTTGTAATGTGTGCTTCAATTTGGTACCCATATTATGGCATCAAATTATATATTATGACACCACAGTGGTACCAAAACGACCTTAAATGGAAAAAGAAGCACCAAAATGCAGCAAAATAACGGTGCGACTCCAACATTCTTTTGACAATTCACTACTTGCCACAATCAATGAATGCATTTCTCATTGAGGTACACTTCCAATGCACGATCTGATGACTGGTAAAAAATAGCTACACAGGCAAATTACATCGGACCCCGTACACGCCCGTACGGAGCTCGTTTTGTCAACGGACCCTGTACAACCTCATACGGGCCTCGTTACGAGTCTTGTGATTGCTTGTAATTTTCAAGCCTCGTAAGAGCTTGTGATTACAAGGCCTGTAATAGCTCGTAATTCTCGACCCCCGTACTTTACCGTACGGTGCCCGTAACGAGCACCGTAATAAATCGTAATTTTCGATCCCCGTACTTGCTCGTACGGTGCCTGTTACGAGGCCCGTAATAGCTCATAATTTTCGAGCCGTGTACTTGCCTGTGCAATGCCCGTAACAAGGCCCGTTATGGCTCGTAATTTTCAAGCACTGTACTTGCCCGTACGGGGATCGTAACGAGGCTCGTACATGTAATTGCTCGTTTATTTTGATGAATTCTTTTTGATCGATGAAATAAAATACAGCATATATGAGAAATGACAATTCAATTATATCCATTTATGAATTAATATGTCTTCAATAATTTCAAAATATTCACATGTCTGTATCAACATGATAAACAGTACAGTATAATAGCTAGGAAACAAAATAAACAGGAGGGTTACCAATAAGAGACACCATATTTCTCTACAAGTGAAGTAAATGCATATAAAACCATTTGCGTGCTTTATTAGGATGAGTTGAAATGTGATGTAAATAAATGTTATTGCTATCGAATGTGTGAATAAAAACATCATTCTAATATCATGAATAAGCATGGTCTGGCCAAATACGAAATTCGTGCATGAAGCATGATAGCAATAATTTTTTTGTTCGGAGTTCGATAACGGGCCTCGCACGAGCTCGTACGGGCCTCGAAATTGCGAGCCTCGTACATGCTTGGACGGGTCTCGGAAACAACAATTACGAGCATCGTACGAGCTCGCACGGGCCTCGAAAACGAGCTTCGTGCGAGCCCGTACGAGGATGGTGCTCCTTTTTGCCCGTAATGACTAGTAATTCTCGAGGCTCGTACGAGCTCGTACGGGGCCCGATGTAATTTGCCTGTGTAGTGATATTTAGAGTTATTGTCAATAAGATTAGAGACACTATATTGTATCTGTCATTTATAACTTTTTTTTAGTTTTATTAATAATGTCAAAATGTTGCATTTGTTGCACAAAATGGAAAATTTTGATAATAGACCAATCAAAATCAAATGTTTCCCTACATTTAACAAATAAATTATAATCGAAACCAATGAAATTCTATGTTAGGATTTCTCCAAGGAATGTGCATGCAAAATGTGGTGACTTAACTTGTAAAAGTGAAGAAATGAGAGTAAATATACAGACTTTGGACTTCTGTTGTCTCGGCTACTATATTATAAAACACCATTTTTAACCAAAGTATCATTAATACATATATTTCTACTGAAATGGTGTTGAAAAGTGGCCCCAGTGGATACCCGGGAATGGTTATTAGCAGGCCTCGAAAGTATTGACACTTTTAAATTGACTCCCATGTTAATTTATCAATCTTCAAAATGAAGATGATTATAAAGCTGGACTTTGGTTAGTTTCAAAGATATTGGCGTTTGAATTTTGGAAAATCCCCACTATTATAAACTGCTTAAAATAAAGAGGGACTAATACTTTCATAATACTCCGAAAAATCAGAATACCATAGGTACTAGATGTATAGTCACGCGTGATAGTAGTAAAATACCAAATGACGTCGTTAATGACGATAATTTTATGAACGGTTAAATAATTAGTATCAAGAAAATTAATACGCTTTTTTTGTGTGCGCCAAGTTCATCGAATGTGATTGCCGTAAGGTTGTTGTCACGAACCTCCGATCACATTTATAGTCTTTGTACACATAACTCCAGCAAGAGGAAAAATCAGCCCTTTGGATATTCGCGTTCCCGTTTGCGTCCTTTCACTCAAATTCGGATATTGGTTAATAATGTATAATATGGAATGTGCTGTGAACTTTTTCATTGGACATGTACTCCAGCTTCATTTTGTACCCTTGATTAAGACGTTAGTTGTATACGCATATTATGACGTCAAAATGATTAAATCAGTAATTTAAAACTGACCCTGGAACTGTTGAATTAATGAGTCTTAAGGGTAGAGTGAACGCTTACAAGTAGTTTCACCTTAAAATAATAGATCTAAAAAAACTAAAACTCAACACTAAGCGTGTTTCTTATCGTGTGTCTGCCTAGGCACCCCAAGATATCATGGTCTGTTTGTTCTTCATATCTATGTAGATATGTAATGTGAAAGTGAGTTTCGTCACACACGTCATTCACCATTCTGATACTCATAGCATCTCTCTCTGTTGCATCGCAGATCCAGAACACTGGCGGATTAGGGGGGGGGGGCCTGGGGGCCCGCCCCCCCCCTTGGGTGGGCCCAGAAAAAATTTGGGCCCACTTTTGGGTTTTAGGGGCCCAAAATTTTTTTACGCGCAAGCGCGGACGGTTTTTCCTCTGACCTGAAATTTGGCCACCCCCCCCCCCTTGTTGCTTCCCAGATCCGCCCCTGAAGAAGGATAGAGATGAATAGGGCGTGGATTACCACGATGGTCATTCACTAGAATGGACACGCTTATTTAATTGGCAGCCACCTAGAAATGCAGTAACATATAGTTTTAGACCAATCTTGCCAACAATAAGAAATATTTTTTGCCCACCCTGTACCTGAAACATGTTTTCGTTACTTTGCTAGTTACGATACGATTTCGCCGGTTTACGCTTTATCAGCCTCCCTTTGAGAGTTACTTAGTACTAGGCCTTGTGTGTTACTTTATGTCACAACCACAAGTAGTGACAAATTGTTATAGTCTCTAACTTTTTGTGAACGGAGTTTGGCGGTCGGCGTCTGTAACAAATGGCAGGAGGTGACATTTGCATGTTAATGTCTTGTTTTTATCTGCTACGGTGTGGTTGATTTATAGCAACTTTTGATATGTCTTTTCAATAGATCTCATACCTTAGAAGCTAAGTAGTAGTTTTATGCAAATTCACAAGACATAACTTTACCAAACTGTTTATCATTCATTTTGCGTTTATTTGTAAACTTTCTCTTGAAAATATAAATGTTGAAAATTTGTTTAATTTTCTTGCAAATTAATCTTTGATCTCCACTGTCTTTCCTCAAACCCCTTTGTACCACCCTTTTAATTGATTGAATTGGGAATAAGATTGGGAGAGACTAGCGGAGGATGCAAGACTTATTTTCATGCAAAACGTTTATTGATCAATATTAAATATTCCATTGTATTTCTGAGATAGTAGTTATAGACTTAGTCACCAAAATTGTGCAGATCCCAGTATGTGACCCATAGACCTGTTACAGATTAAGATTTAGGCCTATATTTACGGCTTCAAATCAATGTCTTTTCATGTCAATGTAAAACACTGTATTTGAAACATTTGAAATAAAGTGAATTGAATTGAAAAAAAATCATTACTAGCTAAGAAGATGAGATTACTTTAATTCAGAAAAAAATAAATAAAAAATGATCGCTTCTTGTACAAAACTGTTCTCTATCTTTGTCCCTCTATCTCGTCGTCCAAGACGTTGCACACGGGGAGGTTTATCTTCTTCTTAACATTAATTGCATTTTGACTTTGTCTTTGTCCTTTCTTTTCTATTCTTTCTGTTTTTCTCCTTTTTCTCTCCCTCCTTTTTCTCTTCCTCCTTTTTCTCTTCCTCTTTTTTCTCTTCCTCCTTTTTCTCTTTCCTCTTTCTTTCTTTTTCTTCTTTTTCGTTCTGCCTCAATTGTTGTCTCTGAAAAACGAGGAAAATATCATTCTAATGCACAGTCGTTAGACGCTTCTTTTTATGTTACATCATTAGCTAGAGTATTAATCTGAATTGCTTCCACTTTTTGTCACTCCTCTTGTAGCATTTGTGCTTCACTCACTTTGTAATCACTCTAACCTTATGAAACAAACAAGATTTTCTAAATGCTAGACCATTGTACTGTGGAACAAAAAAATGAATCCATTGGCTGGGTACGTGTACAGCAGCGTACGTCGACAATATTCACACTGAATACATAGGAATAATTCCGCCGTCTTTTGATCTACAAACAAAATGCACGGATCTCAAAAATAAAAACAATGGACCAAGAATTGACAATACCAGCAACGACACTGCACAGCGGTCAAAATTTGTTATCCCAAGATCGTTTGCGTCATATAGTACTATACTGTATATAAACAAGTTACATGATGTTTAAGAAAAATATATATTGTATAACTCCCATTTGTCATTCGACAATTATCACCTTGTCTTGAAAAGCCCTATAAAATGAGCAAAATAAGCAATCTTATCAGACAACAGCTCGACTTTGAAGAACTAAAAACCAAACAAGAACTTTCTGCCAATATATACACATATATATATTATATACATTTCTGACGAAGATCGATCATGAACGGAAGAAGCTCGAGTACCAAGAGGAACGGTGGCAGTTCCAGAGTCAAATCCAGACCTCTCAGGATTGCGATAATGGGAGCAGCAGCGGTTGGCAAAACGTGCATCGTAAACCGCTTCATGAATGACACGTTTAACGAGAAACACAAAGCGACCGTGGAGGATTTTCATCAGAAACAGTACAAAATCAGCAAAAACAACGTTCAGTTGATGGAGATTGTCGATACGACTGGGAGCTACCAGTTCCCAGCGATGATGAGGGTTTCAATGACCATCAGCCACGCTTTTATTCTTGTCTTTTCCCTGGATGACAGCAAATCATTCGAGGAAGTTGACAGACTGAGACAGGAAATCCTCGAAGAACGGGGAGACAAACCCACATATATTGTCGTTGTCGCGAATAAATCCGACGTCCCTGAACGTGAGAGAGAGGTCTGTCCAATTACTGCTGAAATTGTGGCAACAGTAGATTGGGAATGTGACGACTTTATTCTGACATCTGCTAAAGATGATATCAATATCACCACCTTATTCAGTGAAATCACCAAAGAACATTACCTCCGAGAAAATGCACAATGTACAGATAGCCCTGCAACAGTTGCTCCAGGAGAGAGACGAAAATCAGTGCCATTGACTTTTATAAATTATACTTCTTCAAATTTAAGAAAATCAAAAGCTAACACAAGTTGTACAATTTCGTAAAGATAAGTTAAATACATGTATATTAAGAATATGTAAAAATGTTAATAGTGTACATATTAATAAATTCGCATATAAAATGATAAATTATTTTGTTATAATATGTCGAGGCATACAATTCTATAGTCTTTGTTTAGACGTTCACACGAAAGGAGTGGTATCAATGTTATATATGGAGAACTTTTTGAACACACGTTTCTCTTAAACCAGTCATAAATAAATCCTAAAAATTTTACAATTTCCTCAATTTAATGGCAATCTTTTGGATGGTAACAATATAAGTAACATCAACTATACCATACAGTGTTTTAACAGGAGTTTTAAACAAAAAATCTATATGTCTCGTTAAACAATCGGGAGTTTTTTTACAAAGACAATGTGGCTGAGGTTTAAACGTTAGTTTACTAGTAGAAAACCTGATGGGTTATGTCCCGTTAAAAAATCGGGAGTTTTTAACAAAATTATATATTTCTAAAACATAATTCAAATATGAACTTAGTTTGATGATGCCAATGAAAGAATGATGACCCTAACGCCGATAAGATTATGCGCACAATTGAATCAAAGTTTGATGATTCAAGATTAAAAATCGATAAAAGTAGTAACTAATTTACAACTTCATTGATGTAGAAATATTTCTCAAAGAATGTTGAAAAAGCCTACAATCCTACGCTAGACCCATATTGTCGCCCGCGGCCCGAGATTGTCGCAAGTAGTTTGCGACAACAACTTTTAGATTTGGCGCCAGAATAACCTTTGTACGGTGGTACGTCAAAACTGTTCCGGTGTAAAAGGGAGGTCCTCTCAAATTATGGTCCTACTCTCCATTGATTTATATGGTGATCTAAATACAACCCTTTCCCTTATTATCTTATATGTATATAAGGGGAAACAATATAATTTTGACATTTTGTACAATCAGGCCCAATAAGGGCCGTTTAGAAAGGGGACCATAATCCCCAGGAGACCATAATTTCTTTCACACCGGTCATGGTCGCACGACTTCAAAAAGTCAGCAAAAATAATGAATTGTTCTTTGTGCTAACTACATGCTAATTAGTATATAGCGATTCTTCTTTATTCCAGCTTATTACTGGTACATGTTTTAGAATTGAGGTGGCATAATATCGAATTCGAAGACATTATTACCTTTTGTTGAAGTCAGTTTAAAATTGGAGAATAACCTAATGTTAAAATCAGTTGAAGAAAGGGGTCTTACTGCCAGACTAGAGAACTTCTTGCCACTCCCTCCTTTTGAACCAAACTACGACATTCCCATTCTGTAACAATTTTATTGAGGAGCCTTTCACGTTAGCGTTGTATTGATTCATCCACAACTTGACAAGTCGAGAATAGATGGACTGCTGTTGGAACATTTGAAATCTTGTGAATCAAGATGCCTTCTTTAAAAGATTAGCACCGAGCCGGGGCACCGAGGTCCATTTTTGAATTTTATCTCTTACCCTACTATCACACCAAACTAGTTCTCACTACGTTCTCGAAAACGGGCTTCAACTGTGTACGAACGGACTGGACCTACTAAGAACCGTTTGGGATCTATTTACAAGCTTCATCGAACGTACTCGAACGGGTAGGTCCTATAGAACTTAGACAATGCTCAAAATGTTCTCGTGGTCGTCACGTTCTACAATTAAAACGAGTGACAACGTTCTAACGACGAGCTGGACGTACTACGAACGGAACCGTCGTACTTCAATCCTACTAGGGACGTTTTAACAACGAGTTGAACTGTCTGAGGACGTGTTGAGAACGAGGTAGAACTAATTGCAAACGGGTTTAAACTGATTAAGAACGTATTTAACACTGCTCGTGAACGAGTTAGCAAAAATATAGCTATCACACCAAACAAGTTGCCACTGCGTTCTTCAAAACTGGTTTGAAACTGTGTGTGAACGGAATGAACGTAGCTGCAACTTTCTAAGGTCTATTTACGAACTTTATGAACGTTCTCAGACGGGAATGTGATTTTAGAATTTTGAATCGATTCAAAATTCGATGGCGACCATACCGTTCTGTAATCAGGTCATGTTGACCTTCTAGACTAAGGGACGCGTTCTACGACGTTGCACACCGACGTGGTGCGACCTGAACGAACTGCAAACGAGATGGACGTATTGAAGACTGTTTAAGAACGAAGAAGCTAATTATTTTAGATATATTTCCCGACCACAGCCAGATTGAGCCCGTTTTACGACGTTTTCGTAGGACTGGCAAGAACGGGTAAGAACTAGTTTGGTGTGATAGGGGGCAAGAATGATCAACATGTTGCAATTAGCATCCCTCTCACGATGATTAGCACCGGGATTAGCACCAACACGCGTTGGTAATATTTCATACGTAGTTTACAATACTTCGAATTCACAATATTAACAATTTTTGGTCTATTATTTGACATATAGATGCCCATACTAATAATCACTCGTACTTTTATTGCCTACTGATTACAAAAATACCGTTTCTAGTTGACATAATAGGGAGTTTAAGATAAGCGTAAATAACCCATTTACCTATACCTATACGTAGTTTGTTATTACACTAAGCGGTATTTTACCTAAGTTACAAGGTTTACGATACGTAATTACCTATAAATGGCCGAAGATAGGTAATTCGAAAACGTATGTTTTTATCAAACTAATTGTGTCATTTCTAGATCAAATATCATCTATTAAACTTTAAAATAGTAACACCAAACATTTCTCATTCGATCTGCATAGAAATTAAGTGCGATAAACGATGCCATGTGATGATGCATGCAATTGTTGAATTTACAAAATAATTCTTCATCAGTTTTGCTTATTGTAAATGTATGAAATCAGCCATTATATCGTGGTTTTAATTGTTTAACTTTACTATTTGGCCACTCTCATTGCTAGATCATGCTAGAAATTTAACATTTCGGCTTAAGTCACTGCCCCATTAGCGGACCCTCAAGCATCACCCCCTCCTAACTACAGTAGCTACACCACACACTCGCTGAAGTAAGTATATAACAATTTTTGGAGGTGACATGTACTGGTATATGCTATATAAGCCATCGTATGGTTTTTATTCTAATATGAGGAGTTAATTTTATCATAAATTGTAGCATACGGTTTCGTAGCCTTTTACGTTAATCTTAAACTCATTTTGCAATACGCATTACCTATACGTATCCGTAACAAACATACGGATAGGGATAGGTACACGTATATTTTTACGCTAATCTTAACCTCCCTAATATCTCATACGTACTTATTACATTCACAATAATGTTATTATTTGGTCAATTATTTGACATAAATGCTCGTGCTAATAATCACTCAATGCATTTTGTTGGCTACTATCTTCTACCTTTTTACGCAATTTCAATTATTTGTTTAGTGCTAAGATGAGGCTAAACACGCTATGTAAATCTCTTGTGCAAATCTTGTCTAGTCTGTCTCTAGAAATCTTGAATATTCCAAATAAAGAACTATAGTCTATATCCCACTCAGCTCTCTAGTTAAGGCTATAGGGTCACTTGGATGGACTATCGTGAGATACTGTTTGTAATTGAAATTGAAACAGAATATGTCACAAGTGATATTAACGGATCTGTCATATCTAAAACATGTAAATTTTTCGATAGGAAATAAGACCAAAATTCACGATTCAAATGTTGAAGTGAATAAAATGGCAGCTGTTTGAAATTCGAATTTGGTATCACGACATGCCCATATATATGGGACAGAATATCGATGTTGCACTCTGGTAGCCAATCCTCCTTGGAAAGGGGACACCAATCTCAGCGAACAATTATTTCTGTCACACTGTGCTAACGAGAAGTAACAGATGAGGAGGTTTGTTTCAAACGATGGTATGACATGTACCAGTAGACATGGATATATGGCATAAAGATATGTACATTATATTTGATATATAGATATGAACGTTTGATTTATAGATATGGAAATATGATATATGGATATGGATATGGATAAATGATATGGATTTGTGATATATAGATATGGATAAATCTAAAAATGCTTTTTACTATAGGTGGAGGAGGGGTAGTTGTTGTCGTGGAACCACTGTTGCGTCGTACTCTGTGTTTCAGCGCCTCCATCATTGTTTCACCACGCGCCTCTACACCAGCTCCTCCAGAGAGAGCAGGGCGCACCACCTGTAATGTACATACAGCTCCGTATAGTTTAAAGGAGTTATATACGAGGGTCGTCCAAAGTCCAAAAAGTCTTGAACTTTTGCTCGACTCTAAAAAGGTTTTTGTAAACTCTTACTGAAACTTGATACACGCCCGGTGATCACACAAAATGGATGGAAGGGGGAGTAGGCGATTACTGCAAGAAAACTCAACAAATTTGGAAGTTTTATTTTTTCAAGAGAAAATTTACAACTGATTTTCCAAATGAATAGGCGCAGTGCATGACAAAATATGTTAGGTCTTCTAGTATTTTTTTGAACTGATACGCTTCTAAGATATGAGATCTATTAAAAAGAGGGCATCCACACTAGCGTGCAAAATTCAATGTTTTTGCTATAAATCATGCAACAATGGTCTACACTACGTGTAATAAATAGGTATAAGGGACGTTATTATCACAACACTAATGACATTGCCCACTTAGTTTCCATGCGTTATACAAAAAATAATCAAATTAAATTAATATTTGATGGAGGGGAGTGGATAAATTTCGGGGATCCGAGTCCTTTTTTGGGCTCGCAGTGATGCACTGAACTGAGTTAATCGGAACGATTTTACACTCGGTGAACTAAAGTGCCCGCTAAAGTGCTTATAGTGTTATGATCAGAAAGCTATTTTCTTCATTCATGTTAATAATTGTTTTTAGCGCCACATGTTTTATTAAAAACGTGTTGTTATGATGAAACTGTATTTACAGTTTACTGACCGTATGTAATACCATGATTGACAACCGTTTACGTACGTCTGTGAAGCTCCAAGTGTTCTGGGCTACTTAAGTACTTATTCCGACACTTGCCGAAGTACTCTGACTTGACCCAAGTATTCTGGGTTTACTCATTTTATACACTCCTGTCGTATGGTATACAATTTTCAATTCAATTTTATGTTTCTTCCGAAGATGATTGTTGAAATTAAGTCAATGGAACCACTTATAATGACACATTTGTGTCTGCATCGTGCACGAACAGCCTTCTGTTTATTTATATAACTAACAGCGTATCCGTTGAGGAGTGGTCAGATCCACGGATGTTCGACTTTTGCACCATAACACTCTTGAACAATAAACATTTCGATAGAATATATGAATATATTTAGGCTAGGTCTCAAATTCAGGAATATGCCTCTCTTTGGAAAAATTGGCCTTTTGAAAAAATGGGCTTCGATTTTGACTTTCAAAAATTCGGTTCAAATTTTCAAAAAGGGACAACAATTTGGGGCCAACATCTATTTCCCGCAAAATTATTTTTGGCATCCTCTCTTGTGAATTTTCAGATCAGATAAAATAAGTGAACTAGGAACACTTGTTTTCAGGACAGTTTGTCAAGAGTCAGAATACTTGTGTAGCCCAGAACAGTTGGGCTTCCACATACCTCACTTCTTGAAATCTAGCTTCGCTCTGAGGAATATCGATGAACTATATCAAACTTCTATCTGCAGATCTATTTGGCTTGATTGCCATACTTTGACACTGATATGGCTAGTTCACATTGTTCGCTTATTATTTGTAAATTGAATTAGATTTTCATCTCTAGCTTTGAGAAATAAAATGTCACAAAAATGAATGTTTTCGTTTCAGAGGAGGACGATATAAGACATTCTTCTGAATGGAATAGGGTGGTATAATTTGGGTTTAATTTGGAGTACCTCTAGGAGGTTGTATATATTTGATTAAAACAATCCCCAACTTAAAAAATATTCATAAATATTAAAGTCATTTTCATACTTTTCAGCATACAAGTGGAACGTTGGAAATACAAACAAAAACCACAAACCATGTCCAACATGTATAACAAGTTTCACGAAGACCAAAAATCTGAAATAAGGTACTAACCTGTATAACAATTGCTACGAGGCAAACCATTACCACGTACGTTTTCTCCATGATATTCTATCACTGTTGTCTTTTAAATTTTAGAAATATTCTTAGGTCTCCCATGTACTACTTCGCCGCCCCTGGTTTACCGACTGGCCAATGTCCACACAAGTATTGACATAATGCAGCTATTTCATAGTCCTGCAAATGTGACATGATCCAAATATCCCACGATATGTCTTGAGGGATTTGCGGATCAAAGAGGGATTCGAAGACTAGGGGCTTTAATGAATAATCTGTGATCTAATAAATATATTTTCTTAAGAAAATGGATATCGAGCGAGGCGGTGTCATTCTTGTAGTAATCTCCGGTGCTAATCCCCTGTCATGATAAATGACTAAGCGCCTAACAGACTTTTTGTCTCTTTAAATAGTGGATTATTCGACAGGTTTCTTTGAGCTCCCGTGTCGTTTAAAAGGACAGTTTGATTAATCGTATTTAGATCGATTGTTTTAATGTGAGTATAAACAAAATAATAAATTAAATTCAGTTGAAGCACGACATACTAGTGTCAACTGACTCCAGTTATAAATGATATAGTGCCCCGTGTAATTTTTCCAAATGTGTAAAGGCAGAATCAGATCTACATGTATAGGGATGTACAGTTTTTGTGAACATTTTTAGTGCAATTGTTTTTTGTTCTTTTCTTCAAATTCCTGAGAATGAAAGAGAATATCTATCCGAGCCTTGTTGGAACAAAATTTTTCAATATCACAGTTATACAAATCAAAGGTGGGTTCATTTTAAAAAGTATCGAAAAAAATTAATGAAAACCCCAAAATACAGGGTGGTAAAAAAATGGAAATCCTGCATTTTTCTCCTATCTTTGTCATTTTAGGTAATTACTCTCTGATATTTGTAACATTTGTACAGCTAATAATATTTCATGACCATCAGATTGATAGTCACAATGGTACAGCACTTTGAACAAGATGCCCGGGCAGTGTGGCCACCATCGCGCTATTGGCAAATCTGAACAGGTTGCCAATGATCTGACTACATTTTTTCAGCAGGTCGGCCTGAATGACATGGATGATCTCCTTTTTGAGGTCTGCAGTTGTCCTGTCTCATACACGTCTGATACTCTTTTTGGTGTATCACCACAGGTTGAAGTTAGGTAGGGGCATTTTGGATGTTGGGTGCAGGTTTGCCGAAAGCGCAATAGTGGCCACTGAGGCATGTTCTTTAAAGTGCTGTAACTATCAATTTGATGTTCATGAAATCATGGTAGGCCGGTATAGGAAATTGAATGATGTACAAATATGCCAAATATCAGGGAGTAATTTCCAGAAATGACAAAGATGTGAGGAAAATGGCGACAGGGTTTCCGTTTTTTGACCACCCTGTAGATAAGAATTAAAGTATACCTTTCATTTCCCAACTTTCCTTTGTATAATTACAATACATGTATTGAGAGACCCAAAACGTTGTGTATATGTCATTTTGTTCCAACGAGGTTCGAATAAAAGTTTCATTTCGTTCCATATCGTACACATGGTACCAAGAACAGAAGAAGTGTCTGATGTGTTTTCTAAAACTATCATATTGAAAAGTATATATATTTTTTTCAAATTAAATTGTTTCTTTTTAAAAGATGGCCATTAAATTGAAAAATGTGTATTTTTCAGAATTTTTTTACGACTGGTTTAAGAGAAACATGTGTTCAATTTAGTTCATCATATTGCTGCCAAGTCTTTGGTGTGGACAATACTGTAAGTAAATGTTTATGAAAATGTGAAAGAAACGTTCCCCTTCCTCTGAAAATCTCACATGATTTTGAATACATACATATTCCAGGTCGTTCAATAAGTCCAAGGAAAATGCTCTCGTTTCAAAGCTTTTCATATATTTTCATGAAATTTTCACATAGCATTCAAAAAATATCTGGTTACTGATTTGTAAAATACCAGTATCTCTACTTTAATTGGTCAAAAATCATGGTTACTATGGTAACTTGACTTACGTCACGCTATTCAATAGAAAGAATACAGAATAGGAGGCAAAGTTACAAGTGAATCACATGCATTTTTTTATCTGCTCTTTATGCATACACATACACAAAAAATCACATGTATTGTCCCATGAGGAGTTCAAAGTACTCTCCCTTGTGTTAATGCACAGTCGCTAGCATTCTTCAACCTACTGGTGCTACTATGCTCTGGAGCCTCTCGGAAACTTGTTTGAAGAGCCATTCGGATGACAGTTGTAAGTTCTTGGACTGTCTCATCATGAAATCTTTACCATGACCATCTTTTCCATACTTTCCTAATCTGATGCATCATTTCTTGTTTGGTGTGCCCTCCAGGGACACAGAAACGGTGATCTGTGAAAGCTTCACCTCTTCATGGAATTTTAGTCATCTTGGAATCTCTCATGTGTGACATTGTTTGATGATGTCATGAGCAATCTTATATATATTAAGTTTACCTGTTTATTAGAACTTTGATTGGATGTACATGTAGTAGGGGAATAAGCTTTCTTTGCAAGCATTGCAAGATTTATGTAATTGATAAATTTATAATGTAAAAAGTGCCCCGCCTACCCCAAATTTAAGATACCATGCATATTAGCTTTTTTTGACTTATCATATAGAAGATGCTGATACTTTACCAATAAATTACCAAATAATTTTTGTATGTTGTGTGAAAATTCCATAAATAAATATTAAACCCCTTTGAAATGAGAGCATTTTTCCACGAACTTATTGAACGACCTGGTATACGTCTGCATTTAGGATGTTGTTGGAGCATCATCATAGTGTTGCTATTGCTAGTATTTATAAAAATCTCTCGATACATGTGGAAACATCTGAAAAGTATACGCCCACGAATTACCCCCGAGTGACTTGGTGTTGATTATAATAAAATGTGAATTGATTTTTTTATTGTATCTTATAATTGAATAGAGGATTGAGCCATTGATATTCGAAAATAACATTTCCTTAAAACCAATATTGTATATAAATTTCACATACATTCCGTTTCTTCAGCCTGCATGTGCGGGGGTCAAGAAAATGGAAATGTTTGTATTTTTGATCTCTCTAAAGACTTTATTATACTCAAATGAAAGGAGTTAATTGCTTCTATTGCCTCAATATTCTTGCTTCGTAAAATCCAAAATGACCACCTTACTGCCTAATGATGATTTTTTCGGAAATCCAATTATTTCATTTCAGACCAAAGTAATAGGTTCGTGTACAGCGGTAGAGAAAACAGAAAGTTTTAATTATTTCCAGATCTCTCTGAAGTATCACTTTATTTCATTCAAATGAAATGTGGTTGAGAGAATATATTAAATATTGTATCGTTATAAGTCTTTTCACACCTCAGAAAATTCAAATGCGCCATCCTTTGCGGAATTTACGGTAATTTGAGATATTTTCAAAGTACATGCTATATACTTGGGTTTAAGATATTTTATTTTATCCAAAAGGCCATCTCATGCCAGAATTCTTAAGTATGGCTATATTATACTGAAATATGTTGTGACATTATTTCAGATTCATGAATAATTTGTTCGTTGGGATTTGCAATTCTGTTTTCGCGAGATTTCAAAACGATGCATGTTTTTGTATGTCGATCTTTATGCCATGTACACTCCCCTCCATAAGTTTGACAACCTTTTTTCCCCATTGAACTACGTGTTAAAGCCTCCTTATCTTTGAATTTTTATTTAATTCACCGGCGATGAAATAACTTATAATATTGATGGAAACGTAACTTGACCTTATTTCCAATACCTCCAAATTTTCTCAATTTTTTTCCTCAATTACAATAGGTCAAAAATTGATGATAAATTTGATGAATTTTTGAAAATCGTCATTCCCATGTAATCCAATGGGAAATGGAGGGTTCGGGGCAAATCAGAAATCAGGATATCTTTTCAGTAAAAGATTCAGCAAAAATTATTTTTATATAGAAAATTGAATTGTCTAACTTTTTAAAACACTAAGTGTTTAGTTTATTTGATGAATATAAAAGTTACAGTGCTCCAAAGTCATTTTTGAAAATAATTTTTCGCCTCCTGTGTTATTTCAATGGGAGAGTTTTTTTGAAAAACAATTTTGACTTTAAAGCCCTATAACTTTGTTGAACCTGAAGAAGCATATCAATTTTTTGTTAAATAAAGTTAGCAAATTCAATTGCCTGCCTAACTCGTATTTTTTGCAAGGACTCGGATGGATGGATATTCTGTCATATGACTTGCGGCAAACCTACCATTTCCCATTAGTTAACATGGGAATGTCGATTTTCAAAAATTCATCAAATTTATCATCAATTTTCGACCTATTGTAATTGAGAAAAAAAATTGAGAAAATTTGGAGGTATTGGAATTAACGTCAAATTACGTTTCAATCAATAAGTATTTTCATCGCAGGTTAAGTAAATAAAAATTCAAAGGTAAAGAGGCTTTAACACGTAGTTCAATGAGGAAAAAAGGTTGCCAAACTTATGGAGGGGAGTGTATGTTTAGTCACCTTATTTTATAGGATATACCAAAGCAATTTTAAATCAGTTCAACAACATTGCAATGTACTCCTTAATTGAGATTAATATGGCGTCTTGCATGATTATACATTATTATCAACAGTAAATGTCAACGAACCACTCCCCTGATGGTGTCATTAAAACTACCAACATAACAATAGCAGAGTACTATACAATAAGATCATTTCGAAGGGCAATATTGCCCGCAGAAATGACATTATTAGTATGCATGCATTATTTGCCCGCCACTATGACGTAACATATTGCTCAGGTATACCCCTAGAACAGGCCCGGCAAGGTGGTCACTTTTTTAAGGACGACACTTTCTTCTTCTCACTATACACTACCCTGTAGTTATATTGATACTCTGTTTTGACACTTTTAATACACAGTTGAAAATAACAGTTTATAATTCGTATATTTATTTCGGTACCCTGATTCCTAATTTGGAATTTAGATATCATATACGATATCTCATGATAAATTACTTTCTAGGTTTTAAATGACTGAGCTCCACATTAATAATAATCATTTTGATTAGTTATGAATGTTTATGCTGACACAGCATATTTAAAAGTATATTTGAATAGGCGGCGTTAACATCTCCATCCACGTGATACGTCACGTGGTCATTTAACGATGTCTGTCCACGCACGAGATGTTGGAATTTATTAGAACTTGAATCTTGGACCACCTGTTTGTCGGAATGAATTTCTTTAATCTGAAATATATAAAGTTTATGTAAGTGGACTTAGATAATTCTAATTTTTTCCCTAATTCCAGACTACTATTAAAATAGCCTATAACTATATGTATAGCATATAAGTTCAACACTAGGAAAATGTTGTGGCGACCGGGATCTCGGACGATGTGCCAATTGTCAGGAAAGTTTACGTTAGTCCGGTCCTGAAAGGAAACTAAAAACTGGTAAAATAGTATTACCTTGTGAAAATGGCAAGCACATTTGCCCTGAAGAAAGTCCTTGTATCGTGACAATACCATTGGAAAGGTTTGTATGACCTCCAAACCATACAATTGAGCACATCTAGTAAGCTCAGCATTATGTTGTATGGCTTCTGAAACATCCATCTAAAAAGCATAATAAAACAAAGCAGGATAAAAATAAGATGCGACATAAAAACAACTTTAAAAGGAAACACTAGAATTAGAGAACAAATTGGTAAGGAAATGACTGTGTACGCAACCAGTCATAATGGCAACAACATCTAACTAAACAAAGCATAATAAAAATAGAATGCGTATAAGAACAACTTAAAAAGGAACAGTAAATTATTACAAAACAAACTAGAAAATATCAAATCCACGGAGTAGCAAATCCCACCGAACAAAAACATATTGGCAATCTTTGAAACTTCTTGAACAGAGCTTCTTTGTCCCTAGGTATCAGCATATAAGATATGAACTAAATCCACTCACTGGTATTTACGTTATCAAGGTTATGTTATTTTAATAAAAGATGGCAGCCATTTTGGAATTCTGATGCTACCTTGGAAATTTCAGAGCCCCTTTGTCTTTAAGCATCAGCATATAAATTTTAACCAAATCCGTCAACTGTTATTTGAGTTATCAAAGATTACGTTCTTTTACGAAAAATGGCGGCCATTTCAAAATTCAACTGCAATCTTGAAACTTCCCTCTCGACTCTCGAGTAGAGGTCCAATGTTACTTGGCATCAGCATATAGAATTTGAACCAAATCTGTTCACTAGTTTTTGAGTTATCAAGGATTACATTTTTATGAAAATGGCGGCCATTTTAAAATTCAGCGGCGATCTTGAAAATATTTTCTTGACCGAAGTTCCTTTGTCTCAAGGCATCAGAATATACAATTTGAACCAAACAAGAAGTATTTGAGTTATCAATGATTATTTTTTTAAAGAAAACTGGCGGGCATTTTAAATTGAGTTGGCATATTGAAAATATCTTCTCGAGCAGAGGCCCTCCACCCACAAGGCATAAGCCAAATACAATTTGAACCAATCCGCAAACCAGTTTCTGAGTTATTCCCCAGACAGACAGAGAGACAGACGAACGAACGGACGGCCTCTCTATATCCCTCTGGAACTTCGTTCGGTGGTATAACTAGTAAGGAAATGGCTATTTGCCAACCAGTCATAATAGCAACAATATTCAAAATGGTGATAAACAATATCCAAAACAATATAATCGAATGCACAAAAATTGTATCCCCCACCCAGATTCTTTTTATAAATGACATGACATGATAAAGCATTTCATTCTGTTATATTTCATTATATTTTTATATACTATGCACGTTTGAAAAACATTCTCTCATTAACAGCCTTTTGTAGTTATGAAAACAATGAAGTACGACATTTTTGTGAATACCTTCTCTATATTAGTTGTGCCCATGCTCTTTATGACCAGCTTAATTCCCTGTAAGTCAATCCTGTTGAGCGCGGAAATAATAAGAGGAAAATGTTTTGTCATCAGCCAACTCACGCCACCAACTACCAATACAGTATTACTGTTGTTGTTCAATGGGCCAGCCCTAAAAAATATAACAAATGAATGCAAATTACGTATACAGTATTAGGAGAACTACTTCCGGAATGTAATGTTACAAAAGTATGTTATGAAAGTGAAACTTTACAAAACCGAACTTGGTGTTAATTGTTTCATTTTCCTTCAAGTGTATATGTATTTTAACTGAATGTTTTAATATACTTCAAGGACTTCATTGAAAACCTATGAATCCAAGGCTCCTGTAGTGTTACTTGCGTGTAGATCAACATTTGGGAATGAATGTATTGTTTTTGTCCCAGATATTCGAATTTATATATTTGAGTTCCACGTCCGTAGCTAGCTTTTGCCAATGATGGGGGAAGCTTAAAAAATCCAGGGGTACAAATATGACAATTTTGGCCCAAAATCACTTGAAATGTGCTCAAAGTAGTGCTAAACTGCCTGAGTTTTCAACGAGCTACATGTACTAGTACTTACATTTGGACGAGCTTTGTAAGAGTATCAGCTAAACTTCTTTTATTTGCATCAGGCTGCCAGAACTGCGGGTAATAAGCAAATGCCATACTAGTGCGCCCAAAGTTGAGGTTGTTGTATACTACTATACCGTGGGACTTATCAATCTGAGTGAGAGTCCCATTGACAGCTTCCATCATGTAATGCATGATACCTCTGTTGGTAGAGTCACCAAGAAATAACACCTGTATAAGAAAGATGAACTCATGGACAGTTATTTACTTTTTTTATTTAGTACACAATGTAAAGGATGGGTATGTTAGAGAGTATAGGGAATACAGGGTGATCATTAAGTTCTGGGAATTGGTCTGCCATTTCAAGATTTCTCAACCATTTGAGTTAAAATTTTCAGCAGGTGTACATTGTATAATTCTGAATTGTCAAGCAATGTTTCATATACATATCACATCTACAATTTATTTTATTGTAATTACAAAAAAAGTAAAAGTGGTTCGCGGGTCAGCAAATTTTGACTGATGTTAATTTGAAAATCTCCTGCCAAAACATATTCATTTTGCCTAGATAGTTGCTTCAAACTACTTGTACTAGAGGCAGAACAGTACTCTTGAAGTCATTTATTCAGAAGTATTCTTCATTGCTGAGAGGACCATTTCATTTATGATTGTTTCGATTACCCTGGACGCATATGCGTTGTTGACAAACTTAGTCCATAAAGATGTGTTCCAGTCCTCCCTTTGGCATCCCTTGAAGATTTGCACAAGCCGTTGAAATCAGTTCCTTATTGGAATCAAACTTATGACCTCTCATATGATGCTTTAGCACCCCAAAATGTAGTGAAGCCTAATGGTGCTTCATCTGGGGAATATTGCCTGATGAATATGGGGCAGTAATAAGTTGTGTGAACCCCAATTCTTCAAGAGTAGTATGGGCAGCTTGAGTAATGGGAAGGAGCATAGTCATAATGGAAGATAACTCCCCGCTATTTTTGGTCATGATTGTTACTTTGAGATGCTGATGAATGATACAAAAATAGAGCAAAGTACACTCTTATATAACAATAAAGATGTTACTTTAGAAACTTAAGTTAGAAGTATTTGAAAATATAAAAAATCACAGAAATATGTCCACCAAATAAGTATTTATTAACCATACTTTTGGATCAAGCAAAATTTGAATTCATTTTTATTTTACTTGACCCGCTACGCCATTTATCATGTTGCTATAGTAACAATAATTATCCATTGTGACATCAGATGACAATGAGACTGTTTTATCCACCCCAAAATTACATTCCCCATTTACCTTGAAAATTTCAAGTAAATTGGTTGAAAAATAATTAAATGACAGATAAATTCCCAGAACTTAGTGATCACCCTGTATAAATAAGCATAAATAACAAACTACTATTGAAAAAATAACATGGCGGATAGACCTCAAATTACAAGAGGGTACAGGCTTATTGCACTAAACACTAAATAATCTGAAATTTACAAATGTTATTTGTGTGCAATATGAAGACATTTTTCTACATTTTATGGCACAATAGTCTTTAGATTTCTTATTTTTCAGCTTCAACTGCTTGCCTTTGAAGCAGTGTAACAGACTGTACATTTAGCAATTGAGGTTCATTTAACTTATGAATGCATGGCGCTGTGACTACACTCCCCTCCATAAGTTTGGCAACCTTTTTTCCCCCATTTAACTACGTGTTAAAGCCTCTTTACCTTTGAATTTTTATTTACTTAACCTGCGATGAAAATACTTATACTATTGATGGAAACGTAATTTGACTTTAATTCCAATACCTCCAAATTTTCTCAATTGTTTTCCTCAATTACAGTAGGTCGAAAATTGATGATGAATTTGATGAATTTTTGAAAATCGACATTTCCATGTTAACCAATGGGAAATGGTAGGTTTGCCGCAAGTCATATGACAGAATATCCATCCATCCGAGTCCTTGCAAAAAATACGAGTTAGGCAGGTAATTGAATTTGCTAACTTTATTTAACAAAAAATTGATATGTCGTCGCGTTAGAATAACTTTGTACTAACTGCCATTTTCAAAAAAATTGAGATAGACATGGAATTTTACTATTTGAAACACAGGCTTTCATCTCAGATACATGCCCCATCTCAATTCCCTCTCATTAAGCTAGAATTCAGTGTGAAATTGTACCATCTCCAGACAAACAGCTTATTTCTAATTTCAAATTGTCATATCTGATATCAACTGTTTCAACCAATCAACTGTCTAAGAATTGGTCATGTGACTTACAAAACTTGGAGTTATAACAATCTTATATTAAAACGAAGTATGCCAATATGCATGTTATTGTATCTAGAATGAAATAATGTTTTGTAACACAATACCATGCCAGTTTGCATACCTGGCCTTTCATGTTTTAGTTTTAGAGCTATTTCAAGTAGATCAAAAAAATAAAATGATACAGTATGTGTAATCCCATGCATATTCAAATTATATGCCCTCAATTACTCTTTGTATTATGGATGCTCATTGGATTATTCATGGCCACATGATATGAAATAGAATTATTAATTTCCTCGAAAAACTAAATCCTCGCTACCAGGGAAGATGAAAAGTACAAATGACCAGTTAATTAGGTCATGTGATCAGTCAAAAGTACCCTTTATCTTCCCTGCTACCAGGTCTTATAGGGGTTTGAATGGCCAAATGCAATAGAAATGCATATACGAAGCTGTCATCATTAAATGTTGAAAATGAAAGACTGCTTATTTGTTTCTTCAAATAGAGTACATAATAATAGGTTATATACTAGATATAGTAATCAAAACAAATAGTAACTGTCATATTTTGCACTACATTGCTCAAAGGCAATCACTGTCTGTATACTATTGAAATCTCTTTCAAAATTATATTTTATAGTTTGTGGAAAAAAGCTAAATCTATTTAAACTAGCTTTAACTTTTACTGACCATACACTATATCAATAAGGAGTTATCTTTATGTTAGTATAGTCCCTTAAAACACTTATTTTATTTTCTCTTCATCTATGATTTACTTTGCGCTTTTCACTGAACATCTGGGATCTTTTTAGTTATTTTATTACAAGTATGTTTTTCAGATTTGTCCTTTCTTTTGCATTTTTGGGATCATTGTTTTTAGATCATCTACATTTTATTTTGGAAAAGTAACAAATTGGTTCAATTTCTTTACAAAGAGCCACTCTTAGTCTCCACTTCTACAATTGCTTCAATTCCCAATTGTACTCCACAGAGTAGCAAACAACAGAAAATGAATGGATAATGATAGCTGCATCCCAATGAACAAAATGTGATTACCTAAATCGAGGCGACTGAAGGGATTTATATTATGATATTTTTATGAAGCAATAAATATTTCTTAATAAAAAAAAAAAACCTAAATCGAGGTTTCATCACTTTCATTAATCTAAAATGAATTAGAATTTATTTTTCTATTTTCAAATTTCTTCCATGTGCTTGTAATAAAAATTGGTTATGCCTTAGGCCCTAAGGATCTGAAACCTGCTGGTCAAAATGGAATTACGGACCAGTTGCAATGTTATTCTCCTATACCCAGTGAAAAATTCAACTGGTCTGTATCAAAAATAACCTGGTAATGACCAGCGGACCGGCCCTTAGGGGCTACATTGTAATGTGCTGGGAGGTTTAGGCTACAGGGTTTATACCGAGGGAAATATGTGGGGGACCGTATTGGCATCATTGGTTTCAATGCATTGTACTTCTTCCTTAGTTTCAAAGGCAATAAATTCTTTTTGAAGGGTGTCCTGAGATTCCAAAATTAAGAAATAATTGTACTTATTTGAGAAATTGATTTTAAAGTTTTATAAATTGAATTTTCTTTATTTTATTAAATAATATTCTTTGGTTTTTGAAGACTTTTTTACAAAGCAAAACATTATTTTTCATTCTAGATACAATAACATGCATATTGGCATACTTTGTTTTAATATAAGATTGTTATAATTTTTGTTATAAGTTTTGCAAGTCACATGACCAATTCTTAGAGAGTTGATTGGTTGAAACAGTTAATATCAGATATGACAATTTGAAATTAGAAATAAGCTGTTATTCCGGTGGGAAATTGTATCAACTCCATTTCCATATTTTTAAAAAAGGATCTTGTAAATTGTTTCAAGGTATGATATTTCATATAAGATATCTCTAGGGTGAGACCAGGTGACATACAAAAAATCAAGTTTCACATAGCAATACTAAGTAAGATACAGACCTCTAAACTTTCAAACCTTGATTTCTCAGTTCCGTAAAAATGTGAGATAGTACAAAGTTATTCTCATGCGACGATGTTTCTTCAGGTTCAACAAAGTTATAGGGCTGTAATGACCCGACTTGGTGTTGGCGGTTTAACGAGCGGTAATTAAATTGTCAGATCACCACAATAAAAATATTCTAGGGTTCACTTGTAACGATCAAGTTACTATTGTGTCATAGCCTTGTCCACAGCAGCCTTCTGCAGTGGTTGGATTAAATCATCTCTTACAAAGTTCAAAAGATGGCAGCACTTGAACTATATGTCATCTGAATGACATAAAAATAGATGGCAGCATCTCACTATGCTCAGCCCATAATTGAACATAAGAAAAGCATGTACATTTCTATAAATGTAAAACAAAACTTATTTATTGATCTTTTGAACAAAAGTGGGTATTTATCTAACTGTATATGAAAAGTTAAATCTAGAATAATCGTGAAATATGATAGGAGATGGTATTTGCAAGAGTAGCGGCATTCCGCGTATTCCTAACGGCACTAATGAAGCACTTTATACAGAATACTAAGAACTAACAATCAAGGCCTGTTAACTGTGAACAATGAAAACCATACGTTTGGCTCTATATGAAAACCTAAAGCAGACTTCTGCCATTTGAGCTTATGTCCAAATAAAAATGCAAGATCCTCAAAGTGAAATAACAATTACTGTCACTCTATTAACCTCAGAATTTATGCACAGAATACTAGCAAATCACAAAACAGAGAACTATATACTAAGATATGTACACTAACACTAAATCTGAGTAACTATCACTACAATTCTGCATGATCAGTTACAATGCATACTCATGTTCTGAGCCAATGCATCAAACGCCTTTTTCATGTAGCATCACTACACTATACAGTGGTCCAAAATAACTAACAAATACATGTAATTCACATGTTGGCTTATGCATAGACACAAAATGTCCAATGTCACAGTCTTCTGTGACCTAAGGAACAATCTAACTAACACATAACTAAAGTAAAACTAACACAGATATATTGACGGAAAAGTTTGAGAATGCTCACAACTTTTCATAACAATGGCGAATCACGTGCATTCCACGTGTATCCCCGGGAATCACGTAAATGACTCAATCTATTAACAGAAAACACGAACAATAAGCACCAAATATCTACATGCATCCTTGTCAAATCCTGAACAAAGATACAATTCACAAATAGTACTTAAACGATACCCGATGTTCAACTAAAATCTACAGAAAAGTATGCAAAATTCTTGCATCATTAACATGTGCGAATCTTCAGCCTTTTGCCAAAGTTTTCAAGATCAAAATACACGAACAATAATTAATTAAAGTGTGCGGCTTTACCGACACATAAAGTTAACATTGCAACTAAGAAAACAAACTAGAAATGAATCGCAGATGGCCACATAATAAGCTGCGACTTGAACCAAAAGTTCGAGGATTTCTCGACAGGCACTGTCTGAAAATGGCGAAAATGTCTTCCCAGATTCTGAGACTTAAAACTTCAATTATCTACCAAAAATAAAGCTTAACTCACCGCTGGATGTATCTCAACATTGTTGACGATAATCCACAACAATATAAATCCCGTTTTTGAATGAAATAAACCAAGAATATCCAAAATAAAACCAAGTTAAAACACAATTAGAAAGTTCGACTCGGCGTTCCAAGTCCAAGAGAAATATGAGTTCACCTCGCTTAATCACGCAGCAACTTCGTGTTCCGAAATCAGCGTTTTGATTGGCCGGCTCAAGGCTGTTTGTCGCTATAACAAATAAACGCCATCTATTGGCAGAAATATTACTACCTCCGAGCCCCAAACTCGCTAGTAAAGTACCTTAAAACCATATAAAACAGAAAGACCTAATTGTTACGATGATTTAGATTGATACTTAAGACTTACTGACACCATCTAGTGAAGTCAAACGTGAATGACAACTCTTAGAAAAGTTTAAATATCGGGACTGAACTCGATGGTTGTCACAGGGCTTTAAAGTCAAAATTGTTTTTCAAAAAACCTCTCCCATTGAAATAACACAGGAGGCGAAAAATTCTTTTCAAAAATGACTTTGAAGCGCTGTAACTTTAATATTCATCAAATAAACTAAACACTTAGTGTTCAAAAAAGTTAGACAATTCAATTTTCTATATAAAAATATTTTTTGCTGAATCTTTTACTGAAAAGATATCCTAATTTCAGATTTGCCCCGAACCCTCCATTTCGACCTATTGTAATTGAGGAAAAAAATTGAGAAAATTTGGAGATATTGGAAATAAAGTCAAGTTACGTTTCCATTAATATTATAAGTTATTTCATCGCCGGTTAAGTAAATAAAAATTCAAACGTAAAGAGGCTTTAACACGTAGTTCAATGGAGAAAAAAGGTTGCCAAACTTATGGAGGGGAGTGTATGTAGGTTTAACATAACTAGTATACCATTTATTACCTTTTTTCCATCAAGACAGCTTTGTGTTTGATGTTCGTTGAGTATTTCATAACTACAACCATCCGGTTGCCATCTTGCCTCTCCCCAATAACAGTTGTTGTCGTCACTACAGTCTTCACGACACGGCACCAGCCAGCCACCTGTGTATAATCAGTATTCATAAAGATAAAAAATCAAAATATCGCACTTTGGAAGTTGGAGATGTTCGTTGCATGCCGATCGTGGCATTATGGCACTTACATGAATGAAATACATTATTGTACTTATATGGTAACATGATTCAAACACATATTTGAAATTCTCAGAAACATTTCAAAAGTCTTTCATCTAAGGGGAAGAACCTGATATCCTGAAATGATACCAATGGTACAAACACAGATTTATAAAAGTATCTTTTACCAACCTGGTACATTTCCCGACTCACACAAGGGCATGGTCCCATAATTCTCAAATGAAGACCTCCACGAGAGGTGCTCTGTTGGTTGCAACCCACACGAATCAAGGTTGGATGTCATTAAATCACACGTGTGCCTTAGCTGACATACCACGTGCTCGTCGTTTGCTTGGAACATTCCTAGATGATGTCCCCTGGCCCGACGATGTATATTTATTAAATAACGATTCACTATCCATGGATTTGTGTGGCTTACATCTACTACAAAGAGTGCAATGGTGCTCGTTCCAAGACCGAGTGTGTAGTTGGTAGGACTACAAGTTAAAAGATCTTTTACTAGAGAGGTTAAGCTACACGTATTTGACAAAACTTGAACGTGAACTTCAATGCGCGCGCAGATAAATGACGTCAGATTTGTTTATTTCCTGTGGGCCAGAGTGAATTTTACAGGTTTTTACATGAGATTATCATATTCGTGCAATTTACAGACGCGTATTCAACAAAGCATGAACGTGTACTTCTATGCGCGCGCAGGAAAATGACGTCAGATTAGTCTACTTTCTACAGGTGAGCGTGAAAGTTACAGGTTTTTACGTGTAGATGAGTGATTACACGTCGCTCATTACGTGATTGATTTTAGCTATGTTTTAGTATGGCCCGGGGGCCCATATTTGATACAAACACTATTGCTTGTTATATCGGTAAACCCCAAATCCTTTATTGGAAATAAAGAATACATTTTAGAGATTAAATGACAACTTCAAATGTGATCGTTTGTTCATTCCGTACAATATAAATAGGCAGGGCTAATTTGATTCCCGGGGCTTGGTACAATATGTATACTAAACGAAATGAAATGACAACCAGGGCCTACGATTGCCTTATCACTACATTTGATTTGCCTGAATCTGAATGACTGAATGGCCTGAATTGATTGCAAATTAAATAATGTCACAATTAATATGACACAAATGGTATATCACATCAGATGTACAAATATAAAGTATCGATCAATCGATTCAGGTCATACTTTAAATTAAAAGATTGTACATTTTTTCATCATTTTTTCCTACAAAATGGCTAAAGAAAAATGCTTCAAAAGCAACTTTTACACTTATGAAATCCCATACAACTTTGTAAATCCAAAGATTATACTGGATAAGATGTAGGGATGTGTAGGATGCAAATGGATTTTGACGGACACACAGACTTCCTGGTGTGGCATCTCTACCCCTGTACACTTTATGGTTGAATATTGGCCCTAATAAGTGGCCCATTCATCAATACAGTGCTGAATATAGGTCAACAAGATACTAGTGTACATATCAATAATAAAAGCAGAATATTCATTTTGAAAAATCAGATGACTTTATTTTGTTCATGGGGAGATTATAATGGAGGGCGCACTAGATCATTTAATTGTGGTTGAATATGAAATAAAGCAAAAATAAAAAACAAAATGTTTTGATGCGACTAGATTCGAACCCAGGCCTAACGTTCACGAGTCCGAAGTGCTATCCATTACACCATAGAAACATGACCCTCAGTCACAGGCACCACATGAATATAGCTCCACGCCCACTGACATGGTTTCAGACGTGTAGCTTAACAGAAAATTTTCTTAAACGTGTACTTGAGCGTGGACTTACGCGTTCAGGTTCACGGTTTGCATTTATACGTGTAGCTTAACCTCTCTATTATTTCGCTGTTTTCTCGTTATACGCGTACGAGTCATGGGTTTTCAAGAGGCCAGGTGTAAAAGGGAAGGAGGTCCTATTAATTTATGGTCCTACTCTCCATTGATTTATATGCAATGGTGGCCATTTTCCTTATTATCTTACACACAATCAGGGCCGTTAAGAAGGGGAACCATAATCCACGGGGGACCATAATTTCTTTCACACCGGTCAAGAGACTGCTGTTGAAAGCCCATGTGCGAGTGAATCAGCTAATGCTTTTATATTTATGTTTACAGTTAAAATACTTTGAATGGTTGGTCTTGTATTTTTATAATGCTGCCATTTGCTCTGAAGTTTTGATCAAAGAAAAAGACTAATAGCCCATATAACGCTGTTGTATCATTCCCAATCCCCGAGCCTTTCGTTCAGTGCAATCCGTACCTCCTTTACTGACGTAATGAAGGTATGCAACGAACGAAATGAATTTTGAGAATGTATCATTCCCTCAAAAACCAATGTCAGTACATACCTTGTTGGTCCAATTTTGCTATCCGTCCTCGCCTCACAATGACAATTCATAGCGAATGCCCATATTTTAACAACTTGAACATCATAAGCGACCTCTATATCGTAGATGTAGACGGTAGGGGAGAAATTGAGAGCGATTGCAGGCTCGGTGAATATGCCGCTTAGTAGAGACAGAGATGTTAGATCTTCTTCACAGTGATGCCTTACATATTTGTCTGAAAATAATAAGTTATCCTAATATGCAATTTTCACTTAGATACCTTTAAAATTATTGTATGGATTTTCTTAATACTGAAATACAGGGTGACCGGAAAAAAAGGAGACCATTGAAATAGGCAATATCTCCTAAAATAGACTAGTGACATCAATGAAATTTTGCATACATCAGGACAGTTCTATGGAAATTTGTTCCTGAAAGTGTCAATACAAGCAGTCAACTGGTTCAGGAGCTATGATCATTTACATAACATGCTCCAAATAGGCGCAATTGAGACCAACGCAGAGCTGGATACATTTGGCAAATACCCTTACATATTCCGACCTTGTTATGGCATTACATTTAGCATTTATTGCCACCTTTAGGTCAGCAATTGTCTCAGGATTGTTTTGGTACACATTGTCTTTCAAATTGCCCCACAAAAAGAAATCAGGTGGATTCAAATTTGAGGTGTATGGAGACGAAGCTTATCTGACCTATGGCTTCTGACTCAGTGGTCCCACTCAGTTACAGTATCATCCTAAGGAGGTTTTGGGCAGCCCTTACTTTTCATATGGGATTTAATTGTGCCATATAGTGGTTTTAGTAACATGGCACTATGCCCAATACCTAAAGTGACTCTTAAGATTTGGTAAATCAGCACTTTGGCAACAGGATGATGAACCACATGTCAGATAACCCTTCATTGCCATTACAGCCTAGACTTGAATCCTGCTGATTTCTTTTTGTATGGATATTTGAAAGACAATCTATACCAAAACAATCCTCAGACTATTGTTGACCTAAAGAAGGCAATCACTGCTATATGTAATGCCATAATAATGCCATAGAGGGCAGAACATGTAAGGGTAGTTTGCCATATGAATCCAACTCTGCGTTGGTCTCAATTGTGCCTATTTGGAGCATGTTATGTAAATGATCATAGCTCCTGAACCAGTTGAATGCTTGTATTGAAACCTTCAGTAACAAATTTCCATATAACTGTTCCAGTGTATGCAAAATTTCATTGATGGCACTTGTCTAGTTTAGGAGAAATTGATTACTTCAATGGTCTCCTTTTTTTCCGGTCACCCTGTACATTTACATTTTATACAAGCATTTTATGATTTGTATTATAATCTTACCTTTCGACTGTGTTTTGTTGATGAATATATTTTCTACTAATGTTTCAGGCGGTTGTTCATTTGAAAACTCTCTAAAACCCAAAAATATGTTGATTAATATTATGAATAATTATAATATAAACAATTAACAATTATTAGTATTGATTAATAAATACGCCTTTTTGTAATTGAAGTCTATACAAACATTTCCGGGGGATGTATTCCACGCAGCCCGAAGAAATATATACAGGTATTGCACGAAAACAGAATTCAATATTTGTTTTATCATTTCACCCATTTACGTACCAAAATCTGAGAAGAAAAGAAAAAATACATATTAACCGTTTAACAATAATGGTTATTATTTTGTTTTCGAGTGTGATATACAAATCAGTTTACTATTTATACCAGATATACATATATTGTTTTTTTTTACAAAATATGTATTGTTTTAAGTAATTTAACTTCTTAACATTGCTCAAAATCTGAAATAAATATAATTACACGGCTTCTGTTGATTCATCAGAATACACATCCTCAGTTGAGTCTATATTGCTGTAGTACGTTGCCAGCTTGCTCATGAATGCATGGATAGTATATGTGCCATGGCTGTTGTCATGTGGAGAACTTCCTGCCAGCTTCTGGTTGAAGTCATGTAGTTGTTGCATCAGTATGCTGTATTTGTTGCCTCCTGGTGTTGGATAAAGCTGAGTAAAATGTGAAAGAGAACAATGTAAAATGTGCCATAGAATTTCCATTGACCATTACCATTGACCTCTATTTGTTGAACACATGTTTCTTATAGCCTCCCCATTCGTGGTTTCGTTCACGATTTATGTGCATGTATGTGGTTTATAAATGCTATAAATTACAGGTTTAATTGTTTTCCTATGTTTGCCTTCTGTGCTATTACAGCTAATGGAATTGTTTAAGCTAATTGTATTCGCAAATGCAACTTTGGGCTTCCGGCTTAACCCAGTATTTTATGGGCAACTCATTTAAATATGAATAATACCTCCCACTATTCCATTCATATTCAAACGAGTAGGTCATAAAATAGTAAGTTAGTCCGGTAGCCGACAGCCGAAAGAGTATGTAAGCTTACCAATTGAAAGTTGCCTTTGTTGATCACTTCCCTTCTGGAATGTAGAAGCCTTAGGATATCTTTATTTGTGAGACACAGTTCAGGATTAGGACCACAACCAAACTCCTGTAGATAAATACAAATATGTGCTGTCAGCTTATTACAAAAAAAGACTTATAGGTTTTATTTCTATAAAGATGACATCCTACGTTTGGCATATTTCGGAAGTGACGTTCAAAAGATAGTTACCAAAAGAAGCCCAAACAAGAAGACTTACTTCAACGATTTTTTGTTCAGGCGCAACTGCTAATAGTGCTTTTGTGACATCACTGGCGACAGGCGTTGTTGAGAATACAAGGGAAACGAGATCTTCTACTGCATTACGTTTTGCATCATTATTGTCCAACCCCACGTCCACAACACCTTCTTGCATGTGTGGCTGACCATTTACCTTGATTTTTATAAGATTAATGTAACTACATGAATCATTCCTAGCGTGGAGGGTCTTTATTTTATGAGATAACTAAAAGGGTTATGTCCGTTATAACAAGAAACTGAATAATTAGGTCCTTTTCCTTTTCTTATATAAAAACACACAATCCTTATGCTATTATATTCGTCCTGGGTCCTTAAAAGTAAATAAATATAGGTTAACCTACCTCAACAACAGAGGGGTGAAAAGACGAGTTGAATATCAGATCAATACCAAGCAGTTGAAAGCAGTGGCTGCAACTGAAACAATGGAGGTAATTAAACTGTAGGGCATTGTGGGATCAACAGTCTCTTCTACTCCTTGTGATATACTAGACACCCGACACAAGCTTTAGATAAAGAGAGACTGATAAATAAGAATGACTGGGTAAATGCCCATGAATGACATTCGTGAATCGATAATTGTGTGAAGGATGTGATAACCATTTCAGACCTTAGATCAGTGTTTGAACTTGTTTGAGAGTAGGAACCGTCGAAGAGTGTTAATGTTGTCAGGCACAATCCGACTTGTTTTTGTAAAAGTTATTTACTATAAAGAGAGACTCTGATAAATCAGAATGACTGGGTAAATGCCCATGAATGACATTCGTGAATCGATAATTGTGTGAAGGATGTGATAACCATTTCAGACCCTAGATCAGTGTTTGAACTTGTTTGAGAGTAGGAACCGTCGAAGAGTGTTAATGCTGTCAGGCACAATCCGTCTTGTTTTTGTAAAAGTTTTTAACTATAATATTATTAACAAATATTCACTGGCAATCATGCGGGAGAGGGTGATAATAAGATAAAGCAAAATGAGAAATGTAGAAAACTTACTCGTATGGTTGATCAGCTGTTCCAAAGTGTTCATAATGCTGCACAACAGTAAGTTCTGCTGCTAGGAGGGTCTGTATGATGACACTTTCCATATTGCGCCACATTACACGTGCAGTCTCCATGTTAAACTTGCTCATGGCGTATCTTCTCAACTGGCTAAAACTCCAAGTTTTACCAGGAATCTGTTCCAATAATATACATGTATATACAGGGCGTATCAAAAAACGCAACAAACAGTTATCTCGTAAAATCACAAAACCAGTGGTGACTACGTCAATTTCATTCAATGTACCATAAAGCCCTGTCCTTCCTCTTTGCAATGGTACGTCAATCATTCACATGTGCTCATCGTTTGGCGAGAAATCATTACTTATGCACATTGAGCCAAAGTCAGCTCTGGACCAAGTTTCAGATATTGCAAAAGTCAAAGCAAGGGCTAAGTACTAGGCTAATGGAAGTTCCCCTGATTTGAATTGTCGTGACTTTTTCTTTTGGAGCTATCCCAGGAGCAGAGTGTTCACCATTCCTCCATCAGATATTGTAACACTTCGAGAAAGAATCGCCAACGGGCTGCTGTTCTCTGCCCCAAAGATTACTCAGAGTTGAGTCATGCATGACATGGAGAGATGGGCGCATCTGTATGTGCAAAGAAGTGTTGGCCATGTGGAGGAATATAGGATGTAATCTTGTAAGAGTCTGAACACTTAAAACTGTCCATGCCACACCTGCCACACCTTCCAATAGCACCTATGCCTCGTGCACTGACTTTAGCAATGCTTAAAACTTGGTCTCAAGCTGATTTTGTCCCACTGAGCGAAAGCAATGATTATTTGGCCAACCGTTGCAAAGAGGGGAAATGTGGCTTTGTGATGCATTGAATGAAAAGGATACAGTCATCATTGGTTTTATTTATTGTTTCTTCCAATAGCACATTGCCCCCTGCACTGACGTTTACGTTTGCGATGTCTATAACTCTGTCCCAATCTAATTTTAGCCCACTTTGCAAAATAAATGATTTTCACCCAACCATGACCCAATGTCAATACCAATTGGAATACCATTGGAAAGAGGGGACACATGGCTTTATGATACACTGAATGAAATTTATGCTGTTATCACTGCCTTTCAAAGATAACAGTTTGTTGCGAAAATATTTTTTAGAACTTGAAGCTAATAAAGTTGTAATAGCACTATATTAGTAATCGTGTTAGTCCACGACCCTGGTCCATAGTAACTCGGTCTATTGAAAGACAAATCACCAAATGATCTCATCATTATTGACAATGTTTAATCCCCTTACCTTTTTAAAGTTTCGCTCGTAGCTGTACCTGAACTGCACAAGGCCTTCGGAATGGATGTATGCCCTGAGAGGGGAGAATGACGTAACGAGTACGAATGCCCTCATGCTAAATGGCAGACCTTTGACCAGGAGGGGGTTACTGATGTACTGCTGTACAACAGATGGTTGCGTCTTTGAATACCTGCAAGAAACTCGAGTGTTAAGCCACGATGGTACCATGAGCACATGCTTTGAGGATCCGCGTTGTTTGAACCTACCGCCGAGTTCGCTTATACACCAAGCCCCGTTACACAGTCATGATACCGCCGAGCAAGCTCATTGTATCATCAGGTCTGCTTTACCGCCGTGAAGAATTGACAAAAGTAGTCCATATTTGAAAGGTCCGTTAGAACCTAGAGTGAACCTAAAACATTAGACCACCGCAAAGACGATGGACAATGTAAAAGGCATGTACTATTTTTTCGAATTAACAAGAATGATTAGTATAACTTAACAACGCCCAACCTGTTGAAACTGGCCAAAACTGGATGTAATTAAGAATAGACCCTAGCGAACTTAAAATCACTCTGTGGGAGTTAATGTTTTGAGTGTCACCGATCTAATAATTTGATATTCACGTAGTAGTTACTATAAGATGACATCTATACATTATTTCTTTTCTTTTTATTTATAGTGGTAAGTCATACCTGAGACTAACTTAGTCTCAGGTCATACAAAATAAAGTCATACAAAGTACAATGTTAATATCAAACAACCCAGCCCACTTTGGACTTATTAACCACTTCTAATAACATTTAATAATAATTTCAAAAGAGATATGTATACTTGCTTATATGTGCGAAGATGTGGTTGTCTAATTGGAGGCAAGAGATGTATATTTACTTATATGTGCGGAGATGTGGTTGTCTAGTTGGAGGTAAGAGATGTATACTTACTTATATGTGCAGAGATGTGGTTGTCTAGTTGGAGACAAGAGATGTATACTTACTTATATGTGCGGAAAAGTGGTTGTCTAGTTGGAGACAAGAGATGTATACTTACTTATATGTGCGGAGATGTGGTTGTCTAGTTGGAGACAAGAGATGTATACTTACTTATATGTGTGGAGAAGTGGTTGTCTAGTTGGAGACAAGAGATGTATACTTACTTATATGTGCGGAGAAGTGGTTGTCTAGTTGGAGACAAGATATGTATACTTACTTATATGTGCGGAGATGTGGTTGTCTAGTTGGAGACAAGAGATGTATACTTACTTATATGTGCGGAGATGTGGTTGTCTAGTTGGAGACAAGAGATGTATACTTACTTATATGTGTGGAGAAGTGGTTGTCTAGTTGGAGACAAGAGATGTATACTTACTTATATGTGCGGAGATGTGGTTGTCTAGTTGGAGACAAGAGATGTATACTTACTTATATGTGTGGAGAATTGGTTGTCTAGTTGGGGACAAGAGATGTATACTTACTTATATGTGCGGAGATGTGGTTGTCTAGTTGGAGACAAGAGATGTATACTTACTTATATGTGCGGAGATGTGGTTGTCTAGTTGGAGACAAGAGATGTATGCTTACTTATATGTCGCGGAGATGTGGTTGTCTAGTTGGAGACAAGAGATGTATACTTACTTATATGTACGGAGATGTGGTTGTCTAGTTGGAGACAAGAGATGTATACTTACTTATATGTGTGAAGAAGTGGTTGTCTAGTTGGAGACAAGAGATGTATACTTACTTATATGTGTGGAGAAGTGGTTGTCTAGTTGGAGACAAGAGATGTATACTTACTTATATGTGCAGAGATGTGGTTGTCTAGTTGGAGACAAGAGATGTATACTTACTTATATGTCGCAGAGAAGTGGTTGTCTAGTTGGAGACAAGAGATGTATACTTACTTATATGTGCGGAGATGTGGTTGTCTAGTTGGAGGTAAGAGATGTATATTTACTTATATGTGCGGAGATGTGGTTGTCTAGTTGGAGGTAAGAGATGTATACTTACTTATATGTGCGGAGATGTGGTTGTCTAGTTGGAGGTAAGAGATGTATACTTACTTATATGTCGCGGAGATGTGGTTGTCTAGTTGGAGACAAGAGATGTATACTTACTTATATGTGTGGAGAAGTGGTTGTCTAGTTGGAGACAAGAGATGTATACTTACTTATATGTGTGGAGAAGTGGTTGTCTAGTTGGAGACAAGAGATGTATACTTACTTATATGTGCGGAGATGTGGTTGTCTAGTTGGAGACAACAGATGTATACTTACTTATATGTGCGGAGAAATGGTTGTCTAGTTGGAGACAAGAGATGTATACTTACTTATATGTGCGGAGATGTGGTTGTCTAGTTGGAGACAAGAGATGTATGCTTACTTATATGTCGCGGAGATGTGGTTGTCTAGTTGGAGGTAAGAGATGTATACTTACTTTTATGTGCAGAGAAGTGGTTGTCTAGTTGGAGGCAATAAATGTATACTTACTTATATGTCGCGGAGATGTGGTTGTCTAGTTGGAGACAAGAGATGTATACTTACTTATATGTGTGGAGAAGTGGTTGTCTAGTTGGAGACAAGAGATGTATACTTACTTATATGTGCGGAGATGTGGTTGTATAGTTGGAGACAAGAGATGTATACTTACTTATATGTGCGGAGATGTGGTTGTCTAGTTGGAGACAACAGATGTATACTTACTTTTATGTGCAGAGAAGTGGTTGTCTAGTTGGAGGCAATAAATGTATACTTACTTATATGTGCGGAGATGTGGTTGTCTAGTTGGAGACAAGAGATGTATGCTTACTTATATGTCGCGGAGATGTGGTTGTCTAGTTGGAGACAAGAGATGTATACTTACTTATATGTACGGAGATGTGGTTGTCTAGTTGGAGACAAGAGATGTATACTTACTTATATGTGTGAAGAAGTGGTTGTCTAGTTGGAGACAAGAGATGTATACTTACTTATATGTGTGGAGAAGTGGTTGTCTAGTTGGAGACAAGAGATGTATACTTACTTATATGTGCAGAGATGTGGTTGTCTAGTTGGAGACAAGAGATGTATACTTACTTATATGTCGCAGAGAAGTGGTTGTCTAGTTGGAGACAAGAGATGTATACTTACTTATATGTGCGGAGATGTGGTTGTCTAGTTGGAGGTAAGAGATGTATATTTACTTATATGTGCGGAGATGTGGTTGTCTAGTTGGAGGTAAGAGATGTATACTTACTTATATGTGCGGAGATGTGGTTGTCTAGTTGGAGGTAAGAGATGTATACTTACTTATATGTCGCGGAGATGTGGTTGTCTAGTTGGAGACAAGAGATGTATACTTACTTATATGTGTGGAGAAGTGGTTGTCTAGTTGGAGACAAGAGATGTATACTTACTTATATGTGTGGAGAAGTGGTTGTCTAGTTGGAGACAAGAGATGTATACTTACTTATATGTGCGGAGATGTGGTTGTCTAGTTGGAGACAACAGATGTATACTTACTTATATGTGCGGAGAAATGGTTGTCTAGTTGGAGACAAGAGATGTATACTTACTTATATGTGCGGAGATGTGGTTGTCTAGTTGGAGACAAGAGATGTATGCTTACTTATATGTCGCGGAGATGTGGTTGTCTAGTTGGAGGTAAGAGATGTATACTTACTTTTATGTGCAGAGAAGTGGTTGTCTAGTTGGAGGCAATAAATGTATACTTACTTATATGTCGCGGAGATGTGGTTGTCTAGTTGGAGACAAGAGATGTATACTTACTTATATGTGTGGAGAAGTGGTTGTCTAGTTGGAGACAAGAGATGTATACTTACTTATATGTGCGGAGATGTGGTTGTATAGTTGGAGACAAGAGATGTATACTTACTTATATGTGTGGAGAAGTGGTTGTCTAGTTGGAGACAAGAGATGTATACTTACTTATATGTGTGGAGAAGTGGTTGTCTAGTTGGAGACAAGAGATGTATACTTACTTATATGTGCGGAGAAGTGGTTGTCTAGTTGGAGACAAGAGATGTATACTTACTTATATGTGCGGAGATGTGGTTGTCTAGTTGGAGACAAGAGATGTATGCTTACTTATATGTCGCGGAGATGTGGTTGTCTAGTTGGAGGTAAGCGATGTATACTTACTTATATGTGTGGAGAAGTGGTTGTCTAGTTGGAGGCAAGAAATGTATACTTACTTATATGTGCGGAGAAGTGGTTGTCTAGTTGGAGACAAGAGATGTATACTCCCCGCGGGTAGAACAGATTTGATGATCCATGGTGAGATAGGTGTGTGCCTTGATATTGACTGGAATGATTCTTGCTGTTCAGGTAGGTTATAACACAAGGGTGATAGGTTACTATCTCTTAGTACTGAAACAAAAAACGTTTATGTCGTTTAAGAAATAAAACATTTATTAATTGATAGATGGCAGTGAGAATGCAGTAGAAGTATGAGAAATGGAACACAAATCTGCAGTAAAAGTACCATGTCACACTGCTACCCACCTAATTACACAGACGTATCGTCGGTGTATCATGGCGGAACTTCCTCCGGGACTAGGTTTCGGTAAGATTTTTTTATTTCCCGATATGACGATCGGCATTAATATTGCCAATATTACACTGATATTGGTCGTTCGTCAGTGTAAGAAAAGCGAGGGACTAAATACGTGAATTGTGTCTTTGTTAACATATAAAACCTAAAACCATCGACACATTCTCAAACTACACTATCTTCCTTAACTTCGAGCCAAATTATTATCCACAACGTGACTTATAAGTAGGTGTAAATCGGGAAATAAAAAAATCTTATCGAAACCTAGTCCCGGAGGAAGTTCCGCCATGATACACCGACGATACGTCTGTGTAATTAGGTGGGTAGCAGTGATGTCAGGGTGTACCTGTTTGATTGATGTAAAGTAGGTTACAAACTAGAATGAATTTCTTTTCTTCATTCTAGGGTTCAACTGAGATGAAACATTGAAATCTGCTTCGCCAAAATGAACAGTTAAATATAGCCAATGATCAGCCAAAATAATTACTAAAATGCGGATGATGAGCCAAAATAATTATTTAAATGTGGTGACCAAAAATGGACACTAAAATGTTGTAAGGCAACATTAAAATTCGATTTTGTTTAGTCGTTCCTTCTTGGTGGATTACAGTGAGCACAGTGATTGTACCAACAAGAACCGTGATCATGAAATACACCAGACACTCACAAACACGATTGCAAGTGACATGTGAAACATCACAGAGTTATAAATATTATGCAAAACAACCGGAAAGCCATATTATAATACAAAGGGTGGAGGCAAGCACATACGTTATGATTTAGAGCACAATAACCTAGAATAACTTGGAAATACCTGGAATGTGTCTAACTGCGTTCATTGTTCTACAGAGACCATCTTTTCTCCATAGGGATTTTCTTATTCCAGGAATGCGGTTGATTGTCTGTCCTGGGGTCATGTCTGTATAGTTTTCCCGTTGCATACAGTCAGTTTCGCCATCAGTAAAGCTCATACATATAACTGACAACCAATCTTCCTTCTTTTCGGGTTTATCTAAATATGGAATTATGGTAAATATGTACAAATGATAAAGGAAAATATGGCGAAGGTTTCTCGACACCTAAACACTATGCCCAAATTATGTAGTTTCAAGAATGATCATTTTCTTAATGTTGCCCTTTGTGGATGTACAATACACAGATACAGATCAGAGTGGCATTGCACTAAAATCAAGGTTACTCGGCAATATAGGCTAACAAGCATATAGTGTTCGCTTTTAAGTGCCTGTCTAAATGAAGTAACTTTCAGGTATATTATGTTCCCATTCCTCAGTCACATTGTTTATTGTTCCTGTTCGCTCAAAATACCATTAGAAACTTAAGAATTTAGGATTGTTACTGGTTTACTTGGATTTACAGTTTCTATTGGTAACTAGGAGCATTCTCCTATACTAATCATAATGTATAAATTTCTTTCCATTCCCATCCGGATGTAAATCTATACCTGAGGATAGGGCTATCAAAAACCAAAGTAATCCATTCTTGGTCCAATGGTATTTTACGTTCTTTCTGAATTGAGGGATAAATAAGCCCTTTACCTTAAATGAAGCATTGGTGTAAGCTAGTACCTGAAGTATTGTATCCTTTCCATGGAATCCCCGTGGTAGTCTCTACCTCAACGCCGTACCCACGTTTGAGCAGCGCATCTTTATAGAGCGGTAAGTCCCGGTCTATCACCTTGTCATTCCCTCTAACCAACACAAGATTGCGCCTGGCACGTAAAGAGGCGAGGTACCGAGCCTCAACCTGAAAAAATGGAACACTGATTAAAAGGATGTTATTCGTTCGTTTTGGATACTTAGATAAATATTGTACATAATTGATATCAAACAATAACATCTGTGACTACAGGTCACAGTCGTTAAATGCGTTGTTCAACAATTTTATGTACACATCTTCAAAATTATTCAATTTTTATGACATTTGGTCCATAACTTCACATACCCATTAAAGGAGAATATATATGAGGGTTTTAATTTTGGACCGCCCTGTATATTACCATTGAAATCTATCCGAGTATACTATTCTTCTACCCTTTACATATGACTTTGCTCCTCTCAAATTAAGATAGCTTTGCAGAGAGTCAGTCTCCGGGTTCCCAGGGTAAAGAATGAGATTTTCTGAAGCCATTTTGTGAAGCCATAACTCAATTTATTGGAGCAATTGTCTGTAGACAAATTTTCAGTCTGAAACTTTGAGTCTAAATTCTTAAAATCTGAAAATGACTGAGTTGGTTCAATCAGACATGTAACAAATCCTCAAAAAGGATCCAACTGCTCAGTATTTACTCAAATAATAAATAACTTCAAACATCACTGGGCAAGTTTGTGTTTATGTTACCTATAGTTAAACTACCATCCTTCGTCTAACATCCAATTTGTAAACTGATAGATTTTATATGACTCCCTTGAAGTTTCAACTCATTCATAACATCATAAATACTGGTTTGGCAGTTGCTGTTTGCTCCACATGTCGAACCACAGACAGGTGATGTGAGGAGATGTTCACACTGGGTAGACTCTCGGATTTCATTGCCAACATTCCAATGCTAATATTTTGCATTTGTATGTACAATTATGCATGGCGTGTTGAATGTTGACGAACGTTGAATCTCTGGCTTTTTCATCCAATGAAATATCTAATTTACAAGCCGTTTTAATTAGCTAATATAGATGATATGATATCATAGAATATGCCAAAAGCACGACCGAATAATAAAATCTGTACCCCAGAATAAACCTCCAGAATAGAAAATCATTAGTCAAGATGGTCGCAATGAAGTTGACAATAATGACACTCGTGTTATCTTTGATGGTGGCAGCGAATATTTCAGGTGCGGCAAAATGGATATGGAGATACTCTGCGATGAAACACTTATTAACGCTTCATTGCTTTTAAATATATCGATATCTAAGTTGGAGAATTAAGTATTTGTGAAGTATTCAAGTTAGAGAATTGAGTATTTGTGAAGTATTCAAGCTGGAGAATTGAGTACTTGTGAAGTATTCAAGTTTGGGAATTGAGTACTTGTGAAGTATTCAAGCTTGAGAATTGAGTATCTCGTTCGAACACGTTGGTCTATCATCTCGCATCTTTGATAGATTCGAGAGTAACTGTGAGCAACAGGTGGTTACTGTAGTCGGTCATCATCTAACAATGATAAACAAAGATGCCAGCACTTCGGTTGTTGAGACCCTAAGGTAAGGTTAGGTAAGGTAAGGTAAGGTTAGGTCTTTCACATACTTAGACGATGCAAATACCATCACGAATGCTTCACAAATATTCTCAATTTGATATTGTATAATTTACGATTCTCTGTCTTAAATACTCAATTGCAATTCCATTCTTGAATACTTTACCATACACAATTCTCCAGCTGGAATACTTCACAAATATTCATACTGCATACTTCACACATACTTAATACTTCATTCTCTAACTTGAATACTTTACAAGTAATCAATAATTATCAAACTTGAATACTTTACAAATACTTAAATCTCCAACTTGGAATACTTCACAAATACTCAATTCGCTAGCTTGAATACTTAACAAGTACTCAATTCTCCAGCTTGAATACTTTACAAACACTCAATTCTCTAGCTTGAATACTTCACAAATACTCAATTCTCCAGCTTGAATACTTTACAAATACTCAATTCTCCAGCTTGAATACTTTAAAAATACTCAATTCTCCAGCTTGAATACTTCACAAATACTCAGTGATTCTCCAGCTTGAATACTTCACAAATACTCAGTGATTCACCAGCTTGAATACTTCACAAATACTCAGTGATTCTCCAGCTTGAATACTTTACAAATGCTCAATTCTCTAGCTTGAATACTTCACAAATACTCAGTGATTCTCCAGCTTGAATACTTTACAAACACTCAATTCTCTAGCTTGAATACTTCACAAATACTCAATTCTCCAGCTTGAATACTTTACAAATACTCAATTCTCCAGCTTGAATACTTTAAAAATACTCAATTCTCCAGCTTGAATACTTCACAAATACTCAGTGATTCTCCAGCTTGAATACTTCACAAATACTCAGTGATTCTCCAGCTTGAATACTTCACAAATACTCAGTGATTCTCCAGCTTGAATACTTTACAAATGCTCAATTCTCTAGCTTGAATACTTCACAAATACTCAGTGATTCTCCAGCTTGAATACTTTACAAACACTCAATTCTCTAGCTTGAATACTTCACAAATACTCAATTCTCCAGCTTGAATACTTTACAAATACTCAATTCTCCAGCTTGAATACTTAAAAAATACTCAATTCTCCAGCTTGAATACTTCACAAATACTCACTGATTCTCCAGCTTGAATACTTCACAAATACTCAGTGATTCTCCAGCTTGAATACTTTACAAATACTCAATTCTCCAGCTTGAATACTTAAAAAATACTCAATTCTCCAGCTTGAATACTTCACAAATACTCATTGATTCTCCAGCTTGAATACTTCACAAATACTCAGTGATTCTCCAGCTTGAATACTTTACAAATACTCAATTCTCCAGCTTGAATACTTTAAAAATACTCAATTCTCCAGCTTGAATACTTCACAAATACTCAGTGATTCTCCAGCTTGAATACTTTACAAACACTCAATTCTCCAGCTTGAATACTTTACAAATACTCAATTCTCCAGCTTGAATACTTTAAAAATACTTAATTCTCCAGCTTGAATACTTCACAAATACTCAGTGATTCTCCAGCTTGAATACTTTACAAACACTCAATTCTCTAGCTTGAATACTTCACAAATACTCAATTCTCCAGCTTGAATACTTTACAAATACTCAATTCTCCAGCTTGAATACTTCACAAATACTCAGTGATTCTCCAGCTTGAATACTTTACAAACACTCAATTCTCTAGCTTGAATACTTCACAAATACTCAATTCTCCAGCTTGAATACTTTACAAATACTCAATTCTCCAGCTTGAATACTTTAAAAATACTCAATTCTCCAGCTTGAATACTTCACAAATACTCAGTGATTCTCCAACTGAATACTTAACAAATACTTTATTCTTCAACTTAAATACTTCACGATCACTCAATTCTCCAGCTTGAATACTTTATAAATACTCAATAATTCAATAATTCTCCAGCTTCAATACTTCACGATCACTCAATTCTCCAGCTTGAATACTTTATAAATACTCAATAATTCAATAATTCTCCAGCTTCAATACTTCACAAACACTCAATTCCAAGCTTGAATACTTTACAAATACTTAATTCTCCAGCTTGAATACTTTACAAATAATTAATTCTGTAGCTTGAATACTTCACAAATACTCAATTCCAAGCTTGAATACATTCTCCAGCTTGAATATTTTACAAATACTCAATTCTCGAGCTTGAATACTTTACAAATACTCGATTCTCCAGCTTGAATACTTAACAAATACTCAATTCTCCCAGTACATTATATTGTCCCATTGCACCATAGTGCTCAAGTGCACAATATTGTCCCAGCACATTATCGGGGCCTCGGGAAATACCATATTGTCCCTTGGAATAAACCCCATGTTAAATCCCTCCCAGTAAACAACCTCTATGTCCAACTACATCATATTGTCCGATTATATCATATTGTCCCATGCCAGTGCATCATATTCCCAATTTTTGGGGTCTCAATAAGTGGGCCTTTTGGGCATTACTTGGCCTTTTCGGGCCTTGTTTTTCATTTTTTGCTAAATTTTCAAAATATGGACATTACATTTTCAAAATTTGGGACCAAGATTTTTTGTAGACTGGTTTCTGCCCATCATCACTAAGCCGTTCGCCATATTCTGTTTATCGGATTGTCCCAGTACATCATATTGTCCCAGTTTTCAATTAATACATTAAAATACCATGGAAATAAATAGGAATATGAATAGTGATAATCCAAGCCATATCTATTATCAGACGAGGGAAGAAGCTCATAATCTAGAGTGGATATTAGAACTAGTATGGCGAACGGCTAAGTGATGATGGGCAGAAACCAGTGTACGAATAGGTTACGAAATATGGTTTAAACATGGAGACCTGCTGTATGTAATTAGCCTTCTCTTATCAACATCCTCCAGAACCAAAATACTGACCATTCACCCTATTCTGTTCCTGTACATACTATATATTGCACAGCATCTGAGGCACCAACGGGCTTACTAACAGTAATTATATATACGTCTGTTGAACAAAACATCCAAAAGGGATGTTAAACAAGCTACACGTTTTAACTTACAAATACGTGTGCGTGTAGAATCATGGTCCTCAATGGATGCGTTTTCCCCTTCGTAGAATTAACATCTCTGATTGAGCATAAAATTATAAAAAAATAGGATTTTAATTAGGTCCCTGAAAAGATAATTGAGAGGGGGACGACATTCCCGCAATCCCAATGGGTCATAATATTACACGTCCACAATTTCACTAAAAACGTATGGGAGGAAATTGCATGCAAGTCAATACAGCTGTTTTTCTATTGGATGACATATGAGATGAGGGATGCCAATTGACATTCGTTTTTCAATCCATTGAATTAGTTGTAAATTAATGATCAATATAAGGTTATACCATGCAACATGGATATAGTAATTATTTCAACGGAATTGTAATAGAATATTTGTCGTGTAATAGTAGGCCTACTATATATTACGTAAACCCATAAGTGGTTTGATTCTGGAGTCTGAAATGGTTTCTTGTATTATCCAAATACTACGGACAATAAATGGAAAATGAAAATTGGTATTTATAAATAACATTCTTCAAGACCAATTTGTGCTTATCAAATGCTTTATTTGGTCGATACGTTATAATTTTCTAATTGTGCCAAGAGGGGTGAGTCTACCACTACGCCAATCTACTCTTAACAGCCTTAATGTTTGAATTTCCTCCAAATAAATGCGCGGGTCATTGATTCACAGAGACATTTACTCCATTGCAATATTAATATTGTAATGGACATATTTTATTTCTTGGTAATTTAGAAATTCCTTCAATAAAAGTGCCTTAGTAAATTGAAAATGGAAAATCAAGTCATGTTAATTGGACAATCCTGTCGGTTTTCATAGGCTAAATAATCGTCAAGTTACCAAGTTTTTGCTTTTTGCTGTTTCGATACGGAGGGTTTGAATGAACAATTTCAAATTTAGACCAAGTCTTTTCTTTCTGGTGAAAAGGTACATATTTATTATTTACTGTAATGACATGATTATTATGTTTTATGGACTTTTTTTAGCTCATTCTTGGACATTTTGTTTGACGGTTTCAAGTGGCACTTTAACATCCATTCTACTTCGAGAACCATTTGTTTCCATAAAAGATTTGTTGATAAATAAACGATGTAGTTCCTAACCAACGAGAAAATCCTATTCTCATTTGGTTGAAAGATGAAAATACACATTTGTAATACAATTAATTCTTGTTATTTGGTTTGGCGGTCAATTAAGATAGCAGGGCCGCAAACTTAATTAGCGCTAAGAGATGATTGGTGATGCTGAAGCCCCATATTCAGTGAGACAATGGTAACTAATAACGATTTCACAACTTTAAATTTGTTTATGTCGATCCACTGATTTTTTTTGCTACAAACAAATTCGTATGAATTGACATGGTGGCCAAGATTTTAAGGCATTTATAGTTGCCGTTTCTATTGTTTTATTGTCTTGGGGAACAAATGAAACAATATAATGACTTTTGAAAATCCAGTTATAATCCAGCGAGACTATAATAGCATTATAATATATAGTTCTCTTACAGATAACATCAGTAAGATTTCCCACTGCGTCTATCTAATTGCCGGAGAAATGAAGCTAAATCGATATCATAAAACATTCGACTACTTTTCTCCAAAATTTCATTCCAATTGATGTTTATCAGAATGTTTGATCTAAATTCCATTTACTCGATAACCCCTCGACGATTGAGAAATGAAACTTAGAAGCGAAAAGCTCAATAGACTTAATGCATTATCTGCTATATACATTATCAATTTCTTGTGATTGCTAAAAAGGATAGTAAACTGCGTCAGAAAGTATGGAAATCTGAAATAAATAGGCAAACTGTTCTATTTCTGGGGGATTTTCTGTTATTTTAAGAAATAATCTTGAGAGTTACCAGGCGGGGTACTCACTCGTGGAAACACATGAACAAGGAAAACATATTAAGAAAAAAAGCAGAACCCGTGAAAACACTATTGACTTGACACCTTAACAAGTGGAAAAGAAGTTATTGGTAAAGTGAAAGCTTAGCAGGTTGAAGACTTTCATATTCCACGCCAGGAAGATAAGCACAAATGAAATTTCCGAATGCTGCAACTGATGGTTGAAAGTTTGATACAAGTACAGTGTACGAGAAAGTCTAAATAAATGATTAATATACTTTTTGCCCTTTGTAACTTTTTCTTTTGTCTTCAAAAACGTATCTTACATTTTCCAAATAACAAAACAAAGAAAGAACATGTGCCAACTGGCAAGTCCAACATTCATTCTGTGTTGTTGTCATGGTGATGAAAGTTACCAGAAATGTAGCTATGGTAAATACGACTTCGTGTGATAACCTAAAGACTTTAGCTAGGTATTGAGAAGGAAATAACAGTATTGTTTTACTCATGGAATTGATTTTTGCGATTTCTTGCTATTGAATGTCGGAATATGACCCCTTGCTAAACAAATTGATCTGCCATTGGGCGATAAGAGTAACGGGGCAATCCGACCAATAAAGCACATTTGGAGGAATCATGGCACGAGTTGGCACGAGCATGAGGAACTGGCATTTATCTCCTTTCACTTTCATCTTTGATTCTTCATCCATACCCGTAAGTTAGTCAGGGTGTTCGGGGGGAGGGGTCGAGGAACCCCCATTGCCAAAAAATATTTCAAAATCATGCAGTTTCTCACCATCCTGAGCACTTATTTTTGGGCCAAAATTGTCAAAAGTGTACCCCCTGGAATTTTTTAAAAGGTGAACCCCTCCCTTGGCAAAAGCTGGCTAAGGGCCTGTCATCCTACAACTTACTTTCCTCAACACAAGTATATTTCATAGTCATTAATCAACTGATTGGTGTCAACATAACATAGACAATGGCAACAATGTAAGTTTTGTAACATCTATCAAAAAATGCAATGAATGATTGCCTTGTTTGCAGACCCGCTGGCAGTTGGTTTCAATTTCCTGGACCGATTCAGTTCTAAAAGAAATAAAAGGCGAATTGATGATGGAAACCAACCTCTGTGCTTTGATGATAAAACTCTCTCTTTATGGGTCAATTAGGTTTGATGTTACACCTAACTCAACAAAACAACTTAGAAACTGATAGCGGTCCAACTTGTGAGAATACTTTTGATAAACTTTGCGCTTCTGATCGGAACTATAAAAGCTTTTGTCGGCCCCGATTGTGACCGTCGACAAAAATTGGTTTCAGTTTAAAGTTTGAGTTAATATGTACACAAATGACAACATGATAAAAGAAGTCTAGTGTATGAGCCTAAACCAAGAAAATGATAAACCACTTGCGAATACAATTAAACAGATTTTCCGCAAATGGCTAACTTTTCCCGAAGAGAAACTTTCTGATTGCTGGTATATGGGTCCATTCTGATACTCAGGGCTGAGAAGAAATGAGATGTCATGGTTTATCATGATGGTATGGGTCGTGCGATGGATGCATCTAGTACCTTTCATTGCAACATTGAGCAGAGCCAACCTTGAACGGACTAGATTTATGATGTGTTATACCTAGAAGCGCTTTACACTTTAAACTGTGAAAAGTACGTAGTGATTGCAGATTCACTATGGTCAGTGAATACTTCGATAAAATAGACATGAACCATTCCAGCAAACTGCCAAAAATGGGTTGAGATTGGTAACAGTGAGGCAAAGTTGGGGGGGGGGTAAATTGACCGCACGTACCTGCTCTATGTAAATTCTTAATCGTCGTTGTTCATCTGTAGTCACCTGTTCTTTATTAGTGCCCTCATTAAGCTTTTGTTCTTGATTAGTACCCTCATTAGACTCTTGTTGATAAACAGGATAGGTATCCTGCTGACGATAAGCCGAATTTCTTTCGACATGCTCTATCTCTTCTCGCTCTGTCAAAACACTGCTAGATAAGAAGGTACCGGGAGATTTCATGAATGATCCAAGCATTGCTATTGTACCAATTATCCATACTGCTACAAATAATTTGCGTACTTTTGTGAAGGACGCAACTACAAAAATCCATGTTCTTATGTGCCTCATGTTGCCAATGGCATATTACACATATGAAAACAATTGCCAAAATCTTTGATGTCAGACTGATAGCTTTACTGCGTCAAACGTACGTCAAACTTTTGTTAATTTATTAAATATGATAAAAATATCTGGAGTTTGTTCCTATACTGTAACTAATGTTTTCTCAAAACTGTACTGATCATTTCCAGTTCTGAAGGCGTCTCTCTGGTCTCTCTGCGATGCATATTATTCTTCAATTACATTAATAAATTCATTTCAATATTTCCGAGATGCCGTTAGCTGGAGACTTTATAGTACTTGTATTTAGTGTTCTGTACAACAATTTTACATTTCGTCAATCACTAAAAATCTGATTGGTGCAAAAACAAATTCCAAGTGCCTTTATTTACTTTTTCAGTTTCCTGTTACTTTTTCAAGGCTAACCATATGTTTTATCCATTTTGTGTATGTTGAGTCAACTTTAATTTAAACACAAACCGTGTTGAATTAAACATAAGCCTGAGTAATTTGGAAATTAAGTGGTGCTCCTTGGGGTACTTCACACGTCCTTCATTCTACTCCGTCTATACTTGTGAATGGTCCGTGATGTGTGGAATACTCTTGAAGTATTACAATCGTTCCAATCGATTTTGTCTCGTGATTCCGATTGAGTACTAAGCACATCTTCAATACTGATTACATGAATTGTACATGAAAAGTATGATTTAATTAAGATAATTTTCGTCCATTGTAAGTTATATCATTTTGATATAGATATGTGACGACGCTGCAACTAACGCTAAGAACACTATGCTGCATCAACAAAAATCCTCTTATTTTGGTCTTCGTCGGTTTATACGATCTAGAACCTGCATACGAGTGTAGACCAGTAAAATTACCAACAGAAAAATCTTTTGGTAGCATTAGTTCAAAAATTGTAACTTCAAGGGTACATTTCAGAAACCGTCTAATTTAAACTTGTACATGTTATTTTGCCCTGCAGATGTTCCTTTAGCTCATATTCCCCCAGTTTACTTTCTCTCTCTGTGGATTCCTCGATCTACTCGATTACACTTTATCAATTATTCTGTGAAACAGATATAAAGTTCTACTGCTCTCGTCTGGTCTCCAAATCTTATGATTAACTCGATATGGTTTTATCAGCAATAGATACAAGATAGATACAAAACTGAACTCATTTTTCTTCTCAATATCTTTTTTCTTTTCTTGGCCTTTCTTTATCGCGGAATGGACATACTAATTTGGTATATGTGATTACTGCTCACCAATGCTCTAAGGTATATCATTTTCGACTTTCCAAGTTTACAACTGAGCAGGCTTCGAACATTTTGATATTGGAGATGTACACTCTGCTTCATACATTTGGAAACCGGTATGACCCACACCTAGACTAGGCTACTTAAAATGACTCTCTTTGTTGAAATTTTTATTTACAAAACCTGTAAGTAAATGAACTATTTATAGGGCTGTGAATATAAACTGTACATGTCTTCATTTCCAACACCTCTGATTTTCCTAAATTTTTCAATCAGTGTCAATTAGGCCTATGTATAGTACCATGGCCGGGTACCATGGACTTTCTATTGACAGCCTATGGTCGTACCATTTGTATTCGTTCGACGTCGCTTCTTAAAAGAAAGCTTCACTAGACTTTGCGTGCTGGGTACGTACTGGCTAACATTAATAATTCTATCTGCAGATATTTGTATTATATTTGTGTAACTTAAAAAAGAAATTGTATAAGAGTACATGGGCGGATCTGGGAATCAACAAGGGGGGGGGGGGGCAAACTTCTGATCTGAGAAAAAACTTCCGCGCTTGAGCGAAAAAAAATGTTGGGCCTCTTAAACCAAAAAAGTGGGCTCAAATTTTGAAATTTTTGAGGCCCATTTTCTTCAAAACTTGGCCTGAAATTTAAAAATAAGGCCTTAGAAGGCCCATTTATGACCAAAAAGGCCCACTTTATGGGCCTTAAGGCGTTTTGTGGCTCAAAATTTCGTATGGGGCCAATTTTTTTCTGGGCTCACCCAAGGGAAGCCGGACCCCTGCCCCCCCCCCAGATCCGCCAGTGGAGTATGACACTCCGTATGACACTGGCGCCTTTTCAATAGCTTTTACTCCTAGCGTTATTGGACTTCCACAGTTCAATGGAAGTATACGGATTACCCATATGTAGGTATTCTTCTTTAAATAACGAAAACTATTAGTTCAAAATTAATTTGTGAAGTTTTCTTAGTATTCTATGAAAAATACCATGCTCCTTCATGGTGGAAAAATCTTTCGATCGCACCCCGTGTTAGTATAACTGATGGTCTCAGATGGGATTAAAAACGTCAATATCATTTTTATTTAACTTTTCGGAATGCATGGATTTCAACAATATTTTAAAAATGTAATTTTACAGGATTCACAGATATCAATTTTTGGGATCAAAATGACATAAGGATATCTTTACTGGCATTTCAATGAGTTAACAGACAATAGGGGGTGCGAATGCTTACCCCTAGTTTCAAGGTTATATTTGGCTTTAGTGATATCCCATATATTGGAACCATATAAGCAGTCTGTAGGGCAAATTAACGTATCGAGAGCTTACACTATATTGTAATGATCGATAATTAGAGCATTTTGGGAGTATGCTGTGACCAGCAAGAAAGATTACAGCCAGAATGGTTTAACATCAAGAAAATCAGAATTGATAAACAAAAAATGAATGAAAAATGAATGGGTTATCATGTCATTACTAGTCCGAGTCCAAAAGAAAGAAGGCATAACATAAAAAAATGTTACCACCTATTTGCTTAAATCTGAAATCTAAAGTCAGATATGGAAAAAATGAGAAAATATTTGGTCAATTTGAAAAAACCTTTTGACCGAGAAGGCTTGAAGTTCAGTCTAAACAGTATTTGTTAAGTTATTGGAAGTTGTAAGAATTTATTACAGACGCCGAGCGCCAACCGCCGTCACAAAAAACGGAGACCATGATAACATGTCACAACTTTTTGATGGTGACATAATAAAAAACAAGTTTGATAACTTCAAGCGTCATCCTCCTAAGCAGGTGTCAAGAATCCGTACCTCCTTCTTAAAAGAAAGAAGTTATTCTGGATTTTGAAGCCCTGTGATCGGAGGATGTCAAGCGTGGGCTCAAAGTTGCACCTTAATACTGATCTACTTTACCATGGGCTTTCAATAGAAACGAGTATGATCCCAACGTTTTTCTCCGTTTACTTATTTATGTTGTACTTACTGTAATACAGGCTGACTATACAGACTACCCCAGTCGGAGTCTTATCTTTTTGTCTGGAAATAATATTAGATTTCAGAATTATACTGATCTCCTTACCCTCACTTTAGTTTGACAGAGTATAAGTATAGATATCAATCTGATACTATCATTTGACACATTGACTATCAGGATACTAATGATTTTGGAAACTTAAAATCCCCCCCCCCCAGTTTGATTTATCTCTTGCGCGCCATCTTTCAAATAAGAACTGCTTTAAAAGTATCCTATAGAATCACCTTGTTGCAGAATCTTTCAATGAGACATTTTAAAAAGTCCTAGAATTAAATTATAGATGTCACCATTGCAAATTGCCATTCAGTGTTTTAGACATTTATTTCATTCATAAATTCTTCAGTCAAAGAGTAAATACTCATGTTCCAAATAAGGGAAGTGACCCTAATCAATTATAGTGGTAAGTATAAAATCTTTAACTTTGATTGGCTATATCCTAATTGATTTTCTATATAAGGAGCGATGACGTTAGTTTGCACCTCTTGACTGAATAATGACGTCAGCAGTTGGGTATTCCTACTTCCGGATTTCAAGTTGAAGACACAAATTCTCGAAAGGTGGACAAAAATGACTCATATCTTCGCATTCTAAGCAATTTAGTTATTGATGCATGTGGATTGCACAAATTGATTGCTAGGACACAACTTAAACCGGAAGACACATAATTTGTCCCACGGAAACAGGAATTACAGTCGAAACACTGAGCGTGAAAAAAATTTCAATAATCACAAGTTTGCCGCCCACTCAACAGTTACATGATGAAAATAACTTGATGATATCATCTTGGTAAGTAATTTTGATCATTATGTATAAAAGAGAAACACAATAATTGTCAATTTACACTAGGATCTTGCAACAGGCAACCATAACTAAGTACTAACCAAACTAATGTGTCCCCTGTGAATGTGTCAGTCTAAATCCCTAGATTGTAATGAGAAAAAGAATACTTCCCTTCCTATAAACCAAAACAACTTCAATTAGACCTAGCCTGGGGCCTCATGTCTTATCTGACTTGTCTTATGGCTCTAGCAATGTACGAAAGAAAGATCAGAATAATAAAGAAGGCTGTACATTGAGTTCTACTTGTAGAACTACATGTACATGTACCCTCCCTAAAGTCGTTGTGGTAAGCCACACCTTCTCCATCTCTGTCATTGATGCATGAAAGTGGAAGTGAGAGAGATGCTATGAGCATCAGAATCCATTAAAGGTATATCCTACTTAAATAGGCATTATGCCATCAAAAACTTCAGGGCCACGACTCATATTTAAAACAAAAAGAAGTAGCGGTTTATCCCGTGCCAGGACTATGGTAAAATATTACCTCTGGAACTGAGTTTAAATAAAGACAATTGAAAGTCACAAAGCGAGTAAGACTATCACTGAGCGAATGTCATCTATATAGGTACCGGTAACTGAGAAAGAGCAGCACAGGACAGAATCTTGTAATTATGTACTTAAATTACATTAATATGGACAACATTGTCCATTACAATAACCACGGGACAATAACCTATTGTCCCATGACTACTGTCTTGCTATCAGATTAATTAGCTCATCTTATTGTTACCTTTATGTTAAATCTCACTATAAGGCTTCACTCGCATACCTGGGTTATATCTTCAGAATAGAGAATAGCAGCTTCATAGTGGGGGGGGGGGGGGTCAGGGGGTTCAAACATTCTTTTAAAATCATGCAGTTATTCATGATAGTATAGTTATATTTTACCATTCTTAGCACTTTTCAAGTGAGCTGGTATACAGTACAGTTTAGTTAACACTATACTTTTTGTAATCAACTTTAAATCCATAGGCCAAGGGAGCTGTATCTAGAAGAGAATTTTCAATATTTACCACTGAACTCCATATCGAATGCCTGTTCTTTGCTTGCTCCAAAGCCCCACTTACTCTGAAAACAGGAAGTGTAAAAATACTTGAATAGATTGGTTGCTCTTCAGAAGTGTATTGTAACCTAGATAGGAACTATTGCCTACCAATATTTAATCGGTAATTTGGCTTAGACTGCCTTATCATTGTAACATGTTTACCACATTGTAAGAGTTTATCAGCCCATTGGTGTACATATTACACATCATTTCCGCTCATTTATATTATCTTTTTGTTAAGTCTGAAGGAGCTATTAACAATTGTTTGTACCTTCTATGTTCAGTTTTGTGATCCCCTCTCACTCAAACATTCAGATTTCAGATTCACAATATGTTGAAAAAGATGTTTAGTGTAGTCATTTATGAAGTCATCTCTTCATGTAAGAACTGTTAGAAAGGAATTCAAACCATGTGACCTTAAAATGTTTTTTGCAAGTCTGTCATTTGTTTGCCCTTAAGACATTTATTTGTCAATTTAGGGATATTGGTGCATTAACTTGCATACATACTTAATAGCCCTTAAATATGCATACATACTTATATCACATAGTTGAGCCCAAGTATGTATGATGTTTCAAGTCAAGTCATCACGTCATAAACCTTTTGAAGGAATCAAAATTATTAAAATCTTCAAAACAATAGGCCTTTGTTACAGTGAAACAAATGATGTGATTATGTTTGTAAGGGATATTTGTGTTTTTCTTGGGATTAAGTTACTTCTTAGTATTTCAAGAAATGTTTTCTTTCAAGATCAAATTCTCATAAAACAAAACTCATTCTCTTTACATTATATTCAGTGGGATCAGTTAAGTTCACATTTAAAGATTCTATAGAATAATAGTTATCAATAACGCAAATGCGAGTAGGTAGTTACCAGTTTTGCCACCAGGTGGCTCGTTCGGGTCAGATAACATGGCGGGTATAGTAGAAAGTTCCATTTAACTTAAATTACATCTGTTTTAGTGGTTCAATTTTTGTATAACCCTTATGTATCTAGTTATGCAAATTAAAATATGTCCAGTAAAAGAAAATGTTATCTGTCCAATACAAGAAAAGATATTTCACTTTTTGTGATTTTGTAACATGGGGTCTATGAGCAATCAACCCGAGCTAGAAGTCACATTTTCAAATAAAATAAAATTTTCAAAGTTGATAAACAATTTTCGAATGATTTTTCTAGATGTACTTTTACATGTAGATTTCAAATATGACATCACTTTGACTGAATATTTAATGACGTAAATCAAGATTATTTCTATTCGCATCTAGTCTATTGATTATCATGTTCTGTCATGTGCAGTTGTGAGTTTGTTACATTGCATTGGGTTAGGGCATATGCTGCTTTGGGTAAGGTTATACGTTGCATTGGGTTAGGGCATATGCTGCTTTGGGTAAGGTTATACGTTGCATTGGGTTAGGGCATATGCTGCTTTAGGTAAGGTTATACGTTGCATTGGGTTAGGGCATATGCTGCTTTGGGTAAGGTTATACGTTGCATTGGGTTAGGGCATATGCTGCTTTGGGTTAGGTTATACGTTGCATTGGGTTAGGGCATATGCTGCTTTGGGTAAGGTTATACGTTGCATTGGGTTAGGGCATATGCTGCTTTGGGTTAGGTTATACGTTGCATTGGGTTAGGGCATATGCTGCTTTGGGTAAGGTTATACGTTGCATTGGGTTAGGGCATATGCTGCTTTGGGTTAGGTTATACGTTGCATTGGGTTAGGGCATATGCTGCTTTGGGTTAGGTTATACGTTGCATTGGGTTAGGGCATATGCTGCTTTGGGTAAGGTTATACGTTGCATTGGGTTAGGGCATATGCTGCTTTGGGTTAGGTTATACGTTGCATTGGGTTAGGGCATATGCTGCTTTGGGTTAGGTTATACGTTGCATTGGGTTAGGGCATATGCTGCTTTGGGTTAGGTTATACGTTGCATTGGGTTAGGGCATATGCTGCTTTGGGTTAGGTTATACGTTGCATTGGGTTAGGGCATATGCTGCTTTGGGTAAGGTTATACGTTGCATTGGGTTAGGGCATATGCTGCTTTGGGTTAGGTTATACGTTGCATTGGGTTAGGGCATATGCTGCTTTGGGTTAGGTTATACGTTGCATTGGGTTAGGGCATATGCTGCTTTGGGTAAGGTTATACGTTGCATTAGTTTTCTCTTATGGTATTATATGTTGGCATTTTATGTCATTGGGTCTTATTTTCAAAGATATGTCTCTTTTATAAATTTCCAGACCTGCCATTGTTCTTAGATTTTAGAGCAGTTACGATCTGACTCTAAAAAACTAAATTGCATTCTCATTCAGCCATTCAAGCTTTTGACTCCATACCACATGGCATTGACTTCTAAGCTATATAATTAGTATTATGCTTAAAAACACAAATCACTAAAACAAATTATCATTCTAACTTATGTGATAATTATGATAATGATGAACTCTCATTTTATTATTTTTTTTCATTGTTCTAACAGTAGACAAATTAAGGTCTGTGCCCCAATCTAATGGTTGTTCTCAGTTAACTCTAAGCTAGGTTCTTTGACCACCAATTGTCCACATCATCAACTTTCGTCGCATCTTCTATGGACTTGTTTAATTGCATCATGTCCTCATGAGTTGAATATATTTTTCATATATGCGCAGGGTGTTGTCCGCTGCATTTGCTAAAACAAATACAGCATGCTATTTTAATTGTTACAATTGTATTGAACTCATCTGAAAACAAGTTTGATATTACAATGTGTGGTTTACTTAAAGGGATGGTGTCAAATTATCAACAGTCAAGAAAAAACTAATTTCATTATGGTTTGAACCCCCTCTTCTAACAAAATTTAAAAACGTTGATTTATCTTTCACTTGAATATTTAAAAAGTCAACACTATTCACTAACGAAACCATCATTTACCTCCTCCTCCATTAACAAAACTAACTTTGTTATTCCGTAACTGTTGATAATTGGAAACCATCCCTTACCAAGCATACAATTTAATATCTATTCATATTAGTTCACATCCTGCTGCATTTGTTTGTTAATTAACATTGTGAAATGTATTTTAGTGTATCCAATAGTAATAAAGATTAAAGTGTGTTCAGAGTGCAGACTGGTGTCGGTTTGATCCCTTTAGTTATATATGAGACATGTGAATAGTACGCCCTTGTTATGAAAAATAAAAAGCTCTGTATTATTGTAAATATTTATGCATCAAATATTTAGATGTCTAGTATTGAGTGTAAGATTGTTGGGAATATTCCAGAATATATTCCTTTTTTACCACAATTAATGATGATATTTATTTTTCAGATCCCTTATCTATACCAAAGAGTAAAAACAGCCAGATCTTGTGACCAAGAGTAATCGGTAAGTAAAAGTTTTCAGTATGAGTTTTTATCAAAATCATTCATTTCATCAGAATATTTCAGAACATTGTTTACTGTACTGAGATTAACAATAAACAGCAAAATCTGTCATGTGGAACAACTCTACTATAATATTTCTGGTTTTAGTGAAACAACTAAGTGGAACACTTATTAGCAAAACCAAGGGAGTTCCACTTACAAAGGATTTACTGTGCCTGTAAGTGGAAAACCTCTATTAGTGAAACAGTTTTCGGAGTCCCAAAGACCAACTGACTTAATATTTATTTATGAACCTCTATAAATGAGAGACCTCCTAAGTTCCACTTACACAGGTTTCATAAAAGTTTGAAGGCTTATAGTGATTTTAACAATTTTTATTTAAATGTGTAGTTGTTACACATTTTGAATGTTAACCTCTAGAGGCCCCTATTGTATCTCTTCTCTGCATCTCATAGATGCAAGCCTCTCCCTCTCAATCGGCTTTTGTATGCTTTATCTTTACCTGGGCTCTTTATTTGCTTAGGTACAGAAGAATGAAGTTAGACCCCGGAAGGACCGCATCTGATTGTTATATTCCCCTCTCAATAAGATTTTGTTATCAAGTTTTTCATGTGCGTTTCAGGGTCCAACTAAGGAAGATGGATGGTTCTGTTCCCTCACCCATGTCAGACACTTCTGATGTTGCTACAGACAAGCCATACATCACAACAACTATGACTATACGCACCAGAGGTTAGTCGTTTTTAACTATAGCTATATGTTATTTGGAGATTTCCATATAAGGACACTCTACCAGTTTCATAAATCTTTTTAATACATTTTCATTTAGCTAAAAGTAGACAATGGTTTCCAAGGATTTGTAAGTTATGACCCAAAGTACCAAAATGTTGTTCAGGTTTTTAAATGGCATTCTCAATATGTTTACAATTGCTGACATGACAAGAACATGTTTCTGCAGAATAAAGAATATAAGTGGGTGATAATATGACAGTTAAGTATCAGAAGCCAGTTTCATTCTGTCAAAGGTTTGAAGTCAGTGTCAATCCCAAAACATCCTGTCAATTTCAGTCTAGTGTTATCAATATGCAGCCTGCTACCCTCTCCAAGAGCTTTACCTTTTGTTACTCTCTAGATTAGAAATATTGAACCTGGAATACACTTATCTAAGAAGATGACATTCGTTATATGTTCAAACTCCCTAAATATCAGCATCAAAGATTATAGAAGTCAAAGAGTATTTTTAGTTTGGGATATTATTTTTTTTTAGTTTGGGGTATTACTTCTGGTCAGGGGTCAGATTTGACTGAGGGTAGTTTTGCTATTTAGAGAGGATAACGTTAAGTTTTATTCTCACACACCACCTGCCACAACTTTTCAGTGAATATAAGAAAGAGACCCAAGATTGTTGTTGATGAGACATTGTAATTGCAACGCAACATTATTTAATCACCTTACAAAGATATGAAGGAAATTCTGTCCTTTGTTAGATTAGCTCAGCCCACACTTGCTTTCCTTGTTTCTGAAAATGGAAGCCAAAAAAGATAACCCAAACAAATGTTAATAACTCAGTCATTCAGCATGGGTTTAAGGTCACATTTAAACATTGTTAAATGTTCTCCCATTCTACCAAGTTTAATTGGTCTTATACAAACGGTCACAGTTAAATGGCCATTTTACAAAACATGCTCAAAATACCAGTCTCATCTGTGGAGGCAAACTTCAATGCATTGGATGAAGTCATCCGTACTACAGCTCACAGATGCTTGTGTAATGGCCCTCATTTTCCTTCTAATCTCTTGTTTTAACTCTCTGATGCTTCTAGTGTTGTTAATGTAGACATTATTTTGAAATACCCCCAAACATGACGATTGAGAATAAACTGATGAAACTTGGTAGAAAGAACGAACATTAACAAGGTTCAGTTATGCAAAATATGACTTAAAACCCATGCTGGATGACTGAGTTATTAATATTTGTCTGGGTTACCTTTTTTGGCTCACCCTGTATGTTATATATCTTTTATCTTGAGCATGTGCTATTGGATTAATTTGCCAGACTTTTGCCTGGACAAGTATGTTATTAGATCATATGGCTGTCTTGTGATTACCCTTTCCAATCGTTTGTTTTGGTTCTTTAAAAGAGAACTTCAGCTATACTCTTTGAATTCAAAACATCCCTTAATCAAGCCTTTAACCAATCAGGATACTTGGAATATGGTCGATTGAAATCCAGCTACCAAAAGTAGCGTTCAATGATTAAATGCAATGACAGCTACTTTTTGGGTCATTTAGGCCTTATCAGGATCGATTTAGATATTTGTTTATTTTTCGTATTCAGAGCTTAATGGATTAGACTCTTACACTGAGGAAATCATATGATAAACATTTCCTCATTTTGTATTGTGGTTTTCCTGCAACATTATTCTCGCTAGAGTCCTGCATACATAATAACTAAGATTTTTTGCCAAAATAATTGCTGCATATCAAGTATTTAATAAACTAGTATATATATATATATATAAGTGGGAAATTATTTTAATATTTCTTTATTTCCAATTATCACATTTGAACTATTTTGATATCTGACAAATCATTTATATTTATGATAGTGTGTTATAGATGTACATTGCAAAAAAGTGTCTGTTCACCAGTATAAGAATGTGATACAATGATTTTTCAGGCCAAATTTGGAATAATGAAATTTTATGAGCTTGTTTTACCTCAAAAACTTGATCCCCTTTTCATGTTTATAGAGACAAGCTTTTTTAGAAACATCAGCGGGAGTTTTAAAAAATATTTCTGATTTATTTCAGGTATGGATGCTAACATAACACTGTGGCAGTTTTTACTTGAACTGTTGCTAAGCAACCAGCATGATGACATCATCCAATGGACGCTTAATGAGGGTGAATTTAAGTTGATCAATGCTGAAGAGGTAGCCAAGCAGTGGGGCCTCCGTAAAAACAAAAACAACATGAACTATGATAAACTGAGTCGAGCTCTTCGTTACTACTATGACAAAAATATCATTAAGAAAGTGATGGGCCAAAAATTTGTGTATCGGTTTGTATCATTCCCCGAAGTGATCAAAACTGAGAATAAAATCCCTTTCAAACAGAAGATGGAGAGCATCCAGCAGGAACAGAGAAATCTTCAGGCTGCTACAGCTCCTGTGCCTGGCTTCTTGTCGTTTAAGCCATATCAAGTGAAAGGAATCCCACCTGCAAAGACATGCAATTCTAGTGGCATTCCAGAGAGCATGACATCACATTGGACTCTACCTAAGACTTCCACTCAGGTGAAACACACTCAATCAGAACAGCTTATATCCCAAGCTCAAGCACTCATGCCAAAAGTCGAGCCAAAATGGACTGCTGCTCCTGTACAGCAGCCAAATCAAGACAATATGACAGTGCCCCCTATATTTAATCATACATTCAAGCTGGAGCCAATGCCAGATGACTCAATTCCAAGAATACTTATGTCTGATGGAACATTCATGTCTCAACTTGAACAGCCTCAATTTGAAACATCTCAGCAAATGTTGACAGAGTCGACTGGGTTTACTCTGTTACGCAATGGTGCTAGTTCACAGTTAGCTCCTCCACATACTGGTATACCCAATGTTACTATAGACTTGGTACAATCTGCTAGTCCCAAACATGAGATACAACAAGTGCAAGAGATAAATAGATTGAATTATGTTTCCCAAGCTAGTCAAATGCAACAAAGTCCTTCTCTCTCACAGGGACAACATAGTCCTGCTCTCCAACACAAGTTACATAACCCTGCTCCCCCACAAAGACAACATAGTCCTGCTCCCCCACAAATGCAACATAGTCCTGCTCCCCCACTAATGCAACATAGTCCTGCTCCCCCACAAATGCAACATAGTCCTGCTCCCCCGCAAAGGCAACATAGTCCTGCTCCCCCGCAAAGGCAACATAGTCCTGCTCCCCCACAAAGGGAACATAGTCCTGCTCCCCCACAAAGGCAACATAGTCCTGCTCCCCCACAAAGGCAATATAGTCCTGCTCCCCCACAAAGACAACATAGTCCTGCTCCCCCACAAAGGCAACATAGTCCTGCTCCCTCACAAAGGCAACATAGCCCTGCTCCCCCACAAAGGCAACATAGCCCTGCTCCCCCACAAAGGCAACATAGTCCTGCTCCCCCACAAAGGCAACACAGTCCTGCTCCCCCACAAAGGCAACATAGTCCAGCTCCCTCTCAAAGACACAGTCCCCGCCCAAATCATAGACATAGTCCTTATCCCCAACAAAGACAACATAGTCCTCACCCCCAGCAAATGCAACCTACCCCTAGTCCTCTATCTAATCCATTATCCCAGGGCACTAGCACAACAATCACAAGTACTACAAGCAAACCTAAGCCAATCCCTATTCCAATCTCAAATATTGGGTCTGGCCCACTTCCTAGTCCTAAGATTAACACACTTGCACCTCCAGGATTTGCTATGTCCACGTTACCAGTGCCCAGTCCCAAATTTCCCTCATTATCCACACCAATCCTGCTAACAAGCCCTTCTCCCTTGACCCACCAGCGCACACCAATCATGCCCCTCCACTTCTGGAGTTCACTCAGCCCTCTCATCACCCTAAGTCCCCGCATCAGCATCAACAACACTACTGCACAACAATTCCAATTCCCTGGCAACTATCTGTCCAATCATGTTGCATTTTCTCCCATGGCGACTGGTGTTCCGACCTTCACAAACCTTGAGAGTTTGAACTCACCCGTGTTTGTCACTTCGCCTACTAAATCTATACCTGTGCAACAGTGACTAGCCGACCAGCGTAGTAACACTATACAGGTATCCCCCTTGGTAGAACCAAAGAGAATCTCTAGGCAAGATAACCCAAAGTCTACCAGTCCCAGAAGTGCCCCTTCCAATTGTAAAAAAGATTCCGTTAATCCCAAAAAAGACTCTACTGGTCCTCAAAGTAAGAGTGAATGAATTCAGGAATGTTGTTTCATTTCATAACGTAATATTTGAGTTTGGCAACAAGTGGTAATTTGAAATGATTATCATAATTGAAGAACAATCTTATTCTATTCCAAACCCATCCAGTAAATATCTTTCCTCCAATCTCATAAAATAATTGGTTATTTAATATGCACAATTTGTGCACCAAACAGTACTGAGTCCTGACATGTCAATATATTTACTAATTTTATATTTATACAAAGTTGTATGTGTAATAATATGTTTTTGCAATATACGTTCACTGGTGAGTTATAGATACAGGTATCTGTTTTATAATCTGCCCACATATACTCTTTCTCAATATGTTGCAGATATACATAATATCAGATTTCTATGTTGCTTGTTTTATAAGTTGGTTAATGTGGAGCGGAAATCTTTATTAAAAAGACACTGTGCCACTTTGAATGGTGTATGATCTTAACTGCAAAGCCATATAGGTATTGTATTGATATTTTATGTGGAATTGCGCTGACAAAGGGGTCAGATATTGATGTCTTTAAAAATAAAAACAGGTCCATTGAAAATTAATTGGCAAACCTGTGGAGAAAAATCTATGGCATTACAATGTCACCCATTCCACAAATGTTGTTCATTATAAGTTTTGAGTAATATTACTGTTTTGACTCCACCTTGAATTGTATTTCACACCAAGTTCACACCTTTCTCAATCAGAGAAGACTTGAGGAGATGTAATTATCAAAATGAAACAACTGTTAAGCTTATGTAATTCTCTGTTACGTTGCCATGGTGACAATCATCTCAATGAGTAATTATCACAGTTTAAAATGTGTTGCAGAATGTGAGGTTTGAGTCTATTGGTTTTTAGGAATTGTTTAAAGCAAGAAAACTGATTGATAGAGAAAATATGACTAATATGAAAACATACATAGATTATATTGCTTGTACCATGACAATTATGTTGTGCTACTATACTTTGACATTATAACAGACTCTTAAATTACATCCGCCGCTAAATTATTTATTCAAGCATTTATTCATAAATATTTTTATCAAGGGTATATTGACTAACTAAATTATTAATTGGAGAATTTATTGAGGGAATTTTTAAAAGGAATATGTTGTATGGGTGTATTTTGTGTAGAGATATTGAAAGACAGAAAGATAGTCATCCTCCAAACACAGGCCTCCAGAACTTGTACCGAGTTCTTCTGGAAGAAGGAAGATACTTAGTGGATGGTTTCTGGAGCTTTGGTTCAGAAGATGAGAGATAGCGTGTATTTTGTTGAACCTTCCCCTTGCACTCATATTGAGAGAGGGAAATAGCATAATTCATAGATAAACCTAGCTCCATATAAAGATGAATCTCTCTGGATTCTGGGCTATTTCCTTCTCTGACTCATATATTTTAATAAGGCTGTATTACGTTTGAAATTTGAATCAGGACAATCTCTGCTGGTATTTGCTTAAAAATTAAATGTGTCATATTTGCTTGCAACATTTAAAGTGAATGTGCTCAGCAATTGATTTTTGCTTGCCATTCTATTCTTTGGCAATTTTCTTAAAACCATTCACCGACCTGTAATGTGATTATCATGTTAAGAATTGTCTTGAGAAATGATTTCTGGTGAACAACAGCGTAGTCTTTCATTAACTTTCAAGGCCCTAGCAGCTATAAAACAGTTGTAGTGTGTTCTCAAAGAAGTTTACATTAGATAATTATAACTTCCAGTTCAACTGAGCTGTATACTATATTATATCTTGGCTCTGCTATATTATAACAAATTGCAGGTGTATCACGTGTGTGATGCAGTTCAGTGTTAAGAATACGTTGCCATCTTAGAAGTATGTGGTTATGCTTGACCCTAGAACCTCGACACCCCCCCCCCCCCTCCAAACACTCACTCTACTGTTTATGTAAGTCTTTGTTTGTGTGGGTGAGAGGATGGGTTACAAAAAGACTAAAGACTAGTACATAGTGACAAAGTACCAATCTAACTAGGTATTACATCCCATACATGTACTGCTTGCACTAGTCTTGTATATTCCCCCCCACCCCCAGGAATCACTACTATGGAATTCCAACCAGCTAGTGTTAGGCTAGAGAAGGTATATTCTTTGAATTAATAAAGAGAGTTGATGCAAGACAATGAAAATGTTCTGATATTAAAAAATAACTTAGTACTGTAGTATCCATGGAAGTAGACAGTTACTGTATTAATGACTTCACTGTCTAAATTATCTGGCAAATTAACAATTGGTGGATGCTATGCTTTCAATTGAATGACTTCATTTCCGTTAGAAAATAGATATTTGGTTTTATGGCTTTTACGAGTCATTAGAGTTTCTATTTTTAAAGTAGATATAGAGTTTATTGTATATTAGTAGTTAGCCTAATGCACATCTTCAAGAATTTGCTAATTTGTCATACCTTTATATGGAGAATAAATATAATACTTGCAGCCGTGCATTAGACTACATTTTTTTTATCTAAATTCATAGATTTTATTACATATTTGCTGTTATATTTGATATATTTAGTTCTATTATCATTGAAAAATAAGAAAATATACTGTATTCCAATTATATTATACGAAGGGGAGTTCCTCTGTAATCCATATCTACTACATGACTTCTGTTGTAAATAATTTTCTAGAAATGCAATATTGTAAAAATGATTGTGACCTTAAGTTACATATACTTGTAACTTGCAATATATTTGGTAATACTTTTAAAATCACTATATATTTTTGTAAACATGTACAGTCGCTATTTGTATCTGATCTATCACATATGATATATTTGCCTTAATAAAATATGTATGATTATATCTTGTGTAAAATTAGAAAGTTCATTGTTGATTTATTTATTTACTTTGTGTTCTTGGCTATACAAAAAACCAAGAGTTATTAGTCGTAGAATAAAGAGAGCGTAAGAGACAACTTCAATAAATCTTATTTTACAATGCAAAAGAATTTTAAGATATAATGACTAGATTCATAATTTCATAGATTGTAGGTAGCAATTTCTAAAATCACAATTTTTCAAACTTTTCCAAAATGAGCAATAGTATCCTCTTTTCATTGCTACCTACAATGAATGAGCTTATGAATCTAGTCAATATATTTTTGTTCCTTCATTGTAACAAAAGAGGGCAGGATTTATTGGAAAGGTATATTGGCAGTTCTATTCCAAGTTGCCCTATGGATGACAAGGTGCATTATATAAAGTTGTCTTCAGTATGTCAAGATGCCCTATTTATGGCAAGTTTTCCAATGCAAAGTTTTCTTAAGTATGCCATTTGGCGAAGTTGTCGTAAGTATGTCAAGTTACCCTTTGTATACTATGTTGTCCCTGGTATGCCAAGTTTCATGTGTACGCCAACTTATCCTAAGTATGCCAAGTTGTCCAATCTGTGCCAAGTTGTCCTAGTTATGCCAAGTTGCCCTACATATGCCAAGTTTTCCTCAGTACGTCAGGTTGACATGTGTATGCCAAGTTGGCATACATATAGGTTGTTTTTAATGTCAGGGTGCACCTTGATGAAATTGCATGACCATGTGCTATTTTCATTTTAGATAAACATAACTCATTCCACACATCATCTACATCTTTCATTCTTGCACAAAAAATGCATTAGTGTACCTAGACTATTAATTGAGGGTTATAATTCTTCAAAATGTTTGAATAACTAGAAAATTCGGTGGTTTATATTTAAAAATTGCAAAAATATTCCAAAGTGCACTCTGGCCTTAATATGCCAAGTTGTCCCATGTGTCCCAAGTTGTCCTAGGTATTGTCAAGTTACCATATGATTTTATGCAACGTTGTCTTTAGTATCCCATGTTGTCATATGTACGCCAATTATCCTAAATATGCCAAGTTGTCCTAGGTATGCCAAGTTGCCTTATATATGCCAAGTTATTCTTATGTGTCAAGTTGTCATATATTTGCCAAGCTGACGTAAGTTGTCCTAAGTATGCAAATGAGTCCTGTGTATGCCAATCTGTCTTGGGTGTCATGTTGTCCTGAATATACCAAGTCGTCCCTAGTATGTAGCCTTGCCCAAGACAGTCTCTTTTACATATCTTGATTTTATTCAAGATCAGATAAGTAAAAAATACCGACTTGGGCAAGGCTACCTAGTGCGCTAAGTTGTCATATTGCCCTAAATATGCCAAATTGTCTTATGTTTGGCAAGTTGTCCTATCTATGCCAAGTTGTCCTATCTATGCCAAGTTGTCCCTAGTATGCCAAGTTGTCATAAGTATGCCAAGTTGTTCTAAATATGCCAAGTGGTCCCATATGTGCTAAGTTGTCCAAAGTATTTCGAATTATCCTATGTATGCCAAGTTGTCATTTGTATGCCAAGTTGTCTTCTGTCTGCCAATTTGTCCTAAGTATGCCAGGTTGTGCTATGTATGCCAATCTGCCCTATGTTTGCCAAGTTGTCAACCATGTGATTGTTCTGATGGAGAAGTTGCAAATAATGAGACATGACTATGAACAATAGAATGGCATAAAAATGAATATGGAGATCTTTCTCATACATTGCAAGACTATATTATTTATAATATACAAATGAAAAAATGAACTCCCTCTATCATAATTGGAAGAACATTAGCTCTGCTATTAGATTAGGTCTGTTTTTCGCAAACAGGTTTTCGATCCAACATTACATGTATAAGTATATGGTGACTTATCGTATCCTACCGACCACTTTAGATACAATCTAAAGGGGTCGTAGGATGCGATAATATGGTGACATCATATCTGCAATTATCTAATGTCAGGTTATCTTCGATATAGGATGACCTTGGAGTTATCGGCAGTGTAGTTGTACTGTTAGATGCTGACTTAAAATCGTCCATTTTAGTTGTAGCTTGACTAAAAAGATGACAGTAATAGTTTCACATATGGTCTACTTGAGCGACATCTAAAATTGGCGTCATGTTATAATTGAACAAATCCTTCCAAACTCTGTTTCAAGCTGTACTAAGGGCTTTTCCAACTTAGGGGCGGATCTGGGAACCAGCAAGGGGGGGGGGGGCAAATTTCAGGTGTGAGAAAAAAACAAAAACAAAACCAAAATGTGGGCCCAATCTTTGAAATTTTGAGGCCCATTTTCTTCACATTTTGACCTAAAACTAAAAAATAAGGCCTCATACGGCCCAGTAATAACCAAAAAGCCCCACTTTTGAGGCCGGCTCAAGATTTTTTGGACCCAATTCTTTTTTCTGCCCCCCCCCCCCCCCCAGATCCGCCAGTGCAACTAATAATAAAATGGTTAATTATAAAGTAATATATTTAAATCCCAGCTACATCACATGCATTCAAATTCTGGCTTTTAGACCCTTGTTTAAAATGATAAATCACTATGATTTTCAAGAACCATGCAAGCATTTAATAAATCACTCAATTCAATCAGTCATTGCGTAATCCGGCTACGTAATATATCATGATCTGTTAAATAACTCCATTCGCTACGTATCTGTTATTGTATTTTTGATATTAATAGGAGTTTTCAATTTTGATACTTGCGCATACATGTTCAAAATCAATGGCATTTTCTCTGCTCATTCCCATTGTTTGTAAAACGATGTGCATTCATTGTATGTCAAAGGCAGAATCGGAGGTAAAGACTCTTGGAGGCTATCAATGTAGAATCAACATCTGAACCAACTGAAATATATTAGTCTTGATATCTCATTAAATATGAACAATGGTGAAGCTATTTAAGATTCAAAGTGCAAAAATGTGTAGCAACCCCCTGATCTTTATTTAAAGTTATAATGATATCACTATCAAAGGAATATGCTTCAAATTAAGGTTGAGAATGCTCATCCCAGATGGGACCTTATCTATTACACGTTACTCCACAAATTCTGTATCATAACCAGATAACATGAGGGATTTCTAACATGAGGGATTTCTAAAAATGCATTAAACATTATTTCGATCGATCCCCATACAAGCACAGTTAAAAATATGTTACATTTACGTAATAAAGCGCACTTGGGTATCTTTGTTATTTAAAAGCACATCATGTCAGTAAACATGCATTAAAATTTCTTCAAATCTTGTTAGAGAATTAAATCAATCGACCAATTTGTGACAACTTGGCAACTTCCGAGCGCAGTGCTCCATCCTTCTACTTAGGAGAAGGTACGAGTTCTGGAGGCCTGGTGCAACTTAGGATCCCCTTTGCGTATGGTGTCCCCGAGTCCCGGGCCCCGAGTACACGAAGTTAATACGTGAAAAGCTTTTCCCCTGGCCTGGCCACATACCCTGGCACAACAAACATGTCGAATCAACACAAAATGCCCCTGATTGACGTGTTTCTAGTAAAATATAAGTAATATATAAGCCTAATATAGTCTAATAGGTAAATATTCTAGGAATCTGTTCCCCAGACGATTGCGCTGATCGATACATTTACGACCAAGGATCAATCGTGCGCTGTGCTAATGAAGAGAGACAATTCCCAAATAATACTAAGTGCGAACCTGGGGGAGCGTTGAGCAATTATAGACACACAAATTGCATATTGCCTGTTGACTTATTCATTTTCTCGACCAATTATACTCACATTTGCGTGATCGAAGTCGATTGATGCTTTTTATTGATGCAAGATCGTGAATTTAGATTTGATTTGAAATCAATCAAATGATGTCTGTATTTATTTCGATTTGTATTTCGTGATATCGTCAGAATTGCCAACATTAAATACATTGACATTGGGTATCTCATATGGAATGGCAATCTCAATGCGCTACTAAAGAGTAGACCACATCAATCACGGGGTAGGCTAATAACACTGCGCTTGGAGAAAAAGAGGTCTCACAGACCTACGAGGCGTGGACCCCGATGTACATTCCGGAGGCGTTGAGCACTAGGAACTGACTGGATCAATTCCAATACTATACGGTTAATGAGACCATCTCGAATATCACATTGTTGATGAACATCTGAATAATTCCATAGACGACAGTCATTGAAACAAAACTGTGATCAAATTATGCGTCATCATTAAATGTCTTATAGATAGTTGTTTAGAGCGCTTGAAGGAAGACACGATGGGAAATAAAGCAGCAAAATTATCAAAGGAGGACTTGAAAGAACTGCTGAGTAAGACCTCGTTCACGGATAAGCAGATCAAAGACTGGTACAAAGGTTTCATAGTAAGTTACTTGATTAAGCATGTTGTTACTGTTATGAACTTGATTCAGAATACTTACAAGGCACTATCGCCGATAATTGTGAGAACGCTTGGTTCGTATCATACTATGGTTTATTATTTCATTTTAGTTCATCAATTATGGCGGTTCCAAAAAATCCCAAAACACAAAAACAACAATTCGTACAATATACATTAATGTGTATGATATAATACTAGTACAGTGGAACAAAATTAATAGAGAAATAATGGATAGAAAAGAAATAATTAATAAACAAATAGAAAAAATTAATATACCATTAAACTTTCAGTTCATCGGCCATTCTTCACGTTCGGAAATTTCTCCAATAACATTGTGTGACAAAAGTGATCGGGATAAATCGAATCATTGAAACCAATTTTATAGTGCCCATGCACATGATGCAGTTATAAAATAATGCTTTTGGTTTTTAAATAACGTTGCATATACTTAAAGCATCGTTTCTATCTGAGATCAAATTAGGTAGCAATCCGGGTTAGCAATTATACAATTGTAGGTATACACTTTTTAAGGCAAAGTAAATCATTAGAAGGCTAATATGCAAATCTCTTAAAATTTCACGAAAAACGAGATTAAGTGAGATTTCAAAAGTTATATGGAAACTGTACTATTGTGATCAACAGTCGTTTTAAGCCGTAAACAGTATATTGTGGTGTGCAGAAGTCCATATTGTTGACTACTAATGAATCAGTTAAAGTCGAATGTGTGTGGTAAAGTGGTTGACAAATGACAATGCAAATGATTCCTCGTACTTACACAGAATGAAAACTAAAGGCACTCAAAAATCTCAAACGAAGTTCAGAGCATAGTGCTAGATTTAAGATATATAGTACGTGTTAGTAGTGAAAGAATTTATAAATAGTAGCCCGGGCAGAATTGTTCAATGGTCACTTTTTCTTTAATAACTTTTTTAATTTTCAGTATTATCAAAATCTGATTATACATTTGAAAACTAGAGTGAAATTCTGACATACAAAAAAATATTTAAGGAACATCCCTTAAATCATTGATATTATCGGCGTTCATAGTATGAGTGACGCAAATACATAATTCACCATTTTGTCTCATATTTGTTCAAAATGGCGGCATACTTTGTGGTTTGAATGTTCAGTTGAAAGTTAATATTTAAGAAATGGCATAGGCCTACGAAATCATGTAGACTGCTGCTTTGGTATGAAGTTATGACTGCATTTATAACCCTTTGTTTTAAATTGACTTGTATGTATACAATTACTTAAAGTGTGCGCCAAAATTTAAAACTGCGCAAGCGCAGCGCTCTCGCTAACCTATATAAAGAGCATACATATATGTACATGCTTCAGAGGTAAGCCAGGAAGGTGTACAACTATCGTCCCGTGTTGATTTCCCGTATAATCGTAACCAGGCAAGTTTCACCATTGGAATTGAAATGACTATTAGATATACTTTGTAGATGTTTATATATCACTGTGTATATGAAGGTATTAAGTGTATGCATCAATCAAATTGCTCATTTTGAACATATAAAAAGTATTTGTGTTTGTTTCCCAGGGAATTGTATTCCCATGTACGACGTACACACATAAATAGTGTACATTATGTTGTACTTGAATAGCCTGGCTTATATAATATTGAAGGGCATGCTGATTGTACACACGAGTACATGCATGAAGGCCTAATGTTGATATTGCTTGCATACCTAAAGTAAAAATAAACTCTTCTAATCCCCTAATGTAAACACGGCGGTATCCCAGTCACACGCCCCTTAACCCATCCTTGGAATGCATGTGAATTGTTCTTCAGCTTTTCAATGGCCTCTGCGATGGCTGTTTGGAGCTCTTGAAAAGATTGAGGACCTACTCTCGTCACACCCCACACATTGGGGCGCCACCTTTTCACATCCTCTTGAACACAGCCCCGAGCATTTCAATAGAGTTGATTTCATATACCTTTGGAGGGAGTTGACTTCTTGTATTTGATGATTGGTCAGTTGCTACATTACATCAGGATTGTAACAGTGGCAGCATGGCACTATACTCCTGTGACAATCTTTAAATATTAACTTTTAATCAAATTCACAAAATATGCCGCCATTTTGAACAAATATGAGGCAAAATGATGAATAATGTATTTGCGTCAGTCATACTACGAACGCCTATAATATCAATAAATTAGCAGATGTTCCTTAAATATATTTTTTGTATGTCAGAATTTTACTCTAGTTTTCAAATATGTGATAAGACTATGATAATACTGAAAATTAAAAGTTAGTTGAGAAAAAGTGACCATTGAACAATTCTGTCCGGGCTACTATATATTGTTATGTGACTGAATTTCACTCCACCATTGCAATTAAATGTTCGCACCTGTGCCTGAAATATAATACAACTCTGTGCAGAAGATATCAGTGATACACACTCACAAACAAAAGACTGGGGAATTGAAGATTTCTAGGGTGAAAAAAACATCTAGCGTACTGATAAACAACTCAACATGTAGCGTACTCGGGTGACAGTTAAGACAAACATGATGCTGTCACATTCGACGCCACAACCACACCCATTAATAACAGAGACAATGACATCAATTTGCTTTCTGATAGAAAAGAGTCAGGATCCAAATCAAGTTCTCCAATAACCTTCTTCCATTCCAATATCCACCTTCTAAAAGTGGAAAATGATGACTATCCAATCGAACGAAGTATGAATATATTTATCCATTTGTATGTCCACGGTGTCCAGTCGATAACTCAAATACCGCTTGACGAAATTGGTTGGAAAATAGAGACGTAGGAAATCCAACCGTTTCCATAACTCAAATACCGGTAAAGTATTTAGTTCAAAAGGCTGATGCTTTGTGGGCCTAGGAGCTCTTATAGGGAGTGAATTTTCAATATGGCCGCTAAATAAAAAGGTGCCATTTTTAATTCTTGATAATCTTTGTAATCTTTGATAACTCAAATACCGGCTGGCAGATTTGATAAAGGGCCTCTGATCAAGAAAAAAATTAGCATTTCCAGTCATCGGATTCTATCCAAAAATGATGAGGAAGAGGACCTCTTTTAAGAAGAAATTTCATATTTGAGTGCTCAATTCGAAATGGCAACCATTTTTTGTAAAACACATAGTCTACCAGTTGTCAGATAAGGTTTATTTTTTTAATTCTCTAGTTGGCTATCCGGAGGGTGGAGATTCCTCGATCATCGACAGTAACCAAACCAAAAATGTATGCTTCAGAATATGTTCATCAAAGTTGCAACGATAATTGTAGCCATTGTGGCACTTGGAATCGATGGATCAACCTCTTTTAGTTATTGCAACGTAAGACTAGGTGTCATCAAACACCAATCAACAAATTAAAACTCCTTATGTTAACAATTAGAAATCTTTTGTGTTATACTGCAATATCGTGTAGTTATTCCTAAGATCGATGTCAATTCTATTCTATCTATAGACTTGACGAGATATATTGCTTATGACATATTGGATAGCAAAGCACGAATGTAAGTAGATGCTTCACAAATAAGAAAAAACATCTCCATAAAGCGTCGTTGGCTTGAGTCCTCTCCCAATGGTACCATCTCCACAGTGATGTACTATGACCCCTCATTTGATGTTCGACCTTGACCTTGAACCCTGTTTGAACCCATCCTCATACCTCTTTCAACATGCAACTTAACCCAGAAACACATTTGAAACACCAATAATACTAGATCGAGAATAGACTTTGGGAAAACAGGAAATTTGTTTCTTCGGAGATAGAACATTGGACGAGGCCTTTTGAGTTTGAAGTATAACATCTGTATGAAAATATCAATGTAATTTAGATGTATTTTGAACACCATCACATTGCAGTCTTTATAGCATTATGCAGTTAATTCTTGACAGCGTGATATTGCATAAGCAAATATGTTTTGGAATAGATCGTATGGTTACCTATTTGTAATCTCAATGACTTCATTGTGAAGATAATAAGTTCGTGGTAAAAGCCAAGGTGACTTAATATTGTGCTTCTGTTCTTACCGGGCGTCCTAAATTGAATAAGCATCCAGTTGTGATGCACGTGGAGATGAAGATTGACTTATTATCCGTCCACAAGGGGACCAGCATGTACTTTCTTGCTATGAATCATGTTACCTAGCGATCCCTGTACACTCACTGCGTGCTTAACACCCATTGATGTGTATATTCCCGTGTGGATGAAGCCTTCATGTGTAATAAGTAAAACACACCGCAATCTATTTGGTCCAAGAACAATAGACGTCACGGAGACCCTAATGACAGAAAGACTGATTCAACAAGTAGAGAGTCAGAGAAGACTATGACCACAGAAATGTAATTACTACATTTTCCGAGGCACATATTAGATAATAAACATAGACGTTCAGCAGGAATTATCTCCTTTATTTCATTATTATTGCCCATAGCAGATATAAAATGTCCATTCGGTTTGTTTATCATGATATCTCCATGGTAATTGCATTGGGCACGAACTCACAAAGGACACGATGATCTAACTAATTCCAATAGAATTTTCAGACGCATACTACAGCGTTGTGTCTTGTATATGTAGATGATATCGTTCAAGAGAGGAAACAGTATGACCAGCGACAAGGACTTTTAACCTGTTAGTGAATAAATGATTATGCCTAAAAGGGTAATTAATGTGTGAAATGATACTTAATGTCCAAATGATACTTCGAACCATTGCTTAGATACTGCTTACAAAAAAATATTCTGTTGTTACGTTGGTAAAACTTATACTACACACAAGTTATCATTTTGTTTTAATGTAATAAATGACGATGCCTATGGAAAACCACTTTCCAATACAGTATCTTGATTTCTCAGTAGATTTCTTGCTGATTTTTCTGCTCAATATACTAAATTTTCTATCTGCTTACACTGCTAAGTGAACCGAATCAATTTTCACTTTAACATAGGCCTACGACCCTAAACAACACTCCCAAATACAAATAAAGAATA